GTTGCGATTCCGTCTGGACCAGCTGGCAACGTCGAAACCAAAGTGCCCGTGAAAGTACCAGGGACGCCAGTGACGACCGTCGTGTACGAAGAGGCGGTGGCAGTAGGAATGGCAGTCTGGAAAAGGACTGTTGCGATTCCGTCTGGACCAGCTGGCAACGTCGAAACCAAAGTGCCGGTGAACGTGCCAGGGACGCCAGTGACGACCGTCGTGTACGACGAGGCGGTGGCAGTAGGAATGGCAGTCTGGAAAAGGACTGTTGCGATTCCGTCTGGACCAGCTGGCAACGTCGAAACCAAAGTGCCGGTGAACGTGCCAGGGACGCCAGTGACGACCGTCGTGTACGAAGAGGCGGTGGCAGTAGGAATAGCAGTCTGGAAAAGGACTGTTGCGATTCCATCTGGGCCAGCAGGCAGAGTCGATACCAGAGTGCCTGTGAATGTGCCAGGGACGCCAGTGACGACCGTCGTGTACGAAGAGGCGGTAGCACTCGGGTTGGCAGTCTGGAAAAGGACTGTTGCGATTCCGTCTGGACCAGCTGGCAACGTCGAAACCAAAGTGCCGGTGAACGTGCCAGGGACGCCAGTGACGACCGTCGTGTACGAAGAGGCGGTGGCACTCGTGTTAGCAGTCTGGAAAAGGACTGTTGCGATTCCGTCTGGACCAGCTGGCAGAGTCGAAACCAAAGTGCCCGTGAAAGTGCCAGGGACGCCAGTGACGACCGTCGTGTACGACGAGGCGGTGGCAGTAGGAATGGCAGTCTGGAAGAGGACTGTTGCGATACCATCTGGGCCAGCAGGCAGTGTCGATACCAAAGTGCCCGTGAAAGTACCAGGGACGCCAGTGACGACCGTCGTGTACGACGAGGCGGTGGCAGTAGGAATGGCAGTCTGGAAAAGCACTGTTGCGATTCCGTCTGGACCAGCTGGCAGAGTCGAAACCAGAGTGCCTGTGAATGTGCCAGGGACGCCAGTGACGACCGTCGTGTACGACGAGGCGGTGGCAGTAGGGTTGGCAGTCTGGAAAAGCACTGTTGCGATTCCGTCTGGACCAGCTGGCAGAGTCGAAACCAAAGTGCCCGTGAAAGTACCAGGGACGCCAGTGACGACCGTCGTGTACGACGAGGCGGTGGCAGTAGGAATGGCAGTCTGGAAGAGGACTGTTGCGATACCATCTGGGCCAGCAGGTAGTGTCGATACCAAGTGTGCCGTGAAAGTACCAGGGACGCCAGTGACGACCGTAGTGTACGACGAGGCGGTGGCAGTAGGAATGGCAGTCTGGAAAAGCACTGTTGCGATTCCGTCTGGACCAGCTGGCAAGTCGAAACCAAAGTGCCTGTGAATGTGCCAGGGACGCCAGTGACGACCGTCGTGTACGACGAGGCGGTGGCACTCGTGTTAGCAGTCTGGAAAAGCACTGTTGCGATTCCGTCTGGACCAGCTGGCAGAGTCGAAACCAAAGTGCCCGTGAAAGTACCAGGGACGCCAGTGACGACCGTCGTGTACGACGAGGCGGTGGCAGTAGGAATGGCAGTCTGGAAGAGGACTGTTGCGATACCATCTGGGCCAGCAGGTAGTGTCGATACCAAAGTGCCCGTGAAAGTACCAGGGACGCCAGTGACGACCGTAGTGTACGAAGAGGCGGTGGCAGTAGGAATGGCAGTCTGGAAAAGGACTGTTGCGATTCCGTCTGGACCAGCTGGCAGAGTCGAAACCAAAGTGCCTGTGAATGTGCCCGGGACGCCAGTGACGACCGTCGTGTACGAAGAGGCGGTGGCACCCGGGTTGGCAGTCTGGAAAAGCACTGTTGCGATTCCGTCTGGACCAGCTGGCAAGTCGAAACCAAAGTGCCTGTGAACGTGCCAGGGACGCCAGTGACGACCGTCGTGTACGACGAGGCGGTGGCAGTAGGAATGGCAGTTTGGAAAAGGACTGTTGCGATTCCGTCTGGACCAGCTGGCAGAGTCGAAACCAAAGTGCCTGTGAACGTGCCAGGGACGCCAGTGACGACCGTCGTGTACGAAGAGGCGGTAGCGGTGGGAATAGCGGTTTGGAACAGAACGGTTGCAATACCGTCAGGACCAGCAGGCAGAGTCGAAACGAGAGTGCCGGTGAAAGTACCAGGGACACCAGTGACGACCGTCGTGTACGACGAGGCGGTGGCAGTAGGAATGGCAGTCTGGAAGAGGACTGTTGCGATACCATCTGGGCCAGCAGGTAGTGTCGATACCAAAGTGCCCGTGAAAGTACCAGGGACGCCAGTGACGACCGTAGTGTATGAGGAGGCGGTAGCACTCGGGTTGGCAGTCTGGAAAAGGACTGTTGCGATTCCGTCTGGACCAGCTGGCAGGGTCGAAACCAAAGTGCCCGTGAAAGTACCAGGGACGCCAGTGACGACCGTCGTGTACGACGAGGCGGTGGCAGTAGGAATGGCAGTCTGGAAAAGCACTGTTGCGATTCCGTCTGGACCAGCTGGCAACGTCGAAACCAGAGTGCCTGTGAATGTGCCAGGGACGCCAGTGACGACCGTCGTGTACGAAGAGGCGGTGGCACCCGGGTTGGCAGTCTGGAAAAGCACTGTTGCGATTCCGTCTGGACCAGCTGGCAACGTCGAAACCAAAGTGCCTGTGAACGTGCCAGGGACGCCAGTGACGACCGTCGTGTACGAAGAGGCGGTAGCGGTGGGAATAGCGGTTTGGAACAGAACGGTTGCAATACCGTCAGGACCAGCAGGCAGAGTCGATACCAGAGTGCCGGTGAAATGTGCCAGGGACACCAGTGACGACTGTCGTGTACGAAGAGGCTGTGGCAGTTGGTATTGTTGGTGTGATAATTGTATCTGGAACCTGGATAATGACTGTTTGTATGCCATCTGGTCCAATTGGTAAGGTTGATGTTATCCGTGCTGTTAATCCGCGTACTGTAGAGGTAGCTATAAATGCTCTTCTAGCAGCTGCTACAAGAATTGTATAGGGATCGCCTGGTCGGCCAGGTGGTATTGTTGAGGTAGTAAATGATGAACCGTCGATATACGTTGTGTATCTTACATAGGTCGTCCCGCCTGATACAATGAGACTATCTGTAGCGGAGGCAATGTTAGTAGTTGGAACTTGCACAAGTACGGTGCCGGGCAGTCCAGAGGCAGGTGGTGCCAGTGTCTGGTAGGCAGTGACTGATCCGTCATATCCAGTCGTCAATGTAACATAAGATGCAGTCTCAGAGGGTATAATAGATGTGCCGGTAATTGGAATGTAAACTACAGTTGAGGCAGGTTCGCCATTAGGACCGAGCGGGAAAGTGGTGGTGAGAGTGGCCGAACCGCCGTAGGTAGTAGTAAAAACATTTGCCAGAGGTCCAGAGCCACTGGGAACGTAAACAACTGTTGACGCAGGTTCGCCGTTGGGTCCGACAGGGAATGTGCTGGTGAGAGTGACAGAGCCGCCATATGTAGCGGTAACGGGACCGGCAGCCTGGCTAGGGACGTAGACGACCGTAGAAGCTGGTTCACCGTTGGGACCGACGGGGAAAGTGCTGGTAAGAGTGACCGAACCACCGTAGGTAGCAGTAACAGGACCGGCGGCCTGGCTAGGAACATAGACGACAGTGGAAGCCGGCTCGCCGTTGGGTCCGACGGGGAAAGTGCTGGTGCGAGTGACCGAACCACCGTATGTGGCAGTGAAGACATTGGCCAGAGGTACGGAGCCACTGGGAACATAAACCACAGTAGAAGCAGGTTCACCATTAGGTCCGACAGGGAATGTGCTGGTAAGAGTGACCGAGCCGCCATAAGTGGCAGTGACAGGCCCGGCGGCCTGGCTGGGAACATAGACGATAGTGGAAGCTGGCTCGCCGTTGGGTCCGACAGGGAAAGTGCTGGTAAGAGTGACCGAACCACCGTAGGTAGCAGTAACAGGACCGGCGGCCTGACTAGGAACGTAAACAACCGTAGAAGCAGGTTCGCCGTTAGGTCCGACAGGGAATGTGCTGGTGAGAGTGACAGAGCCACCATAAGTGGCAGTGACGGGACCGGCAGCCTGACTGGGAACGTAAACAACTGTTGACGCTGGCTCGCCGTTGGGTCCGACGGGGAAAGTGCTCGTGCGAGTGACCGAACCGCCGTAAGTGGCAGTGACGGGACCAGCAGCCTGGCTGGGGACGTAGACGACAGTAGAAGCAGGTTCGCCGTTCGGTCCGACGGGGAAAGTACTGGTGAGAGTGACCGAACCGCCATAGGTAGCAGTGATGACGTTAGCCAGAGGTCCAGAGCTACTAGGAACATAAACCACTGTGGAAGCAGGTTCGCCGTTAGGACCGACGGGGAAAGTGCTAGTGAGAGTAACTGAGCCGCTATATGTAGCGGTAACGGGACCGACAGCCTGGCTAGGGACGTAGACGACAGTGGAAGCTGGTTCACCGTTGGGACCGACGGGGAAAGTGCTAGTGAGAGTAACTGAGCCGCCATATGTAGCGGTAACGGGACCGGCAGCCTGGCTAGGGACGTAGACGACAGTGGAAGCTGGTTCACCGTTGGGACCGACAGGGAATGTGCTGGTAAGAGTGACCGAGCCGCCATAAGTGGCAGTGACGGGACCGGCAGCCTGGCTGGGCACGTAGACGACAGTAGAAGCTGGCTCGCCGTTGGGTCCGACCGGGAAAGTGCTCGTGAGAGTGACCGAACCACCATAAGTGGCAGTGAAGACATTAGCCTGAGGTCCAGAGCCACTAGGAACATATACCACTGTGGAAGCAGGTTCGCCGTTAGGACCGACGGGGAAAGTGCTAGTGAGAGTAACTGAGCCGCCATATGTAGCGGTAACGGGACCAGCCGCCTGACTAGGAACGTAAACGACCGTAGAAGCTGGCTCGCCGTTGGGTCCGACGGGGAAAGTACTGGTGCGAGTGACTGAACCGCCATAGGTAGCGGTAACGACATTAGGCAAAGGTCCGGAGCCACTAGGAACGTAGACGACTGTTGACGCAGGCTCGCCGTTGGGTCCAACGGGGAATGTGCTGGTGAGAGTGACTGAACCGCCATAGGTGGCAGTGACGGGACCGGCAGCCTGACTAGGAACATAGACGACAGTAGATGCCGGCTCGCCGTTGGGTCCGACAGGGAAAGTGCTCGTGAGAGTGACCGAACCACCATAAGTGGCAGTGAAGACATTAGCCTGAGGTCCAGAGCCACTAGGAACATATACCACTGTTGACGCTGGCTCGCCGTTGGGTCCGACCGGGAAAGTGCTGGTGAGAGTGACCGAACCGCCGTAAGTGGCAGTGACGGGGCCAGCAGCCTGGCTGGGGACGTAAACGACGGTAGAAGCTGGCTCGCCGTTGGGTCCGACGGGGAAAGTGCTCGTGCGAGTGACCGAACCACCGTAGGTAGCAGTAACAGGACCGGCGGCCTGGCTAGGAACATAGACGACAGTGGAAGCTGGCTCGCCATTGGGTCCGACGGGGAAAGTGCTGGTGAGAGTAACTGAGCCGCCATATGTAGCGGTAACGGGACCAGCCGCCTGACTAGGAACGTAAACGACCGTAGAAGCTGGCTCGCCGTTGGGTCCGACCGGGAAAGTGCTGGTGAGAGTGACCGAACCGCCGTAAGTGGCAGTGACAGGACCAGCAGCCTGGCTGGGCACGTAGACGACAGTAGAAGCTGGCTCGCCGTTGGGTCCAGCGGGGAAAGTACTGGTGCGAGTGACTGAACCGCCATAGGTAGCGGTAAAAGCGTTGGCCAGAGGTCCAGAGCCACTAGGAACGTAGACGACGGTAGAAGCTGGCTCGCCATTGGGTCCAGCGGGGAAAGTGCTCGTGAGAGTTACCGAACCGCCGTAAGTGGCAGTAACAGGACCAGCAGCCTGGCTGGGCACGTAGACGACAGTAGAAGCTGGCTCGCCGTTGGGTCCGACCGGGAAAGTGCTGGTGAGAGTGACCGAACCGCCGTAAGTGGCAGTGACGGGACCAGCCGCCTGACTAGGAACATAGACGACAGTAGAAGCCGGCTCGCCGTTGGGTCCGACAGGGAAAGTGCTAGTACGTGTGACTGAGCCGCCATATGTAGCGGTAAAAACGTTAGCCAGAGGTCCGGAGCTACTAGGAACGTAAACTACTGTTGACGCAGGTTCGCCGTTGGGTCCGACGGGGAAAGTGCTGGTGAGAGTGACCGAACCGCCGTAAGTTGCAGTAACAGGCCCGGCAGCCTGACTAGGCACGTAGACGACAGTAGATGCCGGCTCGCCGTTGGGTCCGACAGGGAAAGTGCTCGTGAGAGTGACCGAACCACCATAAGTGGCAGTGAAGACATTAGCCTGAGGTCCAGAGCCACTAGGAACATATACCACTGTGGAAGCAGGTTCACCGTTGGGTCCGACAGGGAATGTGCTGGTACGTGTGACTAAGCCGCCATATGTAGCGGTAACGGGACCGGCATCCTGGCTAGGCACGTAGACGACAGTAGAAGCTGGCTCGCCGTTGGGTCCGACGGGGAAAGTGCTGGTGCGAGTGACTGAACCGCCATAGGTAGCGGTAAAAACGTTGGCCAGAGGTCCGGAGCCACTAGGAACGTAAACCACTGTTGACGCAGGTTCGCCGTTGGGTCCGACGGGGAAAGTGCTGGTGAGAGTGACTGAGCCGCCATATGTAGCGGTAACGGGACCAGCAGCCTGGCTAGGAACATAGACGACAGTAGATGCCGGCTCGCCGTTGGGTCCGACCGGGAAAGTGCTAGTGAGAGTGACCGAACCGCCGTAAGTGGCAGTGACAGGACCAGCAGCCTGACTAGGAACATAGACGACAGTAGATGCCGGCTCGCCGTTGGGTCCGACAGGGAAAGTGCTGGTGCGAGTGACCGAACCGCCATAGGTAGCAGTGATGACGTTAGCCAGAGGTCCAGAGCTACTAGGAACATAAACCACTGTGGAAGCTGGCTCGCCGTTGGGACCGACGGGGAATGTGCTGGTACGTGTGACCGAACCGCCGTAAGTGGCAGTGACAGGACCGGCTGCCTGACTGGGGACGTAGACGACAGTGGAAGCTGGCTCGCCGTTGGGTCCGACTGGGAAAGTACTGGTAAGAGTGACTGAACCGCCATATGTGGCAGTGACAGGACCAGCCGCCTGGCTAGGAACGTAAACCACGGTGGAAGCTGGCTCACCATTGGGTCCGACGGGGAATGTGCTGGTGCGTGTGACTGAACCGCCATAGGTAGCGGTAAAAACGTTGGCCAGAGGTCCAGAGCCACTAGGAACGTAGACGACGGTAGAAGCTGGCTCGCCGTTGGGTCCAGCGGGGAAGGTGCTCGTGAGAGTTACCGAACCGCCGTAAGTGGCAGTAACAGGACCAGCAGCCTGACTAGGAACATAGACGACAGTAGATGCCGGCTCGCCGTTGGGTCCGACGGGGAAAGTGCTAGTACGTATGACCGATCCGCCGTAAGTAGCAGTGACTGGACCGGCAGCCTGGCTGGGGACGTAAACGACCGTAGAAGCTGGTTCACCGTTGGGACCGACGGGGAACGTGCTGGTACGTGTGACCGAACCGCCGTAAGTAGCAGTGACAGGACCGGCTGCCTGACTAGGAACGTAAACAACTGTTGAAGCAGGTTCGCCGTTAGGTCCGACGGGGAAAGTGCTGGTGAGAGTAACAGAGCCGCCATATGTAGCAGTCAAGACATTAGCCAAAGGTCCAGAGCCACTAGGAACATAAACCACTGTGGAAGCAGGTTCGCCGTTGGGTCCGACGGGGAATGTGCTGGTACGTGTGACCGAACCGCCGTAAGTGGCAGTGACAGGACCGGCTGCCTGACTGGGGACGTAGACGACAGTGGAAGCAGGTTCGCCGTTAGGACCGACGGGGAAAGTGCTAGTGAGAGTAACTGAGCCGCCATATGTGGCAGTTACAGGACCAGCCGCCTGACTGGGGACGTAGACGACAGTGGAAGCTGGCTCGCCGTTGGGTCCGACTGGGAAAGTGCTGGTACGTGTGACTGAACCGCCATATGTGGCAGTCAAGACATTAGCCTGAGGTCCAGAGCCACTAGGAACATAAACCACTGTGGAAGCAGGTTCGCCGTTAGGACCGACAGGGAATGTGCTGGTGAGAGTGACAGAGCCACCATAAGTGGCAGTGACAGGACCAGCAGCCTGACTAGGAACATAGACGACAGTAGAAGCCGGCTCGCCGTTGGGTCCGACAGGGAAAGTGCTGGTACGTGTGACCGAACCGCCATATGTTGATGTGACTGATGCGAAGACAGGAGCGGGCGTAATTGTTGGCGAAGGATTCTGCCCAACATTGGCTGTTCCGGTTGGGGAAAAGATAACAACCATGCCAATTGTCTCTGTCCCACTTGTCATGGGAACAGTCGTGGTGGAAAGCACGTTCGCAGCATATCCAGTCGTTCTAGTCACAAATCTCGCGAACCTAGGTGCGAATACGATGACCTGACCCGCGGACTGCCCACCACTAGGGGGAATCGTTGACGTGGATGTACCTGTGGAGTCCCATAACTGAGTCGTCGTAGCGAAGGGGACATTGGCAGGCTGAGTCGCCCCCCCAGGACCAGTCGGCGTCAGTATGACCAGAGTCGTCGGATCTCCGGCATTCGCTGGGTTAAGTGTGAGTGTCGATGTCGCTGATCCAGTGTACCCACTGATTAAAACAACAGGCGCGGGGCCGCCGGCAGCACCTCCAGTGGGCGTCTGGACAAGCACAGTGCCTGGATTGGCTCCCGATGGCTGGATAGTGACAGTAGTCGGCACGGCGCCATTGTATCCAGTTGTCGCCAGCACAAAGCCAGGCGGGACCACAGGAGGCGGCGCCGTGGGCGTCTGGACAAGAACAGTGCCGGGGTTGGCTCCCGACGGCGGGATAGTGACTGTGGTCGGCGCGACGCCGTTGAAACCGCTCGTTGCCAGAATGAAGCCGGGCGGAACAACAGGAGGAGGCGCCGTAGGCGTCTGGACGAGAACAGTGCCGGGGTTGGCTCCCGACGGCGGGATAGTGACTGTGGTCGGCGCGACGCCGTTGAACCCGCTCGTTGCCAGGATGAAGCCAGGCGGGACCACAGGAGGCGGCGCCGTGGGCGTCTGGACAAGAACAGTGCCGGGGTTGGCTCCCGACGGCGGGATAGTGACTGTGGTCGGCGCGACGCCGTTGAAACCAGTCGTTGCCAGCACGAAGCCAGGCGGAACCACAGGGGGCTGCGCAGTTGGCTGGGTTGCGCCTCCGGGGAAGAGAGGGGTTTGTATGACCACGGTACCAACGGTGTCGGCCCCAGCAGGCTGGAATGTGAGGCTGTTAGTGGTAGACCCGGTGTACCCTTGGGTGGTGGTTGTGAAAAGGACGGCCGGGGCAACGGGGCCGGGGGCCGTCGGGTTAACGAACGGAGTTTGAACGACCACGATACCAGAGCCACCTCCGGGGGGCTGCACGGTGATAGTAGTGGGAGCTGAGCCAGAGAAACCAACAGTGGTTGTTTCGAGAACGTTCACTGCCGGGGTCTGGCCCACACCAGCGCCTGGAGCAGCAGTCGGGGCGACAGTCGGTGTCTGGATAACAACAAGGCCGGGTTCAGTACCGGTTGGAAGGAAGATGACCGTGTTTGCGTTTGGTCCGCCCTGGGTCACAGTCAAGAATGAACCGAGGTTGACGTCACTGGGAACAGGAACCGGGCCGCCAACAGTGATGCCGGGGCCCAGCGGGATTCCTGGTGCCGGTGCACCGCCCTGTCCGGGAGGGTTGACTCCGGGTGCCGGGGGCGTAAACTGTGCTGCGGGCACTTGAACAAGAACCGTTCCTGTCGGGTTAGTACCTGAGGGAAACAAAACATTAGTCTGGGGCGCTGGCCCGTCGAACGGAGTTGTAACCGTCACGAACGGCACGCCAGGTGGCAAAACCAACGAACCACCAGCGGGAGGGGGACCTGCGTTAGTAGGGGCACCGCCGGGAGGGGAAACGGCAGCCGGCGGGCGAGTTTGCAAAACCACGACGGTACCATCACCCCCGGAACTCGCGGGAGGGATTGTGAAAATAAGAGGGTTGGGTCCGTCAATAAACCCTGAGGTCGTGGTGAGCTGGGCCGGAGCAACGGGGAAGACTGGCGTTTGCGCCGGTGAACCAGGCGTCTGGGGCGTCAAAACCAAGACAAGGTTGGGCGAGTCAGTTGCTCCGGGCTGTCCAGCTGGTGGTGTGAGAGAGATGGTCGTCGGGAATGGTACGGCTGCACCCTGTGTGACCGTGTTCAGTGGCTGGCCAGCGTTATTGCCTGTAGGTGCGAGTGCGTTCGACAATGGAGTAAGAACAACTACTTGTCCGGCTGTCTGATCTCCCACGGGCGGCAGAGTCACGGTCGTTGGAACAGAGCCATCATATCCGCTGGTGAGGGCTGGAAGTACTTGGCCAGGTATCGGACCTGCTGTCGGCGCGGGACCATTCGACTGACCAGGGACGTTAGGAGCGGTTCCCGGAGGTAAAGCCCCTGTCTCGGTGTATCCAACTGGGAGCTGCTGGACGATAGTAGCAAATTGGGCGTCTCCTGGTGACGTCAAAGTAAGAGTTTCAGGAACCGTGCCGTTGTAATTACCGCGAATCGTGAGAACCGAGGCTTCGAGGGCCTCGAGACCACTGGTTGCCGGATCATCGCCACCCAATCCAGGAGCAGCAATAACGGTTGCTGGTTGCGATGGTGGTGTACCAGGTGCCACAGGCAAAGTGATTCTCGCTCCACTACCGGGAACAGCAAGTGCGTCCCAAGTTACAAAATCAGTCGGTGAAGCTGCCTGCGCTGTCTGGATGATGATGGTTCCCAATGATGGGTTCCTCGAGGGCAGAACCGTAAGCGTAACCGGGATCGACCCAGTGATGCCTCCAGAGGTAATGGTCGTGAAGGGACCATTGAAGACGCTCTCGGCCGGTTGGATGACAACTGTTCCCGTCCTGTCAGTTCCCTGGGGAGGCACCGTAAAAGTCACTGGTTGGGGGCCATTGTTTCCATTGGCCGTGACGGTCGTGTATGGTCCTGCAAATGCGGCGGGGTCTGGTGTCTGTACGAGAACTGTGTGCGGGCCAGCTTGTCGTGCAAAAAGGACGTTTAGTATGCCGTTTCGGGGGGGGACCGTAACAGTTGCTGGACTGCTTCCCTGACCACCACCAACAGTGACGGTTGTGAACGGTCCTGCAGCCGGTCCGGTGTAGCCATCTGTCGTTTGCACGATGACGGTACCGGTGCTCCCCTCCGGGGCTGGGATCGAAAGCGTGGTCACTGCGGGTCCAGGGATGGTAATGGTCGTGAATATTTTTGCGTAGACGGCGAGAGGAGTCTGGACGATGACAGCACCCGCATTTCCGGTACCAGTCGGAACCAGCGTGTAAGTGGTTGCCCTAGCGATTCCCTGTACTCCAATTGTGGTTGTGGCTAGTGTCACCAGGAGATCTATGTCTCCTGCAGGAGTCTCAATAATCTCCAGAAACTGCCCACTACGATCGACTCCCGCCGCTATGCCGTCGCCAGGCATGGTAATAGGGAAAGGGTTGTATCCGACGTGTCCCATGACGGTGATGGTATTCCATCGGCCCGTAACTGTAATCTCAAACCTGTCCAAAGTCTGAATGAAGACTGTGCCATCGGCTCCAGATGTGACGGTCAGGTTTCTGGGCACCCGATCAGCCCCGCCAACCGTAATGGTGGTGAAAGGCCCGGCGGGTACTGGCGGGCCATTAGCAGTTGGCAAAATCGTCACGGGAATCGATGCTGGGCTGGCCGGTGTTGGCCCCGGAGGGGGAGATAGGCCGGTCAAAGCTAGAGGAGTGAACACCAGGTAGGTACCAACGCCATCCGGGCCTGTCGGAAGCACGGTGATGGTGCTCGGTAATGACCCAGAGTGTCCACCCTTCGTGATCGTAACGTAGGCATTGGGAAGTATTGAGTCATTCTCGATGATTCTACAAAAGTCAGCTGGTTGGTTGCTTATTGAAAGCTACAGGCTTATTAAGACGACAAACTAACCTCGTTACCCGGGAAGACAAGGTGCCCAGCCTATCGAATTCAGTGACGAGAGTGACCGGCGCATTGGTGATTGTGAGTGTCAATCCATCATCGAGGACCAAAACGGTATTGGCAGGCAGAAAGGCGCTGATGTAGATGGGTCGGCGCACGACGAACTGGACAGGTTGAACTTCCACCGAGGTGATGCCGGCAGTACACATAGGATTGTCTGGAAACTGCGGCAGTCCAGATGCGAGCCAGTACTGACTGGCGGCAGCCAGCAGGCTTACCGCTGTGAATAGCTTCATTCTGATAGAGTATTATGATTAGTGATGCGTGAATCCAGCACAAACAAAAGTCTCGGGGCCACCCAAGACACTTGGTCTTGAAGCCGTGCGGCAGCAGGCTGCTGTGTCGATTCGCGTCCTCGATATTAGTGATTAAAAAGTTGATATTATTCGGAGAGGAGTGTATTCCAATTTTGTTGAAAGGATGCGCTGTAGCTATCGAGCAGTCCCTAGCATCTCGTGATGAGAGACGGGAGATGTATTGGCGAAGAGCTGGAGGACAAACGGCCTTGGAACAAATAATTATTAAGGTTCAATATTGATGACGCTTCGGATTCTTTTTTTTTTTTTCTCTTCTTCAATGGAAAGACAACGCTCCAATGCGTCCGTTGCCGTGGCACTGTTGCGTGACTGGCGAGCGGAATGAGGCTGGTGGGTGAGGAATGTCGTCCTTTGCGGAAACTCGAGGTCCTGTCTTCAGCCCTGGCGCATTCCGAATCTCTCACACTGCCTACAACAGAAGCATTAACTTGCACTCAAAGATTCATGACCCCCAGGGTTACTATGAAGAGTAAAAAAAGGAAACCTAGGGGGGCAAAGGGGATCGGTTGAGAAGCGGGGAGTCAGGAACCCGTGGCGAGATCTGAATGCAAAGGCCGATCTTTCTTTGCCAATGGCAAAAGAAGATTGAGGATGCTTACTCAACGACACGCATGAGTGTTTTCCTCCCGACTTCATGGCCACCTCCATGGTGACTCGTCCTTGTCACTTGATACTCTTTCCGGCCAAATACACCAACCCTTTCCTGCTGAGCCGTCTCGGCCCTCTTCGCAATCTAAGACAAGTCCGTCAACCCGTGAGATAGCTAGAGCGGAATCGGGGAGGGTACGGATTGCAGCCTTCATCACAATCCATGGGTGAGTAATTTGCGATCTGCAACTTTGACAATCTCATTGTTAACGTCTTTGGCGAGTGCCAATCTGCCCCCGAAGGCATGTAGAATGATATTGGGCCTCTCCGATCCAAGGATCATTACGGGCGCCCCGCGAATGACGGTTGAATCCGTTGGGATGGCAACACGACATGATTGACATGGAGAGATTGTATTGGATGAGGACTTATTTCCGTGCCTCGAACGAATTCCAATTCGTCAATACTCCCCCTACAAGAGCAAAACCAGTCGACAACTCTTGGCCGGAAGCGGTTCTTGAGAAGCTTGACGCGACAAATAAAGTGGAGGAGCTGATGGATAATCGTTCCAAACGCGTCCAGACTCCACTCAATAGGCGTCGCTGCATGTGGGCCGTTACTGGCTGGAGGGTGTGGCGTTCGCTTCTTGTCATCGGCGAACCCCTGATTAGCGCCGACTCCCACATCCAGACCATCACCACTATATACCGAAAGCAACAGCTTCGATACGGGGAGCTGCGAGCTTGTGGCCTTGGCCTAGTTCAAATAAAGCACGCTAGCATCGGCAACTCGGATTGGGGGTGGGTGGGGGTGGTTTGCCCATGTAGATCTAGCCGCAACAGTGTCTGGCTGAGTCCCATTAGCCACCCCAGAGTCCAGGCCCTTGAACTTCCCATCTCACCGTTCCCACGACACCACTCACGGCCGGCTGCCATCTCTTTTTTTCCCTATTTTCCATTGGTCGGAGGCGGTAGGCTTGGCCGAGGTGAGATGCCCGTGGAGGCCTATGTAGCCCTACCTAATGGCTCGAGTTGTCGCCGCACCCGGACGAGGCTTTGGCCTAGCCCCGGAGAAGGGACGCTCCAATGTCCTACGTGATCACGATCGTGGGGCCCTTGGTCTTGTTCATGTCGCTTTCAGTTCTGCATCTGCAAAATCCGCTCACACTGAACCCCCTTCTCGCTTTGTACTTGTTACTCTTCCGGCCCGGAGCCAGTGTCGGCGTCTACCCGACGTGACTTGTGGACATTTGAGTTGGCGCCCCTTGTGATATGACGTCCGGAGATGGACGTCACCGACAAGCGAGGCCTTGTCGAGGCACTAGAGTTAGAACACGACACGAGTTGGAGTCCATGTTATATTCGTACTGATATAGAGTTTATCCGCATTCCTTCGTAAGGCTTCCAATCTCGCTCAACTCCTGCGACAGTGGGATGCGACACGGCATTGATCATGTCCCCTCATAATATGTCCACATTCCTCCTTGCCTTCGCTGGCATAGCGATTGCTGGCAAGATTCAACACAGACAAGTGGACTGCTCGACGACGAAAACCCTCGACACCATCACCGTCACCAGGGTAGAGCCAATATCCATCTACATACTGCCCGGCCAACAACCTGCCCCCACAGAGACCGGCAGCGATAAAATCTTCACAGCAGTATACACGACTGTCTATCCGACCTTCTATCCAGAATGCTCGCGGGGCCTGAGGCCGCAGACGTATACCATCACGCAGACCTGCAGGGGTTCCATCACGTCGTGCCACGGATACGGGGATGAGCTGCCACCTGGCTTTACTACTACCCAAACAACCTGCACCGAAGGTCCTACGCCCCTTGCTGCGGTCCTCACCGTGCCTCAGCAGACCGATGATGTGGTCACTACCACCATCCAGCAGGTCGTCACCGGGCCTGGTTTGACCTCGACCCGCTTAGTCACCAAGACGTGCCTCGACGGTCCTTGTCTGCCGGATATCACGGCCGCTGCTATCCCCGGCAATGTCACACTTGACGATGGCTACGTTGGGTCCGCTACTACAGTAACCAAGACTGAAACTGACAGGGCGACGGCCACTCAGAAAGAAACCGCTACCGTTACAGTTGATCCCGAGTTTCAACCAGGCAACTTGAACAGCGGTGCTGGACACATTCTCTCCTCGGACAAACTCTTGACGTTTGTCTTCAGCTCATTCGCTCTCATTTTCCTTATGTCAACGTAGTTAGAAAAGATTGATGTCGTGTAGGTTACGTTTACCAGACACGGTGGTATAGTCGGAAAGGTTTGCAAAAAAGTGGCAGCCGAGGATTAATTGGGCTTCATTTCACCAAGAATACTAGATACCATTCTGTTTTGTTTTTCTTAGTTATCCTAGCATAAGCCTCTCAAGCTGGTTTTATCTAGTCCTTTTATTTTTTCTGTACCTCTCATTGCCCTTCCTAAAAAGTTCTTATTTTCTTTTTTTGCAGGGCCGCCATTTGCACCATCAACTCTCATCATTTCATTTCTCATCTTCCAAACCAGACAGCGGATAAAGGGCGCTTGAGCCAAATGGGTAGCGATATTTTACATTGAGCTTGTTCATATCACACGAAGAAACTCATCATAATTCTAATTTCAAATCCTTCTTGAGCATCTCCGGATCATTGCGTCTACACATCTATAAACCATACACTTGTTCATAATAGCAATCCGGTACTACGTTGTCTCCGCACAAAGCAGTCGAGTTAGCTAAAGTATCTCCGTGGAAATGGGCCTGTTCCTCTCAAGCCCTTAAAGCGGAGGTAAATCATCGCATAGATAACCCCAATCCATGATTCATCAAAAGTCACCAGACTCTCTATCTGGCTATTTCAGGCACACAATGAAGATCCCTCGTGCATGATATCCGCTAAGCTGTCGCTCCAGGAACATGTTTGCAGAGTCGGCAATGAGTTGCTGCAGAATAGGAGCATGTTCCTGTAGATCTCTAAATTTAGGATCATGATCTCGGTAACTTCCTCCACCAGGACGCACAGAAATAACCATATCAAAGTAACCAAGCCCCGCAAGTGCTTGAGACAAGCCAAGCTTTTAGTTGACGTAGCGTTGCTGGCTGATCTTTCATACCATGTCAGAAACACCATCTCCGGATATCATTGCTATAAACCTAATTACGCTATGGAGACGGGCGATTTCTATTACTCATAATCCGGGTCGATGCACCCACCCTTCTACAATCTCGCGGCGGAACTTTCCATGCAGAAGAGCGCATCATTTACGAGCTTTCTAATTGACAGGAATCTGCGGCTCACATTATCTGCTTTCATTATCGTCACTGGAACTCGCTGGCTCAAGCCACGGATGTCACCAGTCCCTGTCTCCGCATTCCAGGTAGGAAACGTCGGCTGGTATGCAACCATTCCCGACCCAGTAACCTCCATGCCAGGATCCGCGGTTTTCCGTCCTTGTTGCGTCGGTAGCTCTCAGGAGAAACCGGGCCTACCTATTCTATGCCGCCGGTGTAGTGCAACTAACCCTATCTTCCGCCCCCAACGTCGACGCATGGGCGGCAGGATCTTGTTTATGGTTGTTGGCGTGTGAAATGACACATTTGCTGATTGATTTGAAAATTTATTGTCACCTCACGGTTGATGATGATGTCATATGGATGGCATTTGCGTGTGCTGGATCTATAGCGCATGATTTTGTTGTCGGCCAGCAAGGATTTGTTTCAACCACCAGGCGTGAATGCGAATGTCGTCAGTCAGTTCGGGATGGAAGCTCGTGGCGAAAATATTCCCCTGACGAACAGCAACGATGTCGCCGACTGAGTCGTCTTCCGCGGTCTGGGCGACGCCACTGGCTTTGGACTTGCGCCCAGGCAGTACGGCGAGTACCTCAACCGACGGTCTCGGCTGGTTGTCCGCACTGAGGATCTCCTCAACGATCGGCGCGCGGATGAAGACGCCTGGGAAAGGACGGGTGGCCGTTTTCGAGCCACCTTCACCCCCCGACAGGAATGGTAGGTCGAGATCGGCGACGAAGCTCTCGATTTGGCGGCCAAAATGGTTTCGGTGCACACGCACACCAAGGCCGCCGATGAGCTCCTGACCACCCTTCTTGGTGGCATTGGCCTCATCGGCAAGCAGAATTGCGCCGGCACAGGTCCCCCAGACCGGCCTTCGGTTCACTCTGGCGAAGAAGAGGTGTTAGCCGTTTGTGTCATCGGAACGAGGTAAAGAGTTTTGATTTGAATAAGAGCAGATGAGACAAAATGTTTCTGCACTGGAATTTTTATAAAATCTCATTATGTTTGCCGCGATCGTGAGCTTACTTGACAAAGTCTCTCAAAGGTTCCATCAAGCCGGACTGTGTGGCTACCAGCGAGATCGCGGTACTCTCTCCTCCAGGAATAATGAGGGCATCACAGTGGCGGAGCTGCTCCTCTGTGCGAACCTCGGTGGCTGTGATGGTGTGCGAATGTAGGCTTGGCGTTGAGTCCGCTTCGAGCGATGAGGCAGCTCTCCGTACGAGTTCAAGATGCTCTTGAAACCCGCCTTGAAGGGCGAGCACGCCTACAGTGAGTGTCAACATGGTCAATGATCGATCGCTGACAAGTTTGAAAACGTGAAAAAAAAAAAAAAAAAAAAGAGATGTTGTCCCTTATGAAACAATGGCAGGATTTTCTTGATAGTTGTCGTGTTTGGATATGATTGAGTCATGCAATAGAAAAACCACCCCCCAAAACCATACGCTATGGAAACATATCACAGGAACAGCAGAAGACTAATATGAAGATTGAGCTCCAGGCGGATGTGTATCCGTAGACAGAAGCGGCCTTGGCGACAACGATTCGTACTACCAATCCCATTGCCCCTCACAAACTAATTGAGCGGTTTAGCGGGGTTATCTTGTCGGCGGCGATCGGGAGTCCCTTGGGTACGGTATCGTCATGGATCCCTGTCTAGCAGGGAATATCACTAACGGCGAGATGCGTACAGACACATAGTCGGATGTTAGTGCTACATGGTCAGTAAGGTTTGGAGTACTTCATGGCGGAGTAACGGGATTGGTAAGGGAGGCGGCGGCGGCGGCGGCAGATAGAGGGCCAAGAAAGCGCCTAGAAGTGCGGCGATGCGAGAGAATATTACATGCATACAGAAACAGAGTGCATGTAATCGTTCCTAGCCCGCTGTCATCATCACAGATGACCACAGAAAGTTGGAGGAGACAGTGCCTAGTATGTGTTTGCGCGGGAATATGAAGCGGGTCAGTCTTTACTAGTAGTCATGTATCCGCACTCCGTACATCCGATACCCGTCTTCCGCTCTATGCTGCTCCTCGCTTACCACCAGGTCGGAGCATGTCAGGGTGGGCATCCCTGCTGGTGCATGGTTATGGCCTTCATGTCATACAGCATGAGGAAGGGTACCTTCGGATAGACCTCCGAAAGGCATTGAACCTGACCATCCCGTCCATGTGTGTTCCCTCGACCGCAACATGGACCCCCCTCCGCCCGCCACCATCCGTTCCAACGCCGGCGCCGCCCAATGCCCGCACTATCTGCACCTTTCCATGACATTGTGGTTGTCATTCTGGAGAGAAGCTTCGCCCAGACCCAGACGCCGGAGTAACCGTAATCTGCCTTTCCGAGGCCGGGGTTAGGTTTCCACGCCCTTCGGGGTTCCTCTGTCATCCACAGTGATCCCTACGGCCAGACTTCCGCCGACTCAGCTTGCTCGGCTCAACTAGGCAATTAAGGTCTGTGTCTGTAGTGTATGTCTGTCCGTCTATACTTTGTCTGTCGGAGCAGGCCCAGGGACTCGATGATACCGCGGGAAAGACGGGATGACTCGGTACATAGGACAGTCGAGGAAAAATTTTCATTGACTAACAGCCACTTGGCATTGACTTTGCATCGTGCATCATTTCGTTGCCGCCGTAGTGTATTTATATATATATGTCTTAGCCTTCCCCATCCTCATCATCCTTCCCGAAGACGTCTACCCCGGATTTTGTTACCGATCACAGAACGAGCCAAAAAAGATCCATTGCGGAGCGGAGCTATTCTGACCTACTACCACTTATTGAGGAATCCTTGAGAATTATACCCCCTTAGTACTCTTCAGCCGCTTTATTCCCGGTCTCTTGCCTTTTATACCTTTTGCTGAGGCTTCATAAGTTGCGATCCCTCAACCTGCGCAAAGTATATACCGTTATTCGTTCAGTTTTCGCAGCATACCAGCAGCCAAAATGACCAACAGCGACGCTACCAAGGCTAACGGCAGCAATGGAGACGCCGCCAAGAACTTGTTCGCCGTCAAGGCCGGTCTTGCACAGATGCTCAAGGGCGGAGTCATCATGGACGTGACCAACGCCGAACAGGCCCGCATCGCCGAGGAGGCCGGCGCCTGTGCCGTCATGGCCCTTGAGCGCGTCCCCGCCGACATCCGCAAGGACGGAGGAGTCGCCCGCATGTCGGACCCCGCAGTCATCAAGGAAATCCAGAACGCCGTCACCATCCCCGTCATGGCCAAGGCCCGCATCGGCCACTTTGTCGAGTGCCAGATCCTCGAGGCTCTCGGCATTGACTACATTGACGAGAGCGAGGTCCTCACCCCGGCCGACAAGGAGTATCACGTCGAGAAGTCCGATTTCAAGGCCCCCTTCGTCTGTGGCTGCCGCAACCTCGGCGAGGCCCTGCGCCGCATCGCCGAGGGCGCCGCCATGATCCGCACCAAGGGCGAGGCCGGCACTGGCGATGTCGTCGAGGCCGTCACCCACGTCAAGACCGTCACCAGGGACATTGCCCGCGCCAAGGCCATCCTCCAGACGGAGGGTGTCATTGGCATCCGCGCCATGGCGAGGGAGATTGGCGTCGACCCCACCCTTCTGCAGCAGACTGCCGAGCTGGGCCGTCTGCCCGTCGTCAACTTTGCCGCTGGCGGAGTTGCCACGCCGGCCGATGCTGCGCTGATGATGCAGCTCGGCTGCGATGGTGTCTTTGTCGGCAGCGGCATTTTCAAGTCCGGCGACCCCGCCAAGCGCGCAAAGGCCATCGTCAGAGCGACAACGCACTTCAAGGACCCCAAGGTTCTCGCCGAATGCAGCGAGGGTTTGGGTGAGGCCATGGTCGGTATTAACTGCGACAGCATGAAGCCTGAAGAGAAGATGGCTGGCCGCGGATGGTAAAATGGTATCCTGGTTAGGTGTGCCAGGTTCTAGAGAGTGAACTGCACATGGGAGGGGGGGGGGGGGGGGGGGGGGGGGGGGGGGGGCAAATGCATGTATTAGCCGGACGTGATTTGGGTGTTCATATGGGTCATGACTCTGCGATATGAAATGCAGACTTCTTTTTTTCTTCTTTTTTAAAGTATTCAACATGCCGAGATAAGCCATGTTCAATGTAGCATTCGGAAAATTGGAATAATTACAATCAGTTACCTGAATATGTGCATAAGTCTCATGATGTTGACTCGCGGATCCGTACTGACAGAGCCTGCAAAACTATTTACACTCCGAGAGGAAAAGCACGACTATAATTCTTCATCGATGAATGCATGAATTTTTACCCATTTCAAAGTCAGATTACTCTCATACAGATATTCAATTCTGACGTACCGTATTCGAAAAGATGAAATGTCTCTTAGTTCAGGCTCGGCCACTTGGTATAAAAGAACCACACATCGGAGTGGACCCTCGAAGATAGCGGCGGACATAGCTCAGTTGGGAGAGCGTCAGACTGAAGTGGGATCTTAATTGACCCAGTCAACTTCATTCACTTAATCTGAAGGTCGTGTGTTCAATCCACACTGGCCGCAACTTCATCTTTTGCCGAGAGTCTGAAAAGCTCATTCACTTCATTTTTTGTTGATTCTCGGCACCTCGCAGTAAGTCAGCTTGACAGCGCGTGTTATGCCTATTTAGCATGATGTTATGACTACGGCGCAGCTGTCGCTTGAAATTTCCGTTGAAGCCGTGGAGTGCTCCTGAAAATCTGCGAATGCATTCAATTAGCTACTAGGTCATCATAATAGGTAACCAACAGGCAAATACACATATGCGGTTTCCCAGCTTGAAACTTGATTGAGTTAACGAAGCAGCATCAGCACCCATCCCAGGGTCTACTTTCACAGTAGCAGCACACCTTCTCATCCCAGCAGAAGCAATTATTGGTACATGTTCCTTATTTGTCCTAGTTGTTATGATATACTCCGTACCCACTACGGGATTGCGAGATGCGGCATAGTAGCATGCAGAAGAACCTATCATAACGCTCTACATCGCATCCACTTAGGATGCTTCCTTCATGGGTGATCATTTGGTACTCCATAATCGTTTCCGAATTATAACTGGGCACCTGAGCGTCGTCAAAGCCTCTCTCTTGCACACGCCCATAGCCAGACATGAGTGAGACTGGATCTCTGGCATTGAATTTGACGAGTCCGGCAACCAATGCACCGTGGCCAAATAAGATTGATACATCATTCTGACATACTCTGGCTCTGCGTATCAATGGAATCTCAAGTTCCAATATGGGAGAAGTACACGGCAGCTTTAAAACTATCAAGGCGGCATCTTTTCGTACTATTGATATAAAACCCAATGCTTTTCTAATCAGAGTGATGGAGTTGCTGCGATATCTCGTTGACTAGTGAAGCTGATGAGCACTCTTTTGGGGGCAGTGTGGTTAGGGCTTTCGGCAAATGTCCGGGGTGGTCTCGTGAAAGCTTCTACGTAATGTATTATTGTATTGTTCACGTCGCCATCAGGCGTAAGCAGCACTAACCTGTCTGCAAAAAGATGGAGCCAGGAGGGGTTCATGGCTCAGGCTAGCGATGGGATGCTGGCAGCTAACCTTAGCTTCCGAAGCCGTGGCTTGTCCTCCTTGTCATCCGATGCATGGCTGCTAATTCCAAGTACATGGTTCTGGGGATAAACGTCTATCTTTTCATGTACTGTCGAGTATAGCAAGAATCGGTAGTTAACACTACAAGAATGCATGGAACAACTTGTGTATCCAAACAACATGATTGACATTTCGTTGGGCCCAGTTAGTTTTGAGGACCGAAGAAGTGTCTTGTTTTCCATATCCTACAATATCCCGCAGGGACTATTTATATGAGCAGCGTTACTATTACATGTTTAATACAATATTGTATACAAGCGATTTTGAACAATATTCAGATCGTCCCTCCAGCAGGCACGATCAATACCTTGCGGCGGTTCTCTGCTGCCGGATAGCATGACGAACGCGCCGCGCATAACGTGCGACATTAGCCTTGACGTCAAGGTTGTAACCCGGGATGGTGCCAACAGCCTTTGAAAAGACACCGAGCTGGCGGTCCCGAAAGGAGTCGAGAGCCAGCTCAATAGTGTCGATCAGGCGGAGGGTCTGCTTATCGTAGAACAGTCCCGCGTACTGCATCTCATCCAACACAGCAAGGACAGCCTGGGTGTCGCCATGGCGATACCAGAGAATGGAAGCCAGTTCGTTGTAGAAGGGCGTCGAGACTCCGAGGACGTAGGAGGCGAGACCTAGCTCCTTGACTCTGGGGAGAACGTTCAAGGCCAAGGGCGAAGACTGAGTAAAGTTTTGGTCAAGCGTCCTGAGGGCCTTGAGAAGATGCATAGAGTAGACTGGGCCGTGTGAGTCCATGTTGAGGGATGGCGCCTGTCTCTCTATTTTGGCCTTCTTCTTGCCCTCCTGAGGCTTCCCTTGGGCGATGCCCAGCTTCTCAACCATGGAGAAGACTTCTTGCTCCAGCACATCCCATACCTCAACATCGGTGTTGCAGACATCCAGAAGTTGCTGAAGCTTGATCGCCTCCAGGGTCCGCAGCTCGTCATGTATATCCTGCGTCTCTGCATCTACCTGGTCGGGCTCCATCTCCTCGCGCTTAAAGGCAATGCGGGAGGCAAAGGGTCTCTCCGGATGGTCATCTGAGACCTCACGCATACCGAGCGCTGCTTCGGCAGCTCGGCGCAAGGAAGGGGGGTATTTGCTCAGGATGGCATCGCGGGATCCGGTTTCGGGAGCATCAGCGGCGTCCGCATTATCGCTGCTCAGCGAGGAAGGCTGAGCGAGAGTCGGATTACGCTTCGCGAGATCGTCAAAAATCTTGCGAAAGACATGTCTTTCAGTTGGAGTAATCGTCGACCTTACACCGCCGTCGCGACCACTAGGGATGTCGGGGCGCTCTTCTTCGATTGAACCCTCCCATTCGAAGGGAATCGGCTGCTCGCGCGGGGGTCGGTGAAGCTGCCCTGCAGTTGCTGAAAAAGCACGAACAGCAGCAGAGGCTCGCAGAATAGTCCTCGTCTGGTACAGAAACGGCGTGAGAGTTGTGGCCATGATTGGTTATCTTTTGTTGGGTGGTCGCAACATCAACTAGAAGATCCAAATCGAAGCATCGCCAACTTTTTTTTTTTTTTTTTTTGGCAAATAGTCATTGGAAATTTACAACCAAAGAGAAGCTCGGGCCATGTCAGGAACCAAAATGCAATCATTGGTGCGATACCACTACTGTACCCCACTTCTGATGGCTGACGTAATAGACTTTATATCCCTGCATAGGCACGCCGAACGCGCTTTCCTTGCAGACACGGTAAAATCAATTAAGAAAGCGAGGAGCGCGTCGCTCTTTCCGGGTCCGTCGTGAATCGCCTCCTTCATGCCCACCTGGGAACCTCTCCACCAAAGTATCCTTTTGCGCTCAATTCTGATCCCAGAGTACTACACTTCAAAATCCCGCCTTTGTCTTTCTTCATTGTTAATATATTTTTCGAGTCTTTTCGAGTCTTTACTTTTGCCTCTGAGCTCAAAAGGAGGTTTATATTTACCTCGGTCGATTTTGCTCGAGCATTTTATAACCACATTTCAACACCCTGACGCATGATATATTCCAGGCAGTGCTTTTGTTAGCATCAAACTTGGTCTTTTGAAAGCACCCTTCAGGTTACCTTTGGTGGAAATCTCTATACTCACAACTTCTCTACAATAAACCCGTCAAGATGCCTCCCAAGAAAGTTAAAGAAGAGAAGGTGATGAGCGCCTTCGAGCGTCGTCGACTCGAGAACATCGCGAACAACCAAACTATTTTGAAGGATCTAGCAAACACATCCAACAAAATAATGCCCGCGAAACCCAAGCCACCCCCGAGGTCAGCCAGGGCAGCCCCCGTTAAGAGGGAAGCTGCCCCCGCGACGTCGACAGGACCGATTCGACGCAGCGCTCGTGTCGCGGGACTGGATGCGGATAATGAAGTCCTGAAGCGCAAGTACGAGGTCGAGTTGGAGGATCAAGCTGCAAAAGAGAAGGCAAAAAGGCAGAGGATTGGCGGCGATCTGAAACTCGGCGACATCGCTGTCGAGGGGAAGAAGTGGAATAATGGTATTGACGGACTGGGGGCTTTACTCCCTCGCGGCGCCCAACCCGGAGTCCCGACCTTCACGGATGAGGACATCGAGAACACTTCAGACAAGGACTTGAAGGAACTCCGCAAAAAAATGAATGGCCTAGAGCTGTATGGGAAGTGGGTTCCCAACGGTAGGTTCCTTTATACCATTTTCTGCGAGCTGTTCTTAACACATGTTCAGATATTAAGATATGCCCGCTTCGTATTTACAGCTCTGCATTCCATCCCACCGAGGAAAAGCCTCTGATCTTCGCTGGCGACAAGGAGGGCGCTCTGGGCATCTTTGATGCATCCCAGGCTGGCCCAGAGAGCAATGACGACGACGACGACGATGCGGAGGATAAATGGTTCGAGCCAGTCATTGGCGCATACAAACTTCACACCCGGACAATCTCCTCCATCATCGTCTCTCCATTCGAACAGCAAAAGGTTTACACGTCGTCATATGATTCCACGATACGCGTCCTTGACCTGGAAGGCGACATGTGCGTGCCTGTCTGGGAGCCCGAAGACAAGGACGACGACGTGCCCCTCTCGGCCATCGACATGCCCCTTAATGACAAAAACCTGATGTACTTCTCGACACTCAACGGAGCCCTCGGCAAAGTTGACCTTCGTGACAGAAAAGCAGAGATTTGGCAGCTATCGGACAACAAGATTGGAGGGTTCTCGCTGAATCCACGTGAGCCGCATCTGGTAGCTACAGCCTCACTGGACCGGACCGTCAAAATCTGGGATCTGCGGAAGATCACTGGGAAGGGAGACATGCGGTACCCGGAAATGTGCTACGAACATGACTCTAGGTTGTCCGTTTCCCACGCCGCATGGAGCTCTGCAGGGCACGTCGCGACCTCCTCGTATGACGATACCATAAAGATATACAATTACGGCGACCGCGAGCAATGGGACAAGAAGGGGATGGAGCCCTCGCATGTCGTCCGGCATAACAATCAGACGGGGCGGTGGGTAACCATTTTAAAGCCCCAGTGGCAAAAGAGACCTCAGGATGGTATTCAAAAGTTCGTCATCGGGAATATGAACCGCTTTGTCGATGTATATGCGGCCAACGGTGAACAGCTGGCTCAGCTTGGTGGCGACGGAATCTCCGCTGTTCCCGCTGTCGCGCAGTTCCATCCTACAATGGACTGGGTCGCCGGTGGTACTGCTAGTGGAAAGCTTTGCTTGTGGATGTGAGCTGCCCGGCAACTCCCTGGAGGATCAACCCAAAGAGCAGCGTCTTCACACGCTCGAGTGTTCAGTGACCCGTTGGTCTGCGACGACTCACCTTCGATTGGCCGACCTCTTTTGATGCATTACGGACGCCCTTGCCTTTGGCGGTGGGCGATTGTTTGGAAATGGTTTGCGCGGCGTTTGGGATGGCCAGGTTGGAATAGTAAACTCCAAGCAGATGGGATAGGCATTCAGAAGCCTAATTGACTTTTAGGTTGACGTCTAGGAAGTTGTGGAAACCTGTGTTGGAAAATGCTTATGTTTAGCGTTGGTGCGCTTTATAATAGCATGTATCATGTACGAAGAGTAGACTACGGTCGGCTTACCAGGCCACAATATCTTGGGAATTAGAACTATATTTGTCCATAATATAAAACAAGTGAGGCGGCATGCCAAACAATTAAAAAGTTCATCCCAGTGCAATCGACCCGTAGAGAACGTTTTCAAAGCCCTCTCCAACTTCCAGGTCTGGTTCATATTATCCTTTCCTCGCAGTATACGACCTCAAGTCACCGGTCGAATATTTATATCTCCTTCTGAATAATCAGTCATACTGCAGTGTTGACAGCAGAATTTGACTGGATTTCCGTTCTGAGGTGTATTTAGCCTAACATATTTGCTATGTGCGGTAGCTTGATCGTGACGTTGGTTGTTGTAAAGGGTTTATGGGCAGGCAAGGCTAAATGAAAGACATCGAAAGGTTAAACAAATCTTAGGCCTATGGGAAAGCAGATTCACAACTAACTGATTCGCGTGGACTTCTTGGGAAGTTTTGTTTAGTTTGTGGTAAAAAACAATTATTTAAACTTATTTTATATATATAATTCATTCAACTATTTGGCCTGAAATTATATACTCTGCAATTTTAAGTTACAAGCTCCCTTAACAGCCTTTTAGGAGTAAGACCCATGCACTCGTTTCCGGTCAAGTATAAGGATAACGAAGCTTCGACAACCAGCCATGTGTCTCATCAAGAGCTCAAATGACCCTGTAGGCATCATAAATCACGGTAGCACCCAGCCTCGCACCACTCCCCACCCACATGGCGGTGTTGACAATGTCGCCATACCTCTCGTCGCCCGTCTCCATCTTCACATTCAACCGGAAGCTGTACTCCTCGGGCTTGACGTCGTTGGCCCTCGCGGGGTCAAACAGCCTCTCCATGACGTCCTTGGGTCCCGTCCGCCACCCCGTCGTCTTGACGGTGATGTAAGCAGGCTCCTCATCGTCCGTCTTGAGCAGGTACGACGTCTCAACGTTTGTGCTCAAGGTCTCCGCCACGACGATCTGGCTGTCCTGCCCGCCGGGCACGACGGTGCCGGTGCCCCACTTGGCCGTGAAGACGCCGCCGGAGAAGGAGATCCAGTTGCGTTTCCCAAAGGGGCCGACGCCGACGGGGATGAGGGGGTTAAGGTCTACCACAATGCGGAAATCGAGATCGAGTTTCGGGACCGGGAGGGGAAACGCCGCACAGGTGAGGTTGGGCGGGAGAATGTTCTGGCAGAAAGGCTGCACCTGGCCGAAGGAACTTTTGATGTGCGAGTCAGTGTTTGGAGTTTTGGGCCATGTGCGGGCTTGCGGGGGAATCTGAGATACCTCATGGCGGGCTGAGATCTGGGGATGGTTCAGAGCTTGAGGAGGCGCACGAGAGGCTGAGGAAAAGGGGGGAGATGCTTGCACATTTGTGAGTTCAGTGGAGAAGGCATTGAGAAGTCAAGTTTGGGGAAAAGGAGGGGGGGGTCCGAACCTCGGGATCAGGAATTTGGGTTTTTTGAGCGTGGTGTGAAAGATGTAAAGCAAATCGCCGTTGAACAAAAAACAGACAGGAAGTTGGACTATATATCAGTGACAGAGAGTTTGCTCAACCTCTTCCTCATTGAGGCACTGAGGCACTGAGGCCGATGATGGTCGGTCCCCCCTCTCCTCGTCACATCTGCCCCGCCCCCGCAGTGGTATTCGGCCATGTCGCCGGCAGTTCGGATCCGGATCTCGGGGATTTACAGAGGCACTCGGCAAAGCGACAGACTTGTGAGGCGAGCTGGTCGGTCGATTTTCTTATTGTGGGTTTATATACTGGCAGCGACTTGAACTATTCACGTAATGCTCACCACTCGCCCAGGTTGGTGTTGTTGTTGGAGAGGTGTTTACTGTCACGGCAAGTCCCGCGAACTCATGCACTACTGACATCAACCGTTCTCGATGGCGACGATGGTTTTCTCTGCAATGAATGAAAGGGGTGGGCTGAGTATCAACCAAGTCACATGTATTAATGGTTCGTGTGGCGTTTACAGAATGCTACCTCGGCCAATCATTTCGTTGCAGGCGAGGTGACACCATGATAGTAAGAAGTTGCGAGAGACTATATTGTCACGAGAACTTTAGAACCCAATGGGCGGTATACGCTTGTTCGTCGTTGTACCCAACTTTTGACGAGGTTACGATTGGATTTTTTTCTTCTCTATATTTTGCTCCATTCTTTTTTCCTCTCTTCCTTTTTTCGTTTTCTCTTGTAGTATTTGGCTTCAAGACTTGGCAACGACCTCAACAAATGAGGGGCCCCTGCATGGGGCAGATCTGGCATTCCCCTGAGAGATGGGAATCTGAGAGTCTTAGCACAGTTGGCAAGTCAAGCGACTGTTGGTCGTAAGTTGTTTGCGGCTAGACCTGGGCTGATGTCATTTCAACCTTTTCTTTTTGTGTTTATTTTTTTCCTCCCTAACAATTTACATTTGGCTGTTCAAGCCAGGCCAAGCCACAGTCTGTGGCTGTGGCTGTGGCTGTTTTGCTCGAAGCACTTCGGCCTTGATTGATACTTTCAGAGATAAGGACGAACAATAACGGGCGCCTGTCGAATTCGACATAAATGCAAGAGTACGAAATGGCAGAGGGCAAAGATGGACCCTTCGGGTTGTGACGGACGGGCGTCAGCTCACATGGCGCATCCATGTCTTTGCGCAAAGATCTTGTGATGGAGCCCGAATGGCGCATTTGGCGTCATGGGAGTGGCTTATCGATAAGCTTCGCGGGAGCACCACCAATAGAAGAGCGACGAGACTCGGAAGATGTCCAGGGGAACCTTGGACCCCCACAGTCCAGCTGCGCCTGCCACCTGCCACCCAGTGCCACCAAGGTGCTTACCTTGACGGCACTAAATCTTGGTACGGTCATGGATAGAGCGCTCTACACGTACCATGACAGCAGAAGAAGGCGCTGATAAGGCCGACGCTCTCCTGCCTCGCAGCTGCTCTTCAGTCCCAAAGGAGGAAGCCGAACGTGAACCACCCTTTTCCATCATCGGGGTCCTACAAGAGCCACTCACAGAGAGCAGCACATCAGCACGGACCAGAAAAGGGTCACTGCTATCACAGGCTTCATGCAATCAGCGCTGGGCAGGTGCAGATGAACCCCACCAGAGAGAAAATGACTGGACCCCTGACAGGGACAGAAGAGGGAAGAGGGGGCATCTCTTGGTGTTGCTCCTGCTCTTTGCCCTTTGCTCTTGCTCATGCTCATGCTGATGTAGTGTAGTGCAAGCCCTTGTAGTGTACCTCTTTATTCTGTGTCCATCCGTAAGGTACTCCGTAAGCACGTAAGCTACCTTTTATCCGTCATCTGCCCTGGCTCCTTCTGTACTGGCTCTCCCCTTTAGAAGAGCTCTGACCTGACCTGGCTCTTGCCTGCATGTGGTCTCCACAGGTGCAGCTCTAAGGGAAGGAGGGGGAATGATGGGGAGGGGTGTGAGGTGGGAAAGTACCGGGCAGCTGGCCACGCTCAGTAAGTCAGTCCAGTCCCCTACCGGTATGGGGGTAAGAACGAATGACTTGACTGTGACTACTGAGTGTCTCAGTGCACTTGCCTCCCGCTCCCGGTCAATTTCATCCTGACCGAGGTGCTGCTTCCTTTTCGACCGTCCTTTTTCTTACTGGCGCAAAAAGCAAATGCAGATGCAACCGCGACCGAAGGAGGCCCAAACAAACGGGCTTCTTCCCCAGTGTCTGACGGTCCCCTTTTTCTTCTTTCCTGTACCTATTCCCACTCTTCCTATTCGCCCCCTTTCCCCCCATTGTGCTTCTTGTAGCTACGTAATTGGTTTAGTTTACCTTGACCTGGGCTGTGTGTTGTGTGTGTGTGGGTGTGTGTCTTCTGCCTGAACACCTGCTCACCCTGGATGCACCTCGTCTTCCTCTTCTCTCTTTGTATCTGTGTACATCCATGATCCTCGCTTGTCTTTCTGTAGCCTGGACCAACCCCAAAGTCCGGCAGACACGGATGTCATCAACTCATCCTGCCTTACCTTAACCTTGCCTTTAATTGAATCACCGTAGCCTTACCTAATCCTCTTAACTCTTTATTCGTACCTATTGCACCGGTCGTTTTTGGCTGCCGTCCTTTTGTTTTGTCCCAAATCGTCTCTGAGCCTGTCTTCTATTCTAGATACCTACTCTTCATACGAATTCCGTCATACCCGAGGATACTTTATTTCGTCTTGACGTCTTTACCTTTCTCTGCCGATTGTTTTGCCTCATCGCCTCGTCTGTAATCCTCTCCAAGCTCGAACCTTATCGTCGCCGCCCGAATGTACCCGCTATAGCCTACGATACCCCCCTCCTCCTCTCGTCTCCCCTCCGTCGTGCGACGCTCCTACAGCCTCTTTTACCGGCCGACGAATCTTTCTCCACTTCATCGAATCGAGGACGAAACGAACAAAACCTCTGGCGACTTCGTGTCACCGAGCCGGCCCCGACTGTGACCTCTCGACGTAAGCGCAAACATCATTGCCATGGCACCGCCCGCCCCTGCTGGTGCCTCGAGCACCAGCTTCGGCGGAGAAGAGGAAATCAAGAAACGCGTAGGAAAGAAGCTTCAGAAAAAGCGCCATGAACCTCATACCCCGACCATGGAGCTGCCCGAGAGGTTAAAGGAAGGCGACGATGCCGCCGAAGAGGACTTGGTGCCCACTCAAGGACCGCCCATGTTCATGAACATGAACCAGTCCATCTTTGGCCTTATTGCTGCCGCCGGGTCCCGCGTCGACTTCCATGATCGGTTCGAGTCCAGCGATGAAGAAAGCGGCGGCGAATACGACGAAGACCGTCACCATGATGGCGCCGACGAGGGTAGATTGCACCTTGGCCACGGACTCTTTCCCCATCGCAAACAGCGCCGGCGCAACGACGAACCCGATGTCGCGAAAACCACCGTCTTAAAGAAAGACTCCTCTAGCAAGACCGAGAAGCACCGGCGCAAAATATCGGGTCACAAACTCCTTCGGTCGCTCCCCTCGCTCCCTCGTCTACCGCGACACAAGTCCAAGAAGGAACCATCCAAACTGGAGCCTACTTCCGAAGAAGCCAGTGACGCTTCCGAGCCCCTTCCGTCCCAACAGGTGGCTGATGATACACGAGAAGATGATGATGGAGGCTACCGGCTTGCTCCCGTCATGAGCAGAATGCTAGAAGCCAAGGCTGAGATGTCTGCGAGACCCAGTTTCGATGTCGAGCGTCGCTCTGGCGAAAATATGGCATACAGCGACTCCGCCGATTCCAACGGCACCGCTCTGGCCCGCCGTCTTCAAGACATCTTCGAGTTTGACCACCCTGAAACTGTTATTGAAGGTATGCCACCCCATACTCTGTTTTCCTGTACAGTGACGTCTACGTAGCTGTTTCTAACTGCGTCATAGAATATCCCTGCTGGCTGCTTCAAAGCGTCTTGCTTCAGGGCTACATGTACATCACGGCGAAGCACATTTGCTTCTATGCCTACCTACCCAAGAAAGCGGTTTGTCTCCCGGATCCCCCTGGTTTTATGTCTTTTACTTGTAAGCTGATTAATTGCTAGCATGAGGTCGTTAAATCGGGCTATCTATCCAAGAGTGGCAAACGCAATCCCAAGTACAATCGGTACTGGTTCCGTCTAAAGGGCGACGTCCTCGCCTACTACAAGGACCCGTCCAATCTCTACTTCCCCCACGGTCAAATCGACCTTCGCTATGGCATATCCGCGAGCGTGACGGACAAGAAGGATGGCTTGAATTTTACAGTGGTCACCCATCACCGGACATATTATTTCAGGGCCGACAGCGCGCCAAGTGCAAAGGAATGGGTGAAGAGTCTGCAGAGAGTCATTTTTCGCTCGCATAACGAGGGCGACAGCGTTAAGATTTCGCTCCCCATTGAGAACGTGATTGACATTGAGGACACACAGATGCTTGAGTTTGCCGACACTTGCAAGATTCGTGTTATTGACAACGACGAAACTTACGCCATTGACGAATATTTCTTTTCCTTTTTCAGTTTTGGCAAGGATGCCATCAGTGTCCTCAAGATTCTCATCGAAGATGCATCCTCAAATGCGAAGGATGCTGCTCGGCAAAAGGCCACACGGGAGTACGAAGGGCAGCTGCCGGCAGCTTCAGCACGCAGTTCGATGAGCGGGAGCGGAAGCAGACGCGCCGTTGCTCCTCCCCGACTAAAGACATCAAAGCTTCCCGAGGCCGTGAAAGCCACGCTTTCTCCCATGTCTGCCCACAGCCCCTCTGCACTCAGTCCGCGAGCCAGCATCGATGGTGCCCGCGGCAGCTTCGACGCGTTTAGGGGCTTCCGTCGACGAAGCTTGGACTTGTCAACCATCATCCGTGATTCTTCTCCTCGACGGAGCTTTAGTGGTAATCGACGCTCGATGAGCAGGAACCGCCTGGACGAAAGTCGCCACAAGCCGCACAAGCAAGGCTCAACGGATTCTTACGTGCAGTCATCCATGGAGGACCCTAGTTTTTCGGGAATGGTCGCATCCTCAAATGAGGACCCTTCAGCCAGTCAGATCCTGCGAGGTAGCGACGTCTTTCAGAATCCCACAATGCGCCGGTCAGCGTCTGCTTCCCGAACGGAAATCGAGAAGCACCAACGTCGAGATGCCCGAAACCCTCCAGCCCTCGCTGCCTATAGTGGCCAGCATGCAGCAACGACGGGTTCCATCGCCAATGACGGTGACAGGCCGCCAGTAACGCCAACCCTGCAAAGCATTACTAAGATGGGTGCCTTTCCCCTTCAGCGTGTCGGGGCATTTGCCGAATATCTTAACAGCACGAGCAGTAAATTGGGCTCGATGCTTGCTACCGAGTCCATGGGCTACGTGGAAAAAGTATCTGGGATGTGGCGAGGTGGCCGGAAGCACTATGATGCTCCGCCCGAGATCAAGACGGATGATGAAGATTTGTATGAGGACGCAGAGGGCAAGATCCAGACATCCATGGATCGCTTCCGCGCTCATTTCGCTCTGCCCGAGACAGAAAAGCTCCAAGCGACCTACTTTGGCTACATTCTGCGTGTTTTACCACTGTATGGCAAAATTTACATCAGTGACAAGTCGTTCTGCTTCAGGAGCTTGTTGCCTGGAACCAGGACGAAACTCATTCTCCCGCTCAAGGACATTGAGAATGTAGACAAAGAAAAAGGCTTTAGATTCGGCTACTCCGGCCTAGTTGTCGTCATTCGAGGACATGAGGAGGTCTTTTTCGAGTTTGGCCAGGCAGAACTCAGAGACGATTGTGCCGTTACGCTACTACAAAGCTTAGAGACGACCCGATACCTGAGAGAGACGGGAGACTTGGATATTGAAGAGAAAGAGGACGAAGAAAACGCAATGGCCGAACGTGACGCACTGAAAGAAGCCCGCCAGGTTGAGGAATTTCATGATCACGAACTGCGGTTGCCAAAGAATAGTTCCAACATCAGCGATGCCCCGACGATTCTCTTTGACGACCCCAAGGCCTCCTTCCTGAATTTCAAGCCTCCCCACGCCCTCAAAATCACCTGCCTGACCATCGGCTCCAGAGGTGACGTTCAGCCCTACATTGCGTTGTGCAAGGGCCTCATTGCGGAGGGACACAAGCCTCGAATTGCTACTCATGCTGAGTTCAAGGACTGGATCGAGGGTCATGGAATCGAGTTTGCCAAGGTCGATGGTGATCCAGGCGAGCTGATGAGACTGTGTATCGAGAACGGTACTTTCACTTGGGCTTTCCTGAGAGAAGCAAACTCCATGTTCCGTGGCTGGCTGGATGAGCTGCTCGTTTCAGCGTGGGAGGCCTGCCAGGGTTCAGATCTCCTGATTGAGAGTCCCAGTGCCATGGCGGGTATTCACATCGCCGAGGCACTCTCAATACCTTACTTCCGCGCCTTCACCATGCCATGGACCCGTACCAGAGCCTACCCTCATGCGTTTGTTATGCCCGAATACAAGATGGGTGGTGCGTACAACTACATGACGTACGTCATGTTTGACAACATTTTCTGGAAGGCGACGGCACATCAGGTTAACCGGTGGCGCAACAACACGCTGAAGCTGCCCAACACGAATCTCGAAAAGATGCAGCCGAACAAGGTTCCATTCTTGTACAACTTTTCTGAATACGTTGTCGCGCCGCCTCTGGACTTTTCTGATTGGATCCGCGTCACTGGGTACTGGTTCTTGGACGAGGGTACCGAGTGGGAGCCGCCCAAGGAGCTCACAGACTTTATAGCCCAGGCAAGAGCCGACGAGAAGAAACTCGTCTACGTCGGGTTCGGCTCCATCATTGTGAATGACACAGCCAAGATGACACAGGAGGTTATCGACGCCGTTCTCAAGGCCGATGTTCGATGCATTCTGTCCAAGGGCTGGTCGGATCGCATGGGCAAGCAGGAAGACGACACGGCTTCGAAAAAGGAAGAGCCAGTTATGCCACCTGAAATTCACGTCATCAAGAGTGCGCCACACGACTGGCTCTTTTCTCAGATTGACGCAGCCGCCCACCACGGTGGCTCTGGCACCACTGGTGCCAGCTTGCGAGCCGGCATCCCCACCATCATCAGGCCTTTCTTCGGTGATCAGTTCTTTTTCGGCAGCAGAGTCGAGGATATTGGTGTCGGAATTTGCCTGAAGAAATGGGGCGCTATTTCATTTGCTCGTGCGCTTTGGGAGGCGACACACAACGACCGAATGATTGTGAAGGCTCGCGTCCTTGGCGAGCAGATTCGCAGTGTAAGTGAAGCTCCGTTCTACAGGATGTGAAGCATTACGCTAACGTGCAATAGGAGAACGGTGTTGAGACGGCCATCCAGTGCATCTACCGTGATATGGAATACGCAAAGAGTCTAATCAAACGCAAAGCGGGCAAGCGCGCTCACGTCGAGCCAGACGATGACGAAGAGTCAGCCGAAGAGAGCTGGACGTTCATAGGCAAAGACGAGCCGGACCCAGATATGACGACGAAGAAGCTGTCAGACATGGGAGCGCTCCCAGGAGCGCCAGAGACGAAGCCATTGGGTACCAGAGTTATTCGGTCGCCTTCCTCGCAGCCGGTCGCTTAGGATGTGGATCACTCTGCGCTTAGGGAGGCACTTCAAGACAGCACACCACGTGAGTTAACAAACGACGACAACGAGGACGATGGGGACTGGGAGTTATTTTGAGAATGCATTTTAAGTCGACAAGCAACAACAGGAGAGGATTGGCGTCCAGGTCTAGACAATCTGAGAAGTGGTTCTCTTTTTTTTTTATCGGATTGGAGTCTGGCGGATGGGGTCGACTGCTGGTTATACCGCGGCGTGGCTTACAGGCCCGAGGGACAGGGAACCATGGCACTGAACTTGTGGATAGAGAGAGTACATTAATACTCATTTATGACTTTTTTATTGGCCCTACTGTACGTTGTTGTTGGAGAAGCTGCCGTACGTGCAATGTTTACATAGAGCTTCAGCTCTGAGTATTGATGTGTGGAGTACCAGTCATGATCCCATTTATATAAATATGGTGTTTGCTGCATCTCCCTCTAGGTTTGCTACTTCAAGCCCTGCCGAGAGATACTTCCCTCACGGCAGGCACGCAACGATTTAGCGATTGAGTAATCCGGGGCAGTGGGTCATGGAGTGGTGGGTTTACTTTCTTTATGGGAGCAAAGAGTTGGGGGACCGACTTTTCAAATGTGATGGCATAAAAGGGAATGTTGGCAGAGGGGAGGAATAGACGAGATGGGGTGGTTTCTTGATGTTGGTGTGCATCAGGAGACAATGGAAGGGGGGCATGTTGCTCATGTGAGAGAGAGGCTTGAGTTCACGCCACTGGGGAGGACGAGTCACGGATGCAGGTGTTGGCTAATAAGTCACCCAGGTACATGCAAGGGAGCAGCTTACATGGTAAACAGTAATGAGTAAAAGAGGGTGAAAGTGAAAGGAAGAAAACACAGTAACAGGTGTAAAAGGAGAAGGGAAAAGGGGGGAAAAAAGAACAAGAAAAATGAGCACAAAGCTTGAATCATGCCTCAGCCTCAGAGCATTCTATAGTTATCAATGAGACTGCTGAGGGAACATGAGTGAGCAGATTTGAATGTTAAGAAGCACAGGTCTGTGAAGAAATGCACGTGACTCATCAGCAAACAAGAAAGAGGTGCAGAGGAGCTATGAGAATGAAAAAGAGAAAGAGAACGAGAACGAGTGAGGAGAGGACAGGCATCAACTGTTGATCAGCTGTTCACACTTGCTGCCGGGTGGCAGCATCAGCGACATTGGTGGCTGGATGCTACGGCAGGTACAAATAGGCCAGAGCATCCCACTCTTTCAGAAGGGGGTGGCACGGCTGACAGTGGTTGACGGCACTTCTTTTTTCTGATCTTATCCGCTAGGAGTGACGCTACCTGCTGCCACGCGGACTTGTACCTAGTCTCTTGGGTACCGGTACCTACTCGTTTGTCCTCACTTTAGCACCTCTACCTCCATCAGTAGCAGCATCATCATCACCAACACATCTCCGTCACACCACACAGGCAGCTCAACACCACGACGAGTCAAGCTCTCCAGTGTCGTACAAAAAGGGCCGCAGACCCGAGTCAGAGAGTCAAAACCTGTCATTGGGTTTCTTCATCAATTACCGAATCATCTTATTCACAAAAGCATCCATCTGCTGCACAACCTGTATGCCAACAATACCCTTACCACCATCATCCTCAAACACTATTACTACTTCTCATATTGAGCACCCGAAGAATCCGAGGTACGGACGGTACTTTGTTGTCCAGCACCACTACAAAAGGCACCTTACCTTACTTGGCACACCCGCCACTTGCTCCTACCTCCCGTGCTCCCCCAAGCTACTGCTAGTCAGTCCCTCGGCACGCACGCACATAGCTCCAATTCAAAAACCCCACCTAGCAAGAAGCTGCCCGGGTACCCACTGCCGCAGCCAGAAAAGAAAAGGGACATTCCAAGCTGTGAACGGTGCGCAACCTGGTCCGAGTGACCCACAAATCCGGGATAACATACTTCCGAATCACCGGAGCCGCTTGGCCTGTGCCTCATTCCCGCAAGTCCCGACCCCACTTCGCCCACGTCTGGACTCACCTGCCGCCCCCCAGTTGTTAGGTCTTTCCTTACCGGACCTCACCTTACCTCACCTACGCTTTCCGTTTGCAGCCTGCGTCACGCTCTATTAGCAGTGGCGGCCCACACCCATCCACGTCCAGGTTCAGACGCCTCCACCAGAATTCCGAAGCTTCAAACTCCCTCCCTCAAACGAGGACCAACTGCAACAAAAAAGGAAGAAAAAGAAAAAAAACAGACTCAAGCTTTCAGAACAGCATCATCAAGCACAACTCACCATCTACTTTTCAAGAAAGGCGCGACTATAAGTCCTTTCTTGTTTTCCGAATCACGTCCAATTGCGTCACCTGTCGTCCAAAGTCAATTGCGCCTCCCGCCAGAGAAGTGCAGCATACCTCGATCCGTCCTGTTGTCGTTGTTGTCCCAACACGTCCCGGACTTCCGCGCCTATTCATCCCCTCGTCTTTTCCATCTTCCCTTTGAAGTTGCCAAGGCAAATTCATCTCCCAAGTTGTCTGCCGTGTCATTGTGCAACCTGCCCGCCCGCCCCCCAACGCTCCAGAGCTGTCCCGCCTGTTGCGTCCCTCTTAACCTCGGCGCGCATAGCTTAGGGGCCATGGGACTGGTGACATCGCCGACACCCTCATTGATCGTGACTGGGGGAAGTCCCTTTAGGTTCGTTGCACTTTCTGCTATTGTCTCTCACCTTGCCCCAAAGTCGCTGGTGCTCAACTTGTGACATCCGTCTCATCCTCTTCCCTCCCCTTGCTGCGGCTTCTCCACGTGCGCGTCACCATAGCTAACCAGTTACTCTCTTCGGCGGCAGACTTTTAGATAGTTCCTCCCAGTAGAGCTTGCCACCACCATGGGCAAGCTACTCTCTCTCGGCGCGAGACTGCGCTACCCAATTACCATTACAAAAATTCTCAAGAAACCAGGCGATGCCATTACAAAACAAGAGAGCGTCTTGGAGTACTCCTTCAAATGGATGCGCGAGGTTGGCGATCCCATCGCCGGCAATACCTGGCAAGAGGAGGAGACCACTGTCGTCGGCTGGGATAGTCCTGCTGAGGGCACCATCAAGGAATGGCGTCTGAAGGAAGGCATGACATTCACACGCGACGCGCCGTGCATGGTCGTCGAGGAGGCGTGTTCCCATGAGATTCAGTTCCAGGGCCTCTGTGCCATCTGCGGCAAGGATATGACTGAGGTCAACTGGGCCAGCGACCAACGCGATACCCAACGCGCCACCATCAACATGACCCACGACCAGACTGGTCTCATGGTCAGCGGCGACCTCGCTGCTCGCGCCGAACATGATACGCAGAAGCGACTCCTCCGCCAGCGCAAGCTGAGTCTCGTTGTCGATCTTGATCAGACCATCATCCACGCCTGTATCGAGCCAACGGTTGGCGAGTGGATGGAAGACCCGACGAACCCCAATTACGAGGCCGTCAAAGACGTTAAGAAGTTCCAATTGAACGATGAGGGCCCCAGAGGGATGGTCACATCTGGCTGCTGGTACTACATCAAGATGCGGCCCGGTCTGAAGGAGTTTCTCGAAAAGATCTCGGAGCTGTACGAGCTCCATGTCTACACGATGGGAACACGCGCGTATGCCATGAATATTGCCCAGATCGTCGACCCCGATAGAAAGTTGTTTGGCAACCGCGTCATCAGCCGTGACGAGAACGGCAGCATGATCTCAAAGAGCTTGCAGCGCCTCTTCCCCGTAAATACCAACATGGTTGTCATCATTGACGACAGAGCCGACGTGTGGCCACGCAACCGCCCCAACCTAATCAAGGTCGTACCGTACGACTTTTTCAGGGGCATCGGTGACATCAACTCGAGTTTCCTTCCCAAACGACAAGACATTCTCCCCGCACCACCTGAGCCCGAAGCCAAGGCTCCACCAATCGCCCCCGCGCCCGAAGCGACGACCAACGGCAAAGTGTCTGCTATTGATGAGCTAGTCAGCATGAGCAGCGGCGAAGACAAGGTCTTGCAGGCGGCCCAGACCGAGGAGCAGGAGAAGTCTTTGGAACAACAAATCAAGGATCGGCCTCTGCTCCACATGCAGGAAGCTCTGGACAAGGAGGATGAGGAGAAGGAGAAGGCCACCCAGGAAATTGAAGAAGACGGCGCGCCGGTCATGACAGTCCAGCATAGGTCACAGGTCCTCCGTGATGACGACGCCGAGCTTATATACCTACAACAACACCTTACGCGTCTACACGAACAGTTCTACAAGGAGTACGACGAGAAGCGTGCTGCCATGCCCCAGCAGTCGGCGCCCAAGAAGAAGTTGGGCGAGGAGGCTATTGACCTGTCGGCTGTACCAGATGTCGGGTTTGTCCTAGACACGATGAAAGCATCGACACTGGAGGGCACTACGATCGTCTTGTCCGGTCTGGTTCCGCTTGGTGTCGATGTTTTGCAGTCCGAAATTGGAATCCAGGCCATGAGCTTCGGTGCCCAAATTCAGACTAAAGTATCGAAGAAGGTGACACATCTGGTGATTTCAACATCGCGGCCGCGGACACAAAAGGTTCGGCAGGCCGCAAGGATATCAAGCATCAAAATCGTCAGCCAAAACTGGCTTTCGGATTGCTTGAGCCAATGGCAACACGTTGACGAAACACCATATCTTGTCGAGGTCCACCCTGCAGACCGGCGGCCGCACAACGCCACCTCGGAAACGACAGACGCAGACACGGTATCAGACCTTGACGGAGACGACCAATCAAGACCACACCTCACCATCATTGACGAGACGGGCGAGCAACGCATTCTTGAAGAAGACGAGGATGCCTCGGACGAGGACGACGGCGATAATGATCAAGACGGCGACGAAGAGAACTTGTTGCCCGAGTTCGAAGACGGCCAAATCAGCCCAATAGATGGCCTCAAGACTTTTGATTGGGAAGGCGTCGACGACGAAATGAAGGAATTCCTCGGCAGCGACGACGACAGCTCGGACGCAGACACGGAGAGTCGCAGCGGAGACGTAGAGTCGGGCGACGAGCTGCCGGCCTCTCAATCATCGACAAACTCCGCTACCGGCACAAAGCGGAAAGCCGTGGACGACGACACCGCGTCGGACGAAGGCGGGAGCGCGCTTTCCAAGAAGCAGCGGGTAGCAAAGAGCCGCGGAGCATCAAAATTGAGTTCCGTCAGGACACCAAACGCCGATGACAACGAATCGAGCAGCCTCCCGACACCGCAAGTGACGGGCGACGAGGAGGACGTGTCCCTCGTCCCCGACGGAGGGGTCAATCTCGACAATGGGGCTGACTTTGACGAGGATGATCTCGAGGCAGACCTGGAAGCCGAGCTACTGGCGGCCGGAGAAGACTAGCGGGCCGCTCCTGTGTCATACTGTTAAAGAAGTGCATATAACAAGAGACGACGAAAGAGGATTCTTGTAGTGGTGGAAAACTCGGTTGGCTATGGTTCATTTGGTTTATACCCAGCCTTTTCCGTTGGCGATGCATGGCATGGAGTTGAGATGTGCAAACACCTGTAGGATTTATGACCAAAGTATGGATTCGGGATCGCGAGCAGACTATTCAGATGCGGTGTAAGGTACAACATATCTGCATATAGCCGTGGTCCAAACTTAAATGTTTTAACTAAGAAGTAACTGTTCTACATGTTTGTTTTCTCGTGAAAATTACACCGAGGGATATCTTCACCGATGCCGAGTTCGGTGTGGTTCGGCGAATGTAGTGTGTGGGGCACCTGGCAGTTCCTTACATAATCACCTGTCAATCGAACGAATCACCGTCGTCCCGAAAATAATCACCTCAGGCACCCTCCCCGGCCCCCAGGCCAAAGCTTGACCCAGAACTTGAAGCTCGACGACGACCGACGCCGATTTACATTGCCAAACGCCCTCGAACCAGTCTTTCCCGAAGTCGGTTATCGATCGAGTGTGTCAATTGGCCCCAGGAGGCCCCTACTTTACGAGCGACTTTGCCCGCCTTGCCCGCCCCCGAAATCGCAAAACCTACAAAACCATTTATCGATCGCAGCCGACCGCGTTGGGTCGGTAGGTACAATTTGAGCCAGGATGCCTCAGGATATGCCCCCCGTCGGCGGATACCAGGCTGTGCAGTACAAGGTGAGTTTGTCATGTTGCTGTTGCGGGTGAGGTAGGAGTTGGGAGCAAGGGAAGGGGGTTATCGTGAGCCGCAAGAAGGTGGGGGGATTTTTCGATGCGGGAGATGGCGGATATGACCGGCACGATGGGTATTAAGGGTTCGATCCGAGGGATAAGAATGATGATTGATGGAGGTCATTGGTCATTGAACGGAGGAATCGTGTGTCCCAGCCGTCAGGATTGAACTTTTGGACCGGGCTACCGGAGGGAACGCATCGGGCTCTGCCGGAGATGGAGCTATATATATATACACAGAGAACTTGAAGGACGCCTGCTGACTGCTCGGGTAAAACAGCGCAACCTGCCCGCCCGTGGATTTCGCCCCGGCACGATGCTGCTTGGTATGGGACTTGTGATGGGATACGGATGGTACCACCTCATCAAGGGTATCCGGGAAGCCAAGTACGTTTTCTCTTTTTTGGGTCCTTTACCGTACCTCGCCCGCCGCGTTGTACGAGCGTCTTGCCGGGAAATACTGCAGTTGACGATTCCGTGCTTATGTGGGTTTCGTCATCGAGTATATGGCACGGCAAGCCGTACACCGGCGGACGGTTTCACGCAGGGCACTGATGGACGGATTGGAGATGCTAACGGGGTCACAGCGAGCTCGCGAGAGAAAAGATGTGGGCGCGCATCCACCTCATCCCTCTCCTCCAGGCGGAGGAGGACCGCGACCAGGTCCGCAGGTGGTACGCCGACCAGGCGAGAGAGAAGGAGCTTCTTGGCGAGAACACCAAGGTCTACCACTCTGAGAGGTACGTTGCGTGTTCACTTTGCCCCCCGGTGGCAGTTTGTGGGAAAAGGGTGAAAAGGGTGAAAAGGGTGAAATGCAGAGGGCTAACTATTTTTCGTCTACAGATTCGTCCGTCCCACGTTTGCCGTTACGCCGCAGAACAAGTCCTAGACGATTGGTGTATCTGGGGGCGTAGGGTGAGATGGGGAGAAGCTCGGCGAGGGCCGGCGTGTATATACGATACTTTTTTCGAGGCTGGGGGAAATCAAGATTGACTGTTGAAATCAAGTTTTTTGCTGCCGTGCATTCCGCGCGTTACAAAGTGGGCTGCTTGGGTGACCGTCTCTGCCGTCGGTTTTGAGGCTGGAACTGGGTATACTAGGTGTGTGTGTGTGTGTGTGTGTGTGTAATGTTCCAGCACCCTTTGGTGGGTTAAAAATTGCAGTGAAGACTAAATTTGCAAAGCCAGGGTTTGGCTGCAGAAGTAGCGTGTATCTGTCCTGGTCTCGTTCCCGATGATGCGTCTTCAACTCCTACGAACGTTTCTCGAGCCAAGTCAGACCAAGCTACGTCGCTATCGTGTGGCTTGCTTGCGACTGAGCTTTTGGGAGTGATGAAATTGCAGTCAAGTGTGAAACTTGGACGGAATACGCTCATCATCCCTTTTTCTTCGCTCACTTCTCGCCGGCACTTTTTACAAAACTGGTCAGGCTGAGTGTGCCTCGCCATGTGGCTCGTAGTATGTAACATTGGCCTTCTGGTAGGAACAAATCTGTGGCCGCTCGGGACGAGCCAATCATGGGACGCGGATGTCAGCACATTTGGTCTCCTTGGGATGGGCTAAAATTGCAGTGGAAGTTGTGTATCTTTGGGGGGGTATTCGCTCGTCCTCATGCCGTGCCTCTGCCGTGTTTTTCAGTTTTATCTCGCTTTTTGTATGTCCTCCTGCGAGCATAACAAAAAAGAATCCCAGAAGCCATTGGCCATATTCATTGTCTCTGCTGTGTGAAATTGCCCGGTGAATTAAACTGCCTCGCAGTATTGGAAGCTACTGCTCAAGGTCACTTGGTTGAATTTGAGCGTCTTAGTAGGGTACAAGAATGCAGCAAGATAGCCTGCCACTACGTTTCCAAGGGTTCCGGGTGAGTTGAGCTGTCTTAAATTTCAGGAATGCAGTATTCCGAAATCAGGTATTTTCACAACTAGACTGTCTTCTCATAAGTTGATAAAGCTGATGAATGTTCAGAATGTTAAACTACATGCAAGCAGATGCCCAAATTATGGCACATCAAAGTAGCCAAAACCAGCTTACTCTTAACGCTCCTGCGCCAATACAAACACATCCCCTCCCATACCCTCGAACGTAGTCTCGTTTCGAACAACACCATTGACGCTAATACTAGACTCATTCAACGGCGTCACAAGCGGCCAAGGCGGATGAACCACTCCCTTCCCGCACCCAGCAGGGCTCTCCACCCTCATCCGCAGCAGCCCACCCTCGAACCGCCAGTCGACCAGTATAGGCCCCGAAACAGTCGGATGTCGTCCCCTGGCCCACTCCAGGCCCAGAGTCTGCGGCTGGACCCTCCACTCCTTAAAACCCGGGGGCCGCGGGCTGGACGCCGAGGACATGCTTGCTTAGCTCGGCCGTGGGCCCCGCAGCCCAGCCGTGGCAAAGCGACGTCGACAGGCCCAACCCGGGCGTGCCGTCGGGATCGAGCGTCTCCCAGAAGCATCCCGTATAATTGGCATTGGTCGGGTCCGCCATCGGCGCCCATGTCTTCTTTAGCAACATCATGGTGGATGACGCGTCGCACGACTCGAGCGCGGTGCGGAGGTGATATGCCGCGGCATACGGACTGACTTTCCTGGCCCAGCCGGCGCCCGTGGTGGATACGAAAAAGGCGAGAGCACCGGCGGGAGCGGCGAGACCAGAATTCATGGCGGAGAGTATGGACAAGGCGGGGCGGGACGAAGAAGAAGAAGATGAGTTGCCGTGGGTTCCGGGGACGCCGGCGAGGATGGCAAGAACGTTCGCCTCCTGCGAGAAGCCGTCCCTGAACTTGTCCGACATAACGTAGACGCCCAACTCTTGACTCCAGAGGTTCTCGTTGATCGCGGCCCGGAGACGCTCGAGTCGCTCCCGGTAGGCCGATACCTCTACGCCGGGCGTCCTCGAGGAGCTTCAGAGACTGCTGCAACGAGTATGCGTACACGGCGTTGAACTTTGTGACGACTCCGGACTGCGTCGGGTCGTAGTAATTCCAATCGCCGCCGAACGACGCGTCAGAAAGGTTGAACAAGCCGTTGGCAAGGGTCTGCGAGTCTGCCCAGTCTAGCATCTTCACTACTTTGGGCGCCGAGGTCAGCGCGAAAGTGAGATTGCCTCGCATCTCATAGTTCTGCGCGACGGCAGTGACTAAGTTGAAGGAGTACCCTATCAGGCCCGTGATGTTCACGTCCAAGGGCGACGAGAGGGGGCGGCTGCTGGATCTTGGCGGTCGGCGTGAAGAAGCCCGGTGTCGCCTGGCAAGAGCCGATTAGATCGAGTGAACCGTCGACGAAGGTGATGCCAAAGGTACTGGCGAAGGCGGCGCAGACGGCCACGTCGACGTCGCCCGTGTAAGCGATCCGGTCGCGACGGGAACCGTCTACGATGGTGTCTGCCGGGTTTGTCCCCATGAAAAAGTCCGAAAGGTAGCTGCGGTCGGTATCTCGGTCAGTTGGACCGTTCTCGCTCCCACATGCCATATTCTGGTGAGATCATCATCAGAGCACTCGAAGGAGCCGGGGAGCTGGGTTAGGGGCGTGGCGGAAGTCGTCGGCTTGACACCAATGTTTCACAGTGTTAGTGCCCCCGCGGTCGAGAGGTTGAGCTTCTTGTAACGGAAAGCCCCTTGAACGAGGCGGTTTGTGATGACTGAAGCACCGGTGATGTTGTGCTGCGTGACTCTGTAGGTGTCCATCGCGGCTGCCAGGGGAAGCGGCCCATCGCTCTTTCGGCTGTTAGAACCAAACTTTCTCTAACTCGATATGTGACGCGAGAAATACCTTGTACTGCCCCAATTGCGCTCTGCTTTCTCCATACGAGACCTCAAAGAGCGAAGTATCACCGGAGGCAGAAACAACCTCAAAAGTCGGAAAGCCTTCAACGTTTTCGCCCAAGTCGAGGACCACGATAGCAGGGGTTGTTTCGTTGGAGATCAACGTTGTGGTCTCGTTCGACCCATGGATGATGGCATTATCTTTGGAAGATGTAGCATTTGGCCTTACAGAAGAATTAAAGGAGCTCGAATCAGAGAAGCCGTTCGCAACATGAAGAAGAAGAAGCACAGCTGTAGCTATGCTTACTCCTGGGATGGATAATGCCAACATTACAGGAATCAAAGAATTATAATGTAGAGAGGTAACGAATGACGAAGTAAATGAGCGTGTAGAACATATAGAACAGCCACAACCACGAGATTAGAGGATATTTGTACTTGGCAAGCCAATCTTTTGGACTCCATCGCGGCTTGTCTATGGTCATCTTGTTGTCGGTCCTCGTCGGGTTCTTTGGTGGGGAACACGAGAATGCGAGGTCGGCGCGGTGCGCATTGCCACTGCAACACGCGTTTCTCGTCGGATTCGAGAAGCCTTGCGTCGCTCCCCCAACATGCTTCCCTGCATTTTCCCCGGATCTCTTGGAAACTATCAAATTGTACCATGTTCCAGAGGCTGAGCAGCGCTCAAGAAAATCCCCGTGAAGTGGACCAGGTCTGACGAAAGTGCTGAAGCTGTCGTTCAACGATGCGTCTCTCTGCTGTCAACTGAGATTTTGCTGAATTTAATATAGTATCTGGGTAACAGGAAAGGCGTAGAAAGAAATTTGAGTACCAGATAGCAGTTTGGCAGGCATTTTCAGATTTATTTCTCTGGAAGTTCATGAGGTTTAATTTTGATGCTCTATACCCTATTTAGAACCTTCAAATAAAACATCAAATAAATCGTTTCGAGTCCAAATCACTTCAGATCCTTTATAAAAATTCATAATCCATCTCACCTGGATCTTCAGATCAAGACCCATGTATTTAAAAGTTCTATCAAAATAGTATTTGGTGTCGTTGACTCGATTGATTGAAATCCTGCCATTTTCACATCTCGCTTTTCGCCGTACTTGAAACTCCGGCCCACCGCATGGTATACCCCAACATCGCGCCAGGGTATCCTGCCCGAACGTCGAAAGCGACACTTGTGCTTCTCAAGACCCCAAGCCAAGTTTTCATATCGGAAAAAGGACCTGGAAAATAATATTTCAATGCAAATGTCGATTGATGATGACGCGCTCGAATGAGACTGGGCATTGAGGCGGTGGGTTTTCGACTGACGCGACGAGAGTTGCCGACTAGAGTGACAGAGACGCAAAGCCTTCTCTTCTTTTCCTCTAGACTACTCAACCAGATCTAAGGGTGCCTATTCGGCCAAATCTGCTTGTTTTCATGGGGAGGAATCATGAGCATAACTAATGTTCAAGGTCAACGAGTTCACGTAGTTTCGTGATGCGATAGAAAACCTTGCATTTTGATGACGTGCACTCATAGTGCACTCATGCCCATACGCAAGTCAGTTGTACAGCCCTCAGGCGCATATTCAATTAAAATCAAGTTCATCATCATTAAGTCTCATCATCCGTACAGTACTGTATGTGGTATCCCAACGTGACGCAAGTCAAACCAGCCGACCAGCCAGAACCAACAAGAACCGAACGCCGACCATGACCCTATATTTACACGGCCACTAAGCCAGCCTGTCCCGTCTTCCCATGTGAGCTCACGCGGCGAGCCGAACCACCTTGAATCCTTCAGAGATGGTCTTGGTGATGTCCTCGTTCTTGTGCTGTAGAAGTCCCAGAGCGAAGGCAACGTCGTTCCACTGCCGCTCGGTCTCGCAACGTGTGAGTCTGGCGGCGAGTTTCTCGGCCAGCTGCTTGGCGTGCTTGTCCTATAGAAATGGTTAGATAAGCCATACAACTGTTGATGAATGAATGGGGAAAAACATACCTTCTCAACAAAGCCCAAGAGGAATCTGATGATCCTACGGAAGCTCTCCTCCTCCAAGTCCTTCTCCGCAGACAGCAGGCTGAACATGTCGACAAAGTGGTTGTAAACGGCATTGTCCTTGGTGCTGAGCTCGGTGAAGAACATCCGTGCCAAATCGGCGATACGGCGATCCTCATCCTCCAAGCATTTGGCCATCTCGCCCAACTGGCCCTTGACCTTGACCTGTCCGGCAAGAATGAGGAAGGTCAACGTCATCAAACAAGTACGCTTGACAGACTGGTCCTTGTCAGCCAGACGGCGGTACAAGAAGTCGGTGTTTTCGTCAATCAGGTGGTTAAAGCACACTGCCATGTCACCAAGGGCGATGACAGCATTGGAGCGCACGGTAGCATCGGTGGAGCGCTCCATGATGGTGATGAGGAGCGGCAGGTTGGCCTCGCAGTACTCGGAACTGACACACATAAGCTTGGCAAGGCAGAGTGTTGCAGCGGCTTGCAATCCCTTGTCGGCGTAGGTTGTGTTGTTGGCGCAGATCTCCGACACCAGAGGACCAAACATGGCCAGCAGTGAGTCGGGGCCATACAAGAGCTCTCGCTCACGAATATGAGCCATGGCCTCCGTAAAGTCATCCTCAGTCGTGCCGCCAATGAGATCAAGGTCATCAGGCTCATCCTTCTTTCCGCTTGCCTGTGCCGCCTTGTCTGCTGTCTTCTCCTTCTCCTGTTCCTGCTTACGGCGCTTGAAGTCGAGTTCGCACAGTTCGAGGTGCACAATCTGCTTGATGGCAACATGTCCAACAATGAAAAGAAGTTGGGAAAGCCCAATAGCAGCGTCACGCTTCCTAGGTTGAGGAACGACAGTCTCATTGCTGTCGCTGGCTGCGTCGTCAACATCCAGCTCTTTGCTATCTGCCCGCGAGGAACGGGACGCTGTCTCGTCTCGCGAAGACGCCCTTTCATCTCTGGAAGATGGTCTGGATGAAGGAGCTGCGAAGACTCGCTTTGTCTTACGGCGAATAATCTCAGAACAGAGAATGTCGGGGTGCTTGGAAATGGCGTAGATGGCATTGATGGCCTGTTCGGCCACGCCGTACCATTCCTTGCTCTCTGAGGGAACCTCGGTAATGGCTGCCAGCTTGGCCAAGACAGCATGCTCGTTTGGAAGACGAGAGAACTTGACGGTTGATTCCTTCGCCTGTCTGCCGGTAGGGTTAATGCGCCGAAGAGCAATGCATGTGTACTTGGCCAACTGGAGATCAGCGCGGCCATGAGAGCTAAGACCAGTCCGAAGCATTGTCTCCATTTCTCCGACCACGATCTCGGGGCTGGCCGTTGCAAGCATGCCAAGAACGATGATGGCTCCCCTGCGCTGAGTCCTGGAGATCTCTCGCTTCTGAACGCCGTAGACTTGCCAGAGCTTGGCGATGACAATTTCAGGAATCATGCCACCCTTCATCATGGTGCTAAGGAGCTGCTCCAGTGAAGTGAGCTCGGCGGGAGTTGCGCCAAAGGTCAGACTAATCATGTTGCGAGCAATGAAGTTGGCAGCATCGTTCGAGCTGAAGGAGTCGGGTGCCTCAAAAAAGAGGCGCTTATAGACATCAATGAGGTGGCTCTGGACGCCCTTGCCCTCATCACTGTTACCCTTGGTCCAAATGAGACGCAGCATGCGGCGAATGCCGACCTTGTTCTGTTCAATATTGTAGGCATCGCCGACCTCGAAGTAGTCCATGGCCTCGATGACTTCGCTCTTGTTTCTGGAGCCCAGCAACTGGCAGACAGTGCCGGTGGCGTTGTGTAGGACGTCAATAAACTTCAGTGCCTCTGAATAGTACCGCTTTGTGAGGGTAAGCTTCTCAATCGCCTCGGAAGTGGCGGCCTCCTCGCGCGCCTTACGAACTGCTTCAAACTTCTGTTCATCAGTCATAGGCTTCTGAGGCGACTGCTCGATCTGTGTGGCGTCGTCTAGCAATTCGTTGTCAACTGTAGTGTTTGCTTTGTCCTCGCCAAGGCCAGCTCCCTCAGGGGGCTTCAGTGCGTCAAGTTCCTCGTCCACCTTGTCGAGGCGGGCCTGCCATTCCTTGCGCGAAAGTTGTGCGCCGTGCATGACGGTGAAGGGATGTGTCTTGATCAGAGTGCCGAGGAGTTTGATAGCGTTCCTTCTAACGTGACTGCTCTTATCTTCGAGGCTTCGGCAAGCTAATTCAGCCGCGCGCTGCCGACGCTTGGGGAACTTTTGCTCGAGATCACAGAGCTTGACATAGACTTGGATTGCTCTGCATCTGCAGTAGGGGTTGATGTCGAGGAACCGCTCTTCAAGAACATCAAAGAAAGCATTGAGCTGAGACTTGTGGTTCTCGCCGCGTTCGTCCTGCTTGACGAGGTGGGCAATCATATTTCCGCAGACCTCAACCAGGGCGCATCGCAAGGTGTATGACTGCAAAAATTGTCAAAAAGTGCATCGCGACCCCTGGAATGTAACCATACCTCGCTATCCAGCTGCTTGGCGAGCATCGTCATCTGCTTGATGACTAGCCTAGGAGCAAGCTCCGAAAGCTTGACAATGAACTGAGAGACTGACTTAGGACCTTTGGTGTCGTTGCTGTTGAACTCCTTGTTACTGAGTTCGCGCAAGATCTCGTCGGCTAATTGGGGATAGTCATATGTCTCGGCCAAAATATGAAGGAACTCGGCCATGGGCTCGGAGAGATGCTCGAAGTAGGTCAAGTTTTGGACAATAGAAATTTGGGCGGCTATATCAAAAAGTCAGTTACTATTGCTGCATCCAAGACTACAAAGCTTACCATAAGCATGGCCGTGGTGCTTAACAGCAATGCAGAGAACCTTGAAAGCGTGCATCCTGATGGATGTGGCCTTGACGCGCTGCTCGCTCTCGAGGACCATGTAGACAGGCCGGGTTAGCAGGCCGATGAAGGTGTCTCTCTCGGATGTGGTGAGGAAAATCTTGGTCAGCTTCAGCTTCAGTACTTTGCTCATAATGTCAAGAGCGGACTGCAGCTGAGTGGCCGAGTCCCAGACGCCGTCCTTGTCCTTTGCCGCACTCTTCTTGGGCTTGCCGCGACCACGGGCAACAGGTGCTGTGGATGACTTTTCTGCTGCCTTGGTCTCGACAGCGGCGATAGTCCATTGGAGAAGGAAGCCATAGATCTCGAGCAGCTGCTTGTGGTGGGCTAGTGTCTCCTGTTCATCGGGGGACTCGAGGTCGTGGTGTATCGCGTCAGCCTCGGCGGCAAGGCCGGACATGACGAGGTCGAAGATCTTGCTCAGAGCATGTGTGGGCAAGAAAGAGGTATACCTAGGAATTTCGAACAGTTTAGAATCATGTTCCTGCTTGAAGAGGGGGACTGCGACAAGGGTAGAGGAGGATGAAGAGAAAGAAGCAGAGGGATCCAAGGTACAAGGGGAGATGGGTGCGCACTTTAGGAGGAATTGGAGAGAGTCGAGATGGGCGGTGCGAGTGATGGCCTCGGGGTTCTCGGCGACAGCATCAACAATGGGGTTGAGCACCGGGTTGATGACGCCGTTGGTGAGGCCCTCGGGGTCATTTTCGCAGTCGAAGAGCGAGGCATCTGCTTCGGGAGTCGGAATACTCGCAGGATCGCTCATATAATGCTTGAGCGCATCATTGATGTCGAATGTGACCGAGTCCATGGCTACGGTCTAGGCGTGTGGTGCGCACCCAGCGGTGGGAATGCGATCAAGAGGATGTGTGAGGAGAGGGGTTGTTTAGAAGATAGAAGATAATAAACAACAAAACAGAGCGATGACCAAAGATGGGTGAGAAAGATAGGTCAAGAAAAGATGGTGGGGTGGCCTGCAGCACAAGTGCAGATATCCGCCAGGGGCCAGTTTCCAAAGCTGCAGTGGTTAGTAATTATGCGCCGCGCCCCGGAGAGAATATCGGCGGGAAGGTTCGGCTTGTGATGATGGCGATGTTAGTAGAAAGAGGTGGTGTATGTCTGTGTGCTGGGTGTGTGTATTATTTTAATTTTTTGGTGGCAGCGACACACAGACAACATAAACGGCTTCCCAATGACAACAATAGAGAGAAAACGGCCCTGTTTCTTTCCCTCTTTACCGGTCCTTTCCCACCCGAAACCTGGTAGAAGCGCCTAGCAACCGAGATGGATTTGTTTTTGTTTTCTTTTGACGCGACCCAGTCGCACTTTCCCTCTTTTCCAATCCCAAAGAGGTAATGCGGGGTCAACAACAATTAAGTGATTGGGCCTCACACATCATAAGTGGACACTGTACCCTTATTTTGGGGCAGGCGGTTGGATGGCCCAGGCTCCTGCCCCTCCACTTAGAAAGCAGCTGAAAGCCCTCCGGGAAGGAAGATTCTTGTTTGTATGGATTTTGAATTAGGGAAAGAGGTACCGACCGCAAACTACATCTACGTACTTACCTCGTGCCTTTTGTCATCTTTGAAGTATACCTACAGGAATACAACAAAGACACTGCTGAATATACGACTGGGAACGACCCCCCCCAATGACACTCAACACCAACTGGTCGCACCTTTCTTTCATTCGCAAATCGCCTGTAAAAAGTACGCCTCGACTTACTTAATACACATACATACATACATACATAGACAAACTCCTTCGCGCCCACGCCTCGAACGAACGCCATCACATCCACCCGCCTTGCTGCACTGCAGGCCCAGTCAGACACACAGCTGCATAATACGCAAACCCCCGGCACCATCCTACACAAACGAGGAAAAAAAATAATAATACATATCCTCCCCTCGCATTCCAATCAAAATCCCCCCCCAAAGCCCGCCTCGGATGACGCAGTGTACGACCCAGCGGGATTCCTCAGCTGGCCTCAATCAACCCAATCTGGAAGCCATCAACCAATTGACTCGCTTCAGTCAGGCCCTTAACGTCGAGCACTGGGCCACCCCAGACAGTGTCTTGAAATCTTACTCTCCCTTCCATGCTCCGGCTCACCCATCCGCCCCGGAACAGCCAGAGGCACACCTGCAATTGGCCCACCGCCCAGTAACGGCCACCGACGAGACGAGACGAGAAGCCGGTGCCATGGCTACGGCGACGAGGAAACGAAGTCGCGAAGCCTTTGAAATCCACGAGGATCCCCCACACGCACGCACTGAAGACACAGAGATGGTTCCCGGCTCCGAGCACCAGACTGAGGTTGAAGAAGACGACGACGCAGACGACGCCGAGAACGATTGCTCCGACGAGAGCTCTGACGAGGACGACATTGTCGATTCCACTGTGCAACGCGACATGGAGCGTCTTCAAGATTGTTTTCCCGGCTTCCGCCACAAGTATCGCCTCATTAAGAGGATTGGCGAAGGTATGCATTTCGTCCATTGTTGATTCCCTGCGAACCCTTTGCTTACCTTTTGACGTCTCTTTAAGGCACATTTTCGACAGTCTACAAGGCCGAAGATATACTCTACGACAGATACGACAATGATTGGGATATCGAGAAGGACACACCGAGTGTCAAGTGGTCAACACCGCCGTTGAAGCAGCGCTATGCTAGCAACAGCTCGGCAACGAGAGAGCCACGCCGTCGTGCTCGATACGTCGCCATCAAGAAGATCTACGTCACGTCAAGTCCGACACGTATTCTCAACGAGCTCGAACTTTTACACGACCTGAGGAACTGCCCTGCCGTGTGTCCTTTGATTACAGCCTTCCGCAACACCGACCAGGTTGTTGCCATCTTACCATACTTCCGACACGAAGATTTCCGTGATTACTTCCGTCAAATGAAGGTCTCTGACATGGCCATCTACCTTCGCAGCTTGTTCACAGCGCTTAAGGCTGTCCACGATCACAAGATTTTGCATCGTGACATCAAGCCCACCAACTTCCTCTACGACCCGCAGTCACGCCGTGGAGTGCTCGTCGACTTCGGTCTTGCTGAGCGCGAGGGCTCAGATAGCAAGCCGTGCCTGTGTCACGAGAGCAGAGATGTCCGCAAGCAGCGGATCCAAAACAGCGCAGCATCACAAAACGGCCCGCAACAAGGCTACCCTAAGCAAGACACCCGCCCATCGCGACGGGCCAACCGCGCCGGAACCAGAGGTTTCCGTGCACCAGAGGTTCTTTTCAAGTGCACCGAGCAGACGACCAAGATCGACATTTGGTCGGCTGGCGTCATCCTCCTGACCATCATGAGCAAGCGCTTTCCTTTCTTCAACAGCGCCGACGATGTCGAGGCTATGATCGAGATTGCTACCATTTTCGGCACGAAGCGTATGAAGCAAGCTGGTCTCCTACACGGTGCCATGTTCGAGACCAATATCCCCACAGTGGGCAGCGCAGGATTCTCCCTTGAAAAGATTATTCTGTGGTCCACATGCCGCACCGACGGAGGTAAGGACGGCCAGCCAGGGATACCATTGGACGACGAGGAGAAGCTGGCCGTCGAGTTCTTGGGCCGCTGTCTGGAGCTCGACCCTGCAAGAAGAATTAGTGCCAAGGAAGCCTTGGAGCATGAGTTTTTGCGGGAGCCCCAGCCAAAGCCCTCGGTGGAGACGATAGAAGTTGAGGATGATGATGAGATGGACATGCTGGAGGCGTAATGATAATGTTTTTGGCACTAAATCACTTTTTCGATATCCAAAGAACAAAAGTTCTTGCCCCACGACGAAGGCTAAGAGTGGCACAAGTATTTGTACGATCAGAAGGCGTTTGGGAAGGAAGTGCAAAGGCATGAATTTCTTGTTGCTAAGTGCAGCATCTACCTTTGAAAAAAGAGAAATAGCGGGACGAGGCATGAAGCATCATGGAGATGCGGACGAGGGAGCGAATGCACATGTAGGACAAATCAAGTCGACGTAAAGTAATACCATTTCAATCGTACCCGTCCGTCCGACTTGACCCAGACGCCGCCCAAACAGAAAGACAAAAAGCCCGGCCATTCGGGATATGTGTGTGCGTGTGACGCGACGCGTGACAATGTTCCCGTCATCATGTGAGATCAAGAGCCTTTTTTTTATTCGGTTTAACTCCTTGGAAGTCAGATCTTCATGCAATGCGAAAAGCCGTTTCCCTAGGCCCTTTCCCATGTCCCGCCAAAGCGCAAGTTTGTGTGATGACAAAAAAGCGGTCCGCCGCCCGCTTCCCGAGGCTGCATGGCCCGTCATTCCCAATACGTCAAGTGTGTTTTGGATCCCCGTGGAGTGTTCCGAACTTATGCCACCAGCTCAACGACACCACCGGCCTCGGTGATCTTCTTCTCCGCCTGTGGTTTTTTGTCAGTCAGTTATTGCTCCTGCAACGTCAAACCGTTTGGGATCGGAGGATGGGTAGACATACCAGCTTGCTAACCCACCGAGCCTTCACGACGATAGGGACCTCAGGGAGGCGGCCCTTGCCGAGGACCTTGGAGTAGCCGAAGGGGAGGAGGTCGATGACGGGGACGGTGTCCTTCTTGCCGGCGAGGTACTCATCCCTCTTCTCGGCGGGGACAAGAGTCCAGAGCTTGTCCAGGTTGATGACGGGCTTCCAGAAGTGGCTGCAGACAGGTTAGCACCTAACACGACGGTGTGGGGGATCCTCGGTGTTTGGCGTCTCGGTGTGCTCTGCGGTTCTGATGGTGCTGCCGGTCGTGGTTGAATTTTCAAGATGGTCGTGTTGTGTGCTGTTGTCGTGATGCGCCCTCGCACATCCCAAAGGGCCATAGGGAGTTGTCTCCATTCCGGGTCGTTCCAGACCTATCATTCAAAGCGCGTCTGTAGTCGAGTGGCAGCCGAGCCTGGTGCGTACAAAATCGAATCATCGGGAAATCGCAGAGCACAGCCGGGATCCTCACGCCGTTCGGATTCGGGGGACACATACTTCTGCTGCTTGTGGAAGTACCGCATACCGACCTTACCGAAGTAACCTGGGCATTGTTAGCAAAACTGCACTTGTCTGATGTCAAAAATAGGAGTAGGGCAAAGGCATACCAGGGTGGTACTTGTCGAGGTTAGTACGGTGGTGGTGCTGACCACCGGCCAGACCACGACCACCTGGGTGCTTGCGGTGCTTGCCAACACGTCCGTGACCGGCGGAAACGTGTCCGCGGCTAAGAAAGAAGAATGTCAGTCTTCATGTTCGATCAAGAACAAGTCGTTTCTCCCAGTTTGCGATGGTCGGTCCGTCTTCAGTCCTCCTCTTCCATGTCGGGGGGGAATCAACATCCACACACACACACACACACACACACACACAAACACACGCAATGCCCTCTGCCCCAACGACATCATTACAATCATCCCCCCCTAAGACTTCGCCCTGTCCATCCAACGGCGCCGACAACAATCGCGGGAGAAACTCTGAAAGACCGGACGGGATTGAATAACGTACTGCTTGCGGGTGCGCGAGAATCGGGTAGGCATGGCGACGGTGTTGGATCTGTTGTCGTCTTGCTGGTGTCGCGGATGGGGATTATTTTCGTCAGGTCGCAAGACGCAGGAATTTGTGAGGGTATCTCTGCAGCCCGGCAAGCTCCGGAAAATTGTTAAGCGGGGCGGAGGGCAGGGCAACCCTAAGATTTTGTGAAAGGGAAAGGGCAGGCTGGGTGTGGGTGGCCTGTGCTTGCCACCTTTCCCCCTTCCTTGTTCGATGCTGGTTTTTTTTCTCGGTTGTGCAGTGTTTAGGTAAGCGAGGGAGGGCTCGAAGGTTACTTCCAGTTTGCACTCGCCAAATTTGGCAGGCCCGCTTTTGTATGTGTTGCTCACCTTGACTGACCTCACCTGACCGAAATGTGGCTAGAATTGACCTCTTCACCGAAAATCACCAGGAGAGATTACTCCGGTGGGGCTCGTTTTCCCACCCAAGCCTAGACCTTTCCCCATCTTTCGTCCAATCTGGTTGAAGCCATTCCCAACCTTTCCTGATTCAACGAAACAACTTTGATATCTTCCACCACAATACGTCTTAATGACTATTGACCCTTGGTTCCTGAGATCTCATAATCTTGGGAATTTGAATATTTCTTGAGCGCTTTCATGGTTTCCTCCCTCGACAGGCCTTTGTTCGTTTTAGGCTGCATGCCTCTTTGGTCACTATGGTTACCCCAGATGTTTCGAGCACCCCAGCGCCAGTGCCGGAAGGCATTGATTTTAACCACCCCTACAAACCATATGATGTGCAAATTGACTTTATGAAGACTGCCTATGGCGTTCTTCAAGCTGGCAACGGACAGGTTGGCATCCTCGAAAGCCCAACAGGCACCGTGAGTAACGAGCTAGAGTTGCCACAACTTCCTCCTACTGACATGCCTGCCAGGGAAAATCTCTCTCAATAATCTGCGCAGCTCTGACCTGGCTTCGCAATCAGCGTGCCGAGGAGTATGAGGCCAATTTGAAAGTCAACATGGACGACTTCAAGGATGAGCCTGACTGGATCGTTGAGCAAATGCTCCGACGGAAGCGAGATGAACTGGCACGCAACTGGGAAGAACGCGAGAAGAAGCTGGAGCAAATCCGACTAAAGGAGAAGTCTCTTGAGATTCGCGGCGCCAAGCGACGTCGCTTCGACGATGGTCCTTCGAAGTCGAAGGCGGACAGCATCGCCAACGACGACGATGACGAGTGGTTGCTGGATGAGGTGGACGAGCAGAACGCAGCCAACTATGGCGATGCCATGTCCGGGCTTAGCAAAGAAACCAAGGACATCCTGACGCGGTTCGGCTTGGGTAACCTCAATGCAGAGCAGGAGGAGGACAAAGTTGATGACGGAGTCAAGGTGCGCAAGCCCCCTCTTGCTGGTGGGCTAGTTGGTAACGTGAACCTGGTCAGATATATTACACTTCAAGAACGCATTCTCAGCTCACACAATTCATTGCTGAACTGCGCCGGCCTACTTTCCCATCCTCCATGCCTCCCTCGGTCATGCCTAGCGAAAGTGAAAACACCCGCCCAGCGAAAGAACCTGTCAAGCACTTGCCCCTGTCATCTCGCCAGAAGCTCTGCATCAACCCTTCGGTATCTCGCCTTGGCACGCTGTCCGCCATCAATGACCGTTGCTCGGAGCTACAGAAGCCTAAATCCAAAGACAAATGCCCGTACACGCTGAGCGAAGACAACATCGCCCAGACGCACCAATTCCGAGATACAGCCCACGCTACGCTGCCAGATATCGAGGACCTCTATCAACTCGGCAAGAAGCTCTCTGTATGTCCGTACTATGCTTCACGAACAGCCATTGCCGGCGCCGAGATCATTACGCTCCCGTATCCCCTGCTTCTACAGAAAAATGCCAGAGACGCATTGGGCATCAAACTTGAAGGAAACGTAGTCATTGTTGACGAGGCACACAACATAATGGATGCAGTTGCCAATGTTTATGCATCGGAAGTAAAACTGAGCGAACTGAGACGGGCGCGTCAAATGCTCGGTGTCTACGTCAAGAGGTTCGGCAAGAAGTTGAAGGGGGAGAATCGGGTAATGGTTGGACAAGTTGGAAGAGTCATAGAAGGCTTGAGCGAGTGGATGGACGGGGCATTGAAGCTCAAGGTAAGGTGTTCTGATATTAACACAATGCAGACATCATGTTAACTGACAACGTCTTCAGAGTGCTCAGGGCATTGTCGACTCAAAGGTCTTGCTTCGCTGCAAAGGTGTCGACCAAATCAACCTTTTCAAGCTGATTCAGTACATCCAAGAGTCAAAGTTGGCATACAAGATCGAGAGCTACGTCGCACACGTCGAAGAGGAGGCTTCCCGTGCCAACGCTGGCAAGGCGCCGCCAAGGTCATCAACGCCAGTCCTTCACATATTGTCATCTTTCCTCGTTTCCCTCACCAACCTCAGCTCCGAAGGCCGTATTTTTTACGAAAAGGTTGCTTCCAACCCACCAGACATCCAGTTATCTTACCTTCTTCTATCGCCAACCCATGCCTTCTCATCCATCGCTACGAGTGCCAGAGCAGTCATTCTAGCCGGTGGTACAATGTCTCCTTTCGACGACTACAAGGCACATCTTTTCCCTTATCTTTCCGAGTCGAGGCTCACGACGCTCAGCTGCGGACACGTCATCCCACCGTCAAACCTTTGTGTATGGACCTTAGCAGGCACGCGACCTAGTCCTGGAAGGGACTTGAGCTCGACATTCGAATTCGGCTTCCAGCGCAGAAGCGACAAAGCAATGGTCAACCAACTAGGCGTATCGATATTAAATATTTGTAATGTTGTGCCGGACGGTGTCGTTGTCTTCTTCCCTAGCTACGGTTACCTGGACGAAGTTGTTGCGATGTGGGAGAGCAAAAACGCCGGGGAACCAAAATCCGTATGGGAACGCCTGAAGGAGAGGAAGGAGGTCTTCAAAGAGACAAGAGGCGGTTCTAGCGACGATGTGCTGGAGGCCTACGGCCAGGCAATCCTAGGCGACGCAGAACCCAGTGCCGGAACAACCACGAAGCCCCGTGGCGCCCTTTTGTTAAGCGTCATCGGGGGTAAAATGAGTGAGGGTATCAACTTCTCGGACCGTCTAGGCCGCTGCGTAATCATTGTCGGGCTGCCATACCCGAACATCAATTCTCCCGAGTGGAAGGCGAAGACGGAGTACATTGAAACCACGACTATCCAGCGGCTTACCGACCCCTCGGCGGGTAGTAATATGTCGAGAGACGAGGCTATATCGGCGGCGAAGCAGGCGGCGAGAGACTTTTATGAAAATGCTTGTATGCGGGCGGTAAATCAGAGTATCGGACGGGCCATAAGGCACCAAGGAGACTACGCGGCCATCGTGCTCGTAGATCGTAGGTACGGAACCGAGAGGATACGGGGGAAGCTCCCCGGCTGGATTCGAGGGGGGTTGAACAACGACAGCCAGGAGAAGGGACTGCCGCAGCTGATGGGGACGCTGAGCGGGTTCTTTCGGTCGAAGCGGGTGAGCGCGCCGTAATTGTCATGTAGTGTACGTGTAGAGATTATGAATGAGTGATCAGTCAGATGGCAGCGAATCGAGCACGCCACAAGCACATCGAGATCCCCCAGCCCAGTGTCCAATCCGAGTAGCCGGAGGTGCTCCGGTTTGGCGATGCTGAAGGGGGATAAAAAAAACGCCCCGCTCATTCGAGCTGCTTTTTCCATAACCGCTGGGCTTCCAAGGAAAGCCTGGGCGTTTGCACTCCCCGCAAGGACCGAGACAGCTGAGTGGCTAGGCCCAACTGTCAGGTTCAGTGCCAACCTAGGCTACCTACTGGTTCTGCATCGAGAGAGATTGGTCATGGCGTTTGTTCTACTGGGGAAAAGACTGCATGTGTTAAGTGATGGATCAAGATTCTTGGCTTAATCGCTGATGTGATGGCCAAGTGTAGCGAGGGCGGGAGCAAAAAAGGACTGAGAGCGCCTTGCATGACACAAAGTGTAACCGGACATGGCAGGCCGGATCAGGGTGCCGCTAAGGGGGTTGGGCGGCTAGCCCACCCTTTTTGAAGGTGTATCAAGACATCAGTTGCCCGCACTTCGTCATGATGGTGACTGAAAGGTGGCCGGACATGAATCAGCAGATTCTCGACGAAGTGAGTTGGTGAAGGCGATGATGGCTGCTCTGCTACACCGCGGGGGGCATCCTGTAGCTCTGAACCCTTTTCTTGTCAAGGACCCTGAAATATGACGCTCGATGCTTCAGGGAACAACAAAGTTTTGCCAACTGAGCGAGTGGAGATCACGCTTCGGAGTCGACTCCGATGGGATCGACATGGACTGCACGTGGAAGAAGCCTTGGGGGCACAGAGATGAAACTGTACAGGTAGACAGTAAGGATGCACAACACAGTCGACACTGGCTACGTGAGAGCCATAAGGTTGCTGATACAGAGGTTCTTCTCGGTTCAAGACACTCGGACGGAAGCCCCAATCAGAACCACCACGGCTCCGGAATGAACTCCGGTCAGGCAGCATTTATGAAGGGAGAAAGGAAAGATGAAGGGGGACAGCCCACTACCTCTTCTCAAGACGCAAGACAAAGACATATCACGAACTGCCAATCAGGCCTCGGTCCTTGCACCGGAGCTCCTCCAGCCAATTGATGAAGACCGGAGGCCACTCCGCCAATGAGAGGTGGCCATCAGTAAAAAAAGAATAAGTAAAACTGATTCCCCGCCCCTTTTGTCCGCTATAGTGTTTTTATTTTTTCTCAACGCTGCACTCTGCGGTCGTCGTTGGGCATCATTATCTCCATAAAGATCTGGAGAGGCACCGTGTCCAATCGAACCTTTCCTCACTGTCAATAGGGCCCTCCAGGATTGGATAGAAGCGCCGATACTACGAATTAGCGGTTCTACCCCTTGACCAGAGGCCTGGCCTGTCACCTCGGAGAAGTTCTGGGCTTGATGGAAGGGTACATCCCGCGCACACCACGCCATATCTTCTGTCCGAACTAGCTCTGAAGCCCCCCTGTGGAAATGGGGGCATACGGTAATGGTGCAGTAAACATCGTCTTTTGGTACATCGGATGGCATAGATTCTCCTTATGCTCTGTCGCAAGTACCGTACCTTGGTTTTCCACCGTCACGTTTACGTGTCTGTTTGTTATTGTACCATGACAACTAGGGAACATTGCTATTTTCCTAAATCCAGATGACACAAAGCCGTAGTACGTAAGTTTCTCTCTTCTCTTCTTTACCCTGGTCGAAAGATCGTAAGAGGCGCTCTCATTTCCCCATTTTTGGCAATTATTGATTTGCGGATTCAGGCCTAGCACGCCTATATACATAACATCCCGTCTGCCCCCTTTCCCACCCCCCTCCTTTTCCAGTTGTCCTTACATCTGTCATTGACTGTCGGCTACACTTCTGCTTTGCTATCCACATTGACTAGTTCCTTTCGATTACCCCTCGGTGCCCAGAAGATGACCACATATGTTGCGGGGTCATGACGTACACAAGCCTTTTTTGTTAGAGGTACGATGTTGATTTTTTAGTGTGGCTTTTTGTGGTAATCCGTACATTTTGGCTTTGGTAGAACCGAAATGTGTATACAGCCGCCTCAATGCCTGTAACTCAACCATGTAGTTTGTCGACAAACATACCGACACCAATCCTACCAGGCCGAGAGCGGATACAACTCGGAGTAACGAGGCAATACCGCGAGGCACTAGGGTCGCTAAGTGCAACGGTCGGCTTCCAGTTATGGCGACTGTGACCTATTACCTAGCTCGGTACTTAACCAACTGGACCATCGGAGGCTAGTGTTTACATTGTCAGGTTTCTAGCTGGGCAAGTGATAGAAGAGGTTGATGTCAGAGATGGTGTCACAGCCGAGATACGAGTTGCTTAACCACGGCGATGAACTCGCATGCAGCTACAGCGGGATAGCAGCTGACTGAGATCGACGAACATGCCCTGCCGTCTATAACGAAGCGATGCGAGAAGAGACAGATACCCCGAGGGGAATGGTTACAGGGACCCCGCAGGGCGTTTTTTCTGAACAGCCCCTGTTGGATGGAGACGTGTCCTTGTCAGCTATAACTTGTTGACCCTTTGTGCCAAACCAATTGACAGACAAATTGGCTAAAAGGGGGCTGGCTGGAAGAACACTTCCACTGTAGCATCTGAACAATGCTGCCTTTCCACCATGTCGCTTGTTAATTCATACGAGATAATTGTGCGCTCCAAAACTTTGCTCGATAGCTTTAGCAGGTAATAATTTTTCGTATTGTCCTGTAACACTGACATAGCCTATGACTGTATGCTATGACCAAAAACCCCCTAACAGAGAGTACGAATCCACAACGCCTGTGCGATTGCGAACTTTGTACTTGTCGTCGTCTCGTAGGGTTTATTAGAGAGAAGAACCAAGACCACCAATGAACCCCCCCCCCCCCCCCCCCATGCGCTTTGTAAATGGGCGGTAGTAGTGAGTGGTCTCTCATCTGCACCTCAACCTTCGGCATCCGAAGCAACGGCCTCGCTCGAAACCTCTGGGCCTTCCCTCGCAGAGGTGACCATGGTAAACTCGTTGAGAATCGCCAGCTCGTCAAATTCGGCCGCCAGCTCGTCGACGAACGCGGCCGCCCTGTCCACCATGCAAAGATCGAGATCAACAACGAAGGGCGCCGACACTCGATCTGACACCGGATGGTGTTTTCCCTTTTCGTCCGTATCCCTAATAATTGCCCGCGCCTCTGAAGACGCCATAAGCCCCTGCCGCAGGACCATAGATAATAGCCCACGAACGATCCCTTGCGGAAGCCGGAAACATCGCTGTAGTTTCTGATAGCCGAGGATGCAGGTTCGGAAGTGGGACCGTCGTTCGGAACTGTCGATGGCGTGGGGTTGTTCCCGGAGCGCCGCATTAGCAACGTAGAGCAATGCCGTGTTCCATATGAAGCTGTGCGATGCAGAAGCACAGTTTTGGAAGTAGGTGATGGCTATCCATCTTAGTTGGGTGGCAGAGGCACAACACACGGCCTCTGGAGAAGCCTGCTGAGAGGTAAAAGACTCGAGTCTAATACGCATCGCGTCGTTATGTCGGATCAAGGGGCGGAACAAATCCAGAACAAATGCGTGGAAATAGGTACTGCGTGGAATCTCGCGTTAGTCGTTTTTCTTAACTTGGTTCCATTGGCATTCTGGACCCCCGAAGCCGCCCTTCACCGGGTTTTCTCGCGAATTTGAAGGATTTCACCTACTGTAAAAGGAGAACATGATGGGGGCTCTCTCCACTGTGAATTAATTCCAGCGGTAGTTCGTTTGCCCATTCCAGATACCGTCTGTAGATTAACTCCATCGACTCGACCAATGAATGGACCGTGGTCTTTGAGCTGCTGCTAGCGTAATTCATCCAAATCATGTCATGAGCAATCAAAACCAGCTTGCAGAGAGACAAAAACGTCTGCCCCACGAAAGCCGAAGGCCGCTGATTGTCTTCTGGTTCCCCAGTTTCGTTCGCGCCCCCAGGAATCGGTATCCTCGGCGGATATGCGATTTTGCATGTTTGGTTGTGTGTGCAGTGTATCCTGTAATCTGTTAAAAATCTGGCAAACTCGGATCAAAGGGCAGCGATCAAATCTGTGGTATTTTTTTTTTTTGCCGGAGTGTCTGGAAGAACCCCTCCCAAAAAAACACCTATCCAGGTTTTCGGCGTAAAAACGTACGTGATGTATACAAAGCTGCCCCAAGCAGTTTGAGCCAACGCCCTCCGCCATGACATGTCTGCAGCGCCGTCTGGCCAGTCTTCGTCCATACCTTCGTCGGCGATGCCGAACATTCCCATGCCTTTCGCCAAACTGATTGCGTCTTCGAGATGTTTTGGAGAATCCATGGTATTTTTGGCGTGGCACATGGAAGACATGCTTAGATACAGCAACGCTGCAATCGTGCTTGGGGTGCCAAGCCCCAACGCAGATTCCTCCTCCAGGAGCCGGGTGGCCTCGTCGTAAAGTGCGTAACTCCATCCAGCGGCTTCCAAGTCGTATGCCGTGTACCCCTGCTGTTACCGTGTTAGGGAAATCCGTCAAACCACGTTTTTTTCTAGAACAAATCATCTCACACAAGCCCAGCTGAGAAGAGAGCTGAAGAAAGGCCTGGAACAAAAGCGCGTGCTGCCGGATATCATGTCGTTTAGAAATAGGTCAGCATCGAACAGAGCTGTAATGGCGTGATCGGTCTCCAAATACAGAGAAATGGCCCTCTTCGCTGCATCGTTGGGTATCGGGACGTTTGTCCATGCTGAAGCGTCTAGTTTGCGTAACCGTTCGTCACAGAGAGCTGGGGGATCTACCAATACCGTTTCTCGGCTACCGGCCCTGCCTGGTACACCAAGGCCAACGCTGGAGGAACTACTCTCCCGTGGTTCTGGATGGCCAAACCGGGCCCTTCCGCTGGAAGAGTGAGGATCCGAGTCCGTGGGTGGTAACGGAGAAGGGGTGTCCGTTGACATTGGCGAAACCCTAGTTTAGTCAAGTTTAGCATCGGATTCGGGGAGAGAAGAGGGACCCCATGCAAATCAAGAAATTTCCAGCTGCCGAAGAAGCAACTTCTTAGTGCAGGAAATCACTTGATAGCATTGTCACGCCATGTCGTGCATTATAGAGGTCAAAGTTGAGGAATTTTGGCTTACGCTGTTGAAGGGGAGTCGACGGAAAGAGTGTGGCTAGGCCTTGAAGGAAGTTCAAAATCTAGATGCGGGAGTTCTGTCGGGGCCCACGGCGAGTAGACAGTCGCATGACGTACCATCAACTCAAACTCGAGAGAGTTCTGGTCTGGAGGCGGAACTCCGTGGAGCATTCCATGAAACGAAACATCGTATGCAGAATGAAGATGGCCACGGAGCGAGGCAACGATGACTGAAGCGTCTCTCCCGGCCCGCAACTGTTGAAGGATGTCCCGGACCTGGTTGTCGGGGAGAGACCGGAGGATGCTAATGAGTTCTGCGGCATACCTGTGAGTTTTTGCTGTTGTCTCGTCGAGTAGTTTCATCCCCGAAGGAATGGAGTTGAGAATAGTCTTCGAAATAGTGGCATACTCGCAAGCAAGACCACGGCGTTGGCAGTGGTTGCATGGCTGTAGACCGTTGCACTACATAAGAGAAGAGCTTAGTAGAATCGCAAGGTAGGTTGGCCGACTGACATGGGGAAGATAGTTAGGTGCCGCGAGGGGGGGATAGGCTCTAAAACCCCTGGCCCTCGACGAACTGATGTGCCCATGCAAAACCATGGTAGCGGGCGCTTGCTGCCGATGAGGTTTTGGAGATGGTTCGTGATTTCACGTTGACTATACATTTAAGAAATTACGGAGAGAATAAGGAACCACGTACCCCTATCTTCTTCTCTCGACAGCTGTTGCACGCTTTAGTAGTCGCTCGGCGCTTCCTCTTGGTGCCCTCCTGCCCCCCAGCAACTCCGCCTGTCGAGGAAGCGGCCTCCGCATTATCGTCAGTGAGAGATTTTGGGCTTTTGGCTGGAGGACCTGGAAGAATGCTCCTGTATTTGCGTTCCGGTTGCATGGGCTGCTAAAGTTCGGCGAGAGAGCCTCTCGAGAACGGGCTGGGGATGCTGAGGGACCGGCGGAGCGATCGGGGAAATAGGGAAGCGAGTCGACAACGTTGGATGAAGATGACTTCATAATAAGCTGCAACCGTTGCCGATATTAACCTTTTATTTGTAAAAAAGAGAGGAGGGAGTAGGAGAAAGAGAGAGAGGATTTGCGCCCCAGTAAAAGAAGATGAACGTTTCGCTACTTGCAGAGAGAGGGAGAGAGTGTGTGTGTGAGAGTGAGAGAGAGATACATACTGAGGTACTCTTTGTCCGCAGACAACTCACCGAGTCTTTGGAGCACAAGTGGAGGACGAGGCATTGTGTTGGCGGCGGCTGGGGGCCCACGCGGATACATGTACCTGCGTAACAATTTCTCATGTGGATGGCGGCCTGACATGTTCCTCAGAAAGCGCTCACACTGTGTTCCTTTCCCTTGCCCAGGAAGTTCCCACAAAGGGCTTAGATGGATGACTTGCATTGGCCATATCGCTCCGCATCACTGCTGGGAGTCAGCACTTGGTCAATTAGCAGATGTGTTATTTATTGCCTCCGGTCTTTTCCATGCCCATTCTTCTCTCAATGAACAGTATGAAATGTTGTAACATGATACGCCCTCGTCATAATTCCTCATTAAGTTCGATGAATGCTAGCCCTGAATTCCAAAAAGAAAACTATCAAGTGTCGAAGCAGCTACTGAAAGCCGAGCTAAGCGTCACGAAATGAATAATATATACTCGTCCTCAAACGCTCTAAGAACCATGTCCGGTTGCGCAGGTGAAGGATACCTGTTCAACAATTTGACGGTTCCTGATGCCTTAAGTCTCGTCAGGCGCAACAAAGAAAAACGCAAGAGAAGTTCGATCCGCCGGTTTGTGATGCGTGATATGTTGCAGGGGATCGGTAAAACAGCTATCATCGATCTTTGCACCCTAGAAAAGATAAAAAAATCCTCGAATAAATCGACCAACCGTTTCTCATGATCCTTGTCGGTATCAATTGTGCGATTATGCGTACGTGTACATGACCGAAAGGTCAAAGTGATTTCATAATTCAGCTTGCCGAACTTAGACACGCGGAAAATATGGGCAGCATATTCCCAGAACACTTGTATAATTACCAAGATATTTCGAGTCCGAGCGTAAAATGTCGTCTTGAATCGAGAGGAATCGATGAGACGTTGCAAAACATCACACAGCCGAAAGAAGCCTCTAATCTATAATTTCCGGTCGCCCGGAAGATCTACTCAACAACCGGCATCAAATCTGCGCTGATTCCATTGTGGCGAGCATATTTTTGTCCCGTGTCCCGAGTTTCTGCAATCTGGAACCAAACGGGGCCATATCTTGGACGACATTTTAAGATAATTCGCAACTAGCGTCGGCTAGACAATTTGGTAATAGATTTCTTAAGGGTGCATGCAGCTCAGTAACATCTTTGAATGAAGAGAAGGTGAAATGGTAGCTTATTGCCAGTGTTGAATATGGGTCAAGGCTTTTTCGCAGATACGGTCGCTTACCTAGGCTGGCATTTTGGCTGATGCGTAGAACATGAGCAAAGTAAGACTACTGCATTACGTATACATAGACTGCAGGATAGCATCTGGCACTGGTCTGTCAAGTACAGTGGGTAGAAGGATTCCTTCCCGTCAGCCATCTGCCCACATGTAGTCAAATATCCGAACCTCTGAAGGAAATAATGCATTAGATAGCTAGAAGCAACAAGTATCGAAATTATCAAAGAAACCGGATTTAGAGCAGTTGAAGGGTAGGAAATGGAGTGAAAAATAACTTTCTCGATAACACCGGCAATAAGGGAATGTCGCTTAACGGTGAACTATGAGTTCATAATGATGGTTCCAAACGTGTTTATAAGCTCAAGCTTTTGATTCTGTCATGGGTTGGGATGCCATTTTCGAACATCTACAATTTAATGCATACAAAACAAGACAAAACTAGGGTTTTCCCAACTTTAAAGCTGAACAGCAATCGGATTTGGGCGATGCCCTGTTTGGTCAATTAGTTACCCGCATGCATGGGACGATGGACAAGGCAAGGCAGCTTGGAGAGATCGAGATCGGGTGCGGGAAATGAGGGGACGGGTCCCAAGCACCGGAATTAGGGTCCGGTGCAGTTCATTGGTGGAAGGGTTCGAGGGCCTCCGTGGGTTATGTCAGCATTCCCGTCCGCTCCGAAACCCCCGTGTCGCGTGTCGGTCGGAGGTACGTATTGAGCCGGACGGCGCATCCCGTTCCAAACAGGGTGCAGCGAACATTTACTTGAATATATTTTTAGATTTCCTGCAAGCCAATTTCCTCATGTCTGGGAGCCTGGGTATCTGAATGTCTATCAAGTGTTCTTTGTCCACTTAGAAGGAACGATAATGTTGGCAGAGACACCGAAAGTACACCACCGGGTTTCTTCCGACAGTTGAGGTCTCTTTAATTAATGAGGCTGTATTTGTTGTAGGTATGTTCCTGCCTACTTTTCCATCGCTGCCTACCCCTCCTTTCAAGCGAAATCACCGCGCGTAACCGATCATGACACTTTACTCACATTTGACTAGTTGAATTGCTCCGAACGGTTGCCAAGTCCCCGCCCACCTCGTCTGGTAGTGCCCCATCATGAATCCTACGCTGCTGACAGAGTTCTGCATATGCCGTCCTGTCGCCGCGCACTCTAGCGTGTGCCTTCACCGCCCCCAACTTGAGGGGCTGATGAGCTGAGGGCAGGGCTCGATGCGCCCAACGGCCTTTTGGCCCGCTGTCACCGCCTTGTTTCGCCTTATTTGGCTTGGGTTTACCGACCTGGCTTGCTGGCATGGGACTGATTGGTCGTCCCTGATGCTTCGTGTTGGTTTGATCTGTCGCCACCAGTCGCCTAAGTCTCCCGCAGCCTGACTTTGTCTCATCGACCAACGGGCACTCCCGCGCGCCTCCCGCTAATCGGACCTGCCCCTTCAATATTCAAAGACTTGAACACTCTGGATGGGTGACGCTGTGTGAAAGGCATCCCTAGCCTGACTGTCACTGTTTGACGATCAGATCTCCACAACTTAACCCCGCCAAAATCGCGCGGGGAATACAGACGCCACTAGGGACAGAACATATCTCTGTCGAATCATCGCCCAATATGGACGAGAAGACGCAGCTGTTGCGCTCCGACAGCATTAATCGGCAGTTTGCAGCGATTCTCGCTGATGCCCAAAAGCAGTATGCTGATTCTACAGGTCTTGACCTCAAAGACTATATGACACCACCGATGCGGACGACGGAGGACCTTCTGAACGTTATCAACCGGCAGAATGAGCAGTTCACGAGTTTTCGTGAGAAGCGCCAAACTCTTTTTCAGTGTCTTTCAGCTGCATGTAAGCCTCTGGAAGTCGTTGGCGAAGCTCTGGCAGGCGCATCGGAGGAGATCTTTCCTCCGGGCCAGACGATATTCGCAGCGGTTATGTATCTGGTGAATGCTGCCAAGGACGTTTCAGCATGCTATGATTCGATCATAGATCTGTTCGATCAGATGCAAGACTTCACCATCAGACTTAAGTTTTATGTGTCTCAAAGAATGTCCAACGAGCTACATGAAAAAGTCGTCAAAATTCTGGTCACTATCTTTGAGATTTTCATCATCGCAGCGCACGAAGTCAAGAGCGGTCGGTTGAAGTCGTATTTCAAGCGGTTGTTCGGGAAGGAGAGCAAAGTTCCTGATTCTATGAAAAAGCTTGCTACTCTTACTGAGGGAGAGGAACGACTCGTTATCGCAGAAACCAGTGCTGGTGTCAAACGGTCACTCTCAAACCAAGATCGCTTGCTCGAAATGATGTCGAGAGTTGACGTAAATGTCCAGACACTGCGTGTAGAAACTCGTACAACCCAGACGAGAGAGCAGGCGCTCTCATCCAACCGAGACAAGCTCAAAGGTATTTTGCAGCCCTCAGTTTATCCAGAAGACACACTTCTGTCTCTGAACAGAACCAGGACACCTGGTACCTGTGACTGGATTCTGGAAGACCCTTCCATGAAGGCCTGGTTCGCTGGCGATATTCGATTCCTTTGGGTTTCAGGAAATCCCGGTACAGGAAAGTCCTACTTGACCTCCCGTCTTGTTTCTTGGGGTCAAGAAGTACTAAACGATCAAGAAACGACCAGTATGATTGGTTATTTCTTTTTCCGCCAGAACAACCCAGAAAGTCGCTCAATGATTCAAGCTCTAAGAGATATGGCATACCAAATTAGTGAACAGGATGTTTTTTACGGCAAACAACTTATTCGTGAGGTGTCCACTAGCGATGAGATTAAGACCGTCTCGAGCGCATTCAGAAAATTGCTTGTTGAGCCATGCGTGCTAGACAAGTGGAAACGACACATTTATGTGTTGATGGATGGTCTGGATGAGGCTGACCCGCGAGAAGTCAAAGAGTTTCTCGCGATGCTGGACGATTTAAATCAACAATCTGCAGAAGGAACAAGAGTCCAGGTCGCCCTGATTGGGCGCCCTAGTCTGTCCGATGACATCCTAGATTACCTCGGAAACGACTCCACCGGAGGTCAGCAACTTCGAACAATACACGTCACACCTGATCGAAACAGCTCTGATATTGTATCTTACATTGTCGAAGGCGTCAATTCCGCACGAGTTCTACGAGGCTCTACAGAAGACTTTAAACAGGGAGTTATTGAAGCCATGGTTAAGCAAGTTGATGGACTCTTCATTCTTGCCAAATTCATGCTGGCAGAACTGAACAGAATACGTCACCCCAGAAGAATCATCGAGAGTCTTCAATCTTATCCTAAGGAAATCAACGGCATGTTGAAGAAAGCAGTGCTAGGGTTTAGCTCATCCATCACGCAAGAAGAGGCAGACGACCTAAACGAAATTCTCATCTGGGTTTCGGTCGCCGAGATGGGTCTCACGCTCGAGCAAATTGAGGCTGTTTTGGCGCTCAAAATGGGCGACGCACCATTTGGACTAGAGGAATCATTGAGAGGACAATTCTCATGTTTTTTCACGCTAGAGCGAGAGGATGGACTGTCAACAGCGGATTTGGCTGATCGGCATGACATGCATCGTCGCCTATCTCATATTGATCTGGATATTACCAAGCGAGCAAGCCCTGACTTCCTGGAAACCGACAGAGATATTGAGTATTTCTCAAACAAGAGCACAACATACGTTACCTTCTTCCACATGTCGGTCAAGGAGTTCTTTCGAGAAGACATTTCGACCGATCTGAAGGCTGACTCGCAGTCGCCTTCTATCGGTTTTCGACTTGCTGATGCCAGGTTACATGTCCTGAAAGCTTGTCTGCGCATTTTTACTGACCCGACCTATCTCACCCTGGGTCAAGAAGGACTGTCTCTACAGCGGTACGCCGCCTGGTACTGGCCTGAGCATCTCGGAGATGTCAAACTCTCTGACATATCTGCAGCCGAGAAAGCGGATATTGGCACTCGTCTTTATGTCATGCTTACGGACCCAACTGTGCTTCTCACATGGACCAATTTGTTTGAAGAGTCCCTTGATATTTGGACTGATGATAATATTAAGGTGGTCTCCAAGTGGCTGAATGATGCAGATGTTGTTAGAAGCCTTAATGCCGAACAAAAAGCCTGGGCGACTGCGGCAGCGTTAAATCCAGCCCGTCTACTGGAACCAATGGGAAGAACCTTTTCCAAAGCTTGGCTTATTGAAGATTTCGGCATGTACATGCCAACACTCTTCTGTTTTGGTGTAGTCCAGTCACTGCCGCTTCTGGAGGAAGGCAAATCTTGGTCTGATTCCGAATTGCACTGGCAAGAGGTCAAGGTGGAAGAAAGAATCAAAAAGGCCGCCGAATGGGCGGACCACCCGAAAACTGGGCATTGGTACCGAAGGATCGGTAGTACTCTTCTTAATTTCGGGGAGCATGAAATAGCGCTGGAGTACTTCAAAACCGCGCTAGACCTTGACTCCAACATCGTCGAGAGTTGCGGTCGTATGGGTGTTTGCTATGCCATGAGTGGCAATTTCGAGAAGGCCCTTAAACTTCATCTCATGTGCGAGGTTGTCGAACAGAACCACATGGCCAAGGGCTACTACAAGACGGACCAGGAAATCAAAAACAGCAAATGGCGACTCTACAAGAACCAAGCCCAGATCGCCGAATGCTACAACCGCATCGGCCGGGTAGAAAGTGCTATAGCTTACTGTCGCAAGGCCATGAAAAACGCTTACAACACTCGCGACTTTGAACCAGAGGCTGCTTATATGAGGGTTCTTGTGGGGAACAACCGTGTCACGGAAATGATGAGCCTTTTTGACGAGCTTGACAATCAATACACCGACAAAGGAAGCTCCAGATTTGTTTTGTTCCTCCTGAGTCAGATCCCCGATCCATCTATCCGAGACTGGTTCCCTCAAGCTGCGGCTCGGACAAGGAAGACGGACATTCTCGCTGAGCGCTATGCCTATGCAATTACGTCGGCGCACGATTCTCAAGATTCTCGAAAGGCATTTTACTTGCGTAACGCTCTTGGAAACGTGTATATGGCGGCCCAGCAATACAACAATGCCATCAGCATTCAGGAAGCCATCTGTTTCGATTACAAGGCCAGAGGCAGCCTGGCTGTACGAGTTGAATATATAGCCTCGTTCAAACAACTCGCAAGGGCCTACTATTTTAAGGCGCTTGAAGCTGACGAGACCCTAAGATCTGCTGCGGTTGGTCCCTGGATTAAGAAGCTTGAGGAGCTCATGCAGCAGCAGCGAAAGTATCAAGATCGAGATGTCCCACTGTATATGGCTGGATTTGATTTCAACGAAGCATCGATATTCTTGATTCTCCTATACCGGTTGCAAAACAAGGAGTCCGAGTCCCGGAAACTGCTGGGAGGTCTTGTGTCTGAAAGTCTGAAACTATTGGAAGATGATGAGCCCCAAAACGACGAGATTGGCATTCGCAACCTTCAACGAACCTTGATTGCGGCGGGCGATGAGGTCAACGCGCTGGCACTGTGGCAATCTGTCAGAACACCACCAGCGGCGACAAATCTCGCTGGCCACTTGAACACCGAGAGGCGTTCTAGCTCTCCTCGAATTGGTGGTCACTCTCCACGGAGACAAAGTAAGCAGATCACGCTGCCAAAAGTATTCTCCGAGGACAGTGGATTTTCGTGTGATGACTGCCTCAAACTATTCAAACCGTCAGACAAGTTCGCAGTGTGTTGGTACTGCATTGACTCAAAGTTTTGTCTGCCCTGTCTGGCTGCGCTGAAAAGCCAGAACTACACTCAAGCACACACTTCTCCATGCAAGGCAAGCCATAAGTGGATAACAGTGCCGCCTTTGCTAAAAGATCTTCAGTCTGGAGAGATTTTAGTAGATGGGCAGGTTCAACGACTAAACGAGTGGAAGTCGGCATTGCGGCAGAAGTGGGCGCAATCAAACACTGCCACAGGGCTTGGGATTATCTAGAGTATGCGGATTAATGGTAAGAGTCTGGGTTATACCATTGAAGTTCCATTAGAGAAATGAACAAAGAAACTTGAGTTGCTGCTTGGAAAGTTTGATTTAAAAGGTTCTTGCATATACGAACAATTGGATGATATTGGGTTTTCCTCTGCCGATCCATCCTTCATTTATCCGCTCCATGCGACGTTGCCGAAAGGTCGGTTGCAGAAATCAGCTACAATTCGTCGTGTACCACTTCTTTCTCATGGACGTCGCCTTCAGTGCTGAGTTGCTCATCAACCCTTTCATCCACGTTATCCTGAAATGCCGGCCGAGCTGTACCATCACCTATAGACCGAAGAAAATTTTCGACAAATCCTGGAGTAATGGCATGGTTCTGTTCGGAGTGATAAGCAAGCCCAGTCTCTTTGTTTTGCAAACCGATCGCAGGGAACGTCCATTTTATCCCCAAGCTTGCAGGAACATCTGGGAACGCTGGTGGATCTACTGTGACAAACTTCAGATTTTGCTTGTACTTCCTGGCCGTTTCTCTAATATGCAAAGCGAATTGTTCGCGCCGAGATGCGTTGAAGTCGAAAAAATAGAGGACGTTAGTTTTGCTCTGCCAGGCTTTATATTAGCTTAGGCCTCCAAGTTGGGGTAGACGTTGTCTCAAATGGAGTGCTCAATGAAAGAAAAGAAACTAACACCCGTGTAGTCAACTTTGTTTTGGTGGGTCATCTCCGGTACAATTCGATTGGTGCAAGCCTTGACGAACTCTTCTAGCGAGTAGACATGCTTGAAAAACTCATCAGTCGAATGTTTCTCATCGTCAAGGTTATTGAAACAGTCAAGAGACGATGGCCCATTTTTTGAGTCACGAGAAATGACACCATACGAGTGCAGATGCGCATTCGTAGTGGCTAGGTCGTGGAATCGTTTGTATAGGCCTTTCCCTGCGTCTTGGTCTGTCAAATGCAAGATGAAGACGAAAGAATCAGTATAGGCAAAGCTGGTAACGTTCTCCAAGCTCAAACCAGAGACGACGGGGCGTAGGGAACGACTTTTGAAGGCAATGATCCTTTGAAATAGTCAGAATCTATAGACTTAACCTTGTGTAAATGTCAAAAATTGACGTACTCCTTCGCTTGCCTAGGCCCCCTATAGTATTCGAACGTCTTAGCCGAACGGTAAAGCCTGATGGCGGGGTACGTCCGAACATCGTGTTCTTCGCAAGTTTTCGAGTCTGTAGCGCAATCGATGCTTAAGACGGACTTGTCGTGATCAAGGACGAGATTCCATTCTGTTTCAAGTAACTGACTGTTCCAGCTACATTTAGGTGAGTAGAAGGTTTTGTTTGAAGACACGATTGCAACGTACCTGTCCGGCTATATCCCGCAAACCAAGTCAGCAGGTCTAATTTCTATGCGCATTTTGGTATGGAGCCTACATCGACAACTGCGTCCGAATACATCAATGCGACGATCCTTGAGCAAATATTTATTGTTCATGGTGAAGTGACTTACATGCTACCAGCGTATCATCTCGACTTTTGAAAGCTTCCTCAAGATCTAGTCTGCTTGTGTGGCTCCATGCCAGACTGGGAATTGCCAGAAGGGCGATGCAGACTACATGTTTCAAGAAAGCCATGTTGACACCGCCGAAGATCATTTGTAAAAGACAGGAGAAGGGAATTAAAGTCAGACAATTCCCATGGAAGAGGGGCACCTTTCAAACTGCCAAAATGTTATCTGCTGACCTTATTTTGGGGTAGCTTGGACGCATGGAAAAGACTTGAGTCGCGGGGTCACCGGACGAGGGTCCAGAATCCGAAACTAGACCAGGAGGAATGCATGTGAGAATCTTTGCTGAACGGCTAAATTGCATGGCTGCCCGATGTAACGTACGAATAGCTCCATTTGGATTTGATTCGGAGAATTTCAAGTTATTGCAACAACTCCGTGGTCTCGAAATGATGTTGCGGAGAAGCGCTCCGGCTGCCGTATTTGGGAGCAGCTGCCACCTTGAATACTTCTCGCGATAACTATCCCATTCACGAAAATGTGTTCATCACTCGACATCATCACCTCCGCAACAATTCGAAAAGTATACCCTAAAAACAAGTCCTGATAAGTCCGGCTTGGACCATGAGAAGTGGCTTAATATGCACTTTGTTTGCAGCTACGGGTGTGCTTTGTATGCCCAATAGCGACAATGACCTGAAAGATTATACTTGCGACCATTCGGGCTACCAAATCAATTTATTCTCTCACTCCCCTTTGGTCATATATATTACGAACTTTTTGACTTCATTCGAACAAGAACACCTGAAGAAAATCACGTTTGTCTCTCTGCTCTTAGATCCTGCTCATTTTTGTCTACCTTAAGTACAGGAAGAATGATTGATAAAAATCTTTTTTTCCTTCAGAAATGGGACATTCGCTCGTTCCCAGGTTGCTTCGAGCGGAGGCGACATTTTATCGTCCCACCGCACCTCACAGTCGACTACCGTTGTACCTGATGCAGTGACCGAATGCATCCAGGAGCGTGCACGGCGGTTTCAAGGTCTCGACATGGCACCCACTCACCTCGAGCCGATCCAGCTAGTTAAATATGGACTGGGAGAGCAGTATCATTTTCATACGGATTGGTTCCCAGCGGACTCAGGAGAACATGGCTCTGTTGCAAAGGGAGGTAATCGTGTAAGCAGCTTTTTCACGTACGTTGCCGTCAGCGACGACATTGCCGGCGGCGGAACGAACTTCCCAAGACTTCAGGCTCCACCGGGGAAAGGATGGTGCAAATATGTAGATTGCGACGAGCCTTGGGATGCGGGTGTCACGTTTCGCCCTATAAAGGGGAATGCCGTGTTTTGGACAAACTTGGTCGAAGCAGGGGAGGGGGATGAGCGAGTGTTACACGCAGGCCTGCCGGTTGTGAGGGGAGAGAAGCTGGGGATGAATATCTGGACAAAACAGGGGCCATTCAACTAAGGACTGATAGTGTGCAGAATATGCTTGACAGATGAACCTGGGACTTTGGAGCCGAGTTGATAAGCCGGAACTTTGACGGTTCACACGATCCCGTTTGATGTGCTCTATATCTGAAGCTTGTCCAGCACGGAAGTTTCTTAATTGGCACCCGCCAACACCTGACTTTGCTTCGGACCCATTCCTGTGTGTGGGGCCGGGAGACATCCGTGTCGGAGGAGAATAGGCTGACCATCAGCGACGGAAAAGTTAAATAAACAGAGTCGCGGGAGATGAATGACTTTTCTCTGCTGACATCAACCAGGGAGTTGAATGCATCATAGACAGCCAACCACTGTCGCTGTAGATGACTTTCCCGAGTAAGATAGATTAGCGTCCCCCGCAGATGGTCTAATTTTGGTTCCTACAAGATGGGCAAATGAAACGGGCACTTCAAGACTATCCAAACTAAAGCTGCAATCTCACTATCAAAGTCCACGGGATGGAAACCCAAAGTTGTATAATTTAGCTTGGTCTACTTGTCGCTTGGTTGCTGATTAAGATTGCACTATTAAGCCATCTTTAAGCCATTTTTGAAGTTTATATGATAGCTATGGTTACTCGAGGCACTGATAATCACAAGATCACAAGAACCCCGAAGTAAAGGAAAGCAGGATGCCCATAATCTTGATGAGGGTTATTTTTTTGTCATAACTTGTCATACGAAAACGTGCCCTTCATGCACCGGCTTCCTTAAGAGCTGCCTGTCCTTGCTTCACGATAGCATCCGTCTCATCAGCACTCAGACCGGGTAACGGATTCCGCTGGCCTTTTGAGTTGAGAGACCCGGGAGCTTTCTTGTCTTTGAGATCGAGTCCGGTAACGATCTCTGCCGCTTCCGAGTCCGTCAGCCCCGTCGTTGGGTTGACCTTGTTGTCCCCAATCGCATTTGCATGTGGGTTGCCGCCCCCGGCATTCGCTGCCGTGCTTCCCTTCTTGCTTTGCCTCGTCTCCAGTTCAAGAGTGCTTCTCTTTGTGCCCGAACCCTCCGCATCGTTCGTGATGACCTCGGCTTTGAAACCGCGGCGGCTCAGGTCTTCGACCACTGACGTAGATCCGGTGCTCGTGAGCTCAGTACTTCGGCTAACCGCATCGGTGGGTTGACGTGCTGCGACGCCGTTGAAAGCAGGCTGTCGGTTGCAACATGTTAGTGGCCTGGTTCAGAGGCTTGGTCGACGTTTTCAAGAACATACCAGAGCCGATGCACTGCCTGACAAGGCAAGAATGACGACAGAAAACCGCATGTTTGTGTAATGTTTCTCTAGGCGTGGAGTGCGTTGTTGTAGATCAAAATTCTCAAACTCGGCGCGTGGAAACGACTGTCGGTTGCGGAGAAAACGGAATCGAGAAAATGGAGATTTGGGGAAGTGAGTGTAGATGTCGACACCGAAGTGCTGGTTACCAGGGTTGAAACCGTGGATAAAGCAAAGAATGAAGCAGAAGCCGGTAGAGGTAGGAGGGGGAGGTCCAAACACTTTGGGGAACAGGTTCGTTGATCTGAACTATATAGTGATTTGCATGCCATCTTAATTCCACGAGCGTCAGTTACATCCGAAGTCGAGCACGAACCAATGCCTTGGTGCATCTGGGCACCAGTATCACCTTTGTGGAGAAGGGGGTTGAAGTCTCAACCACGTACCCCTGTCGGGGATCTGAGTGCGCCTAGGGGCCATGTAAGAGAGAAAGCTCCAGCTCCGCGGACGACATGCAAGGATGATGCCGTATATTCAAAACTATGGCGAATCAACGAGCAGGCTGAGACGGCACAGGGGTCCTTGGAACTCTGCCATGCAGTGCCGCGTGGTAGGGGGATTTCCCAGAGAAATCCACCTACCGTGGCAACGTGGGCACCTATCGGACTTTGTCGAGACGGGCTCGTAAGTTGGGTACCCGCGTTGGGGTTAGATTCAAGTACAAACTGTTTCGCTGGGTGACATCAAAGCACCTCCAAAGCCCCCTTTTTAGGCCATCCAACTCCTATTTTTGCATTTCCGGACTTCGGATTCTTGCAACACAGTGCCTAACTAGATACGAGCTGCACAGAAAAAGCTTCTCCCCCTTATCTTGCGCAGCTTTACGCGACCGTACGTTATCTGCTCTCATCCAAACATCGGCATTCGCCTCAACGACCAAGGGCCGCAGGCGCACTGACCATTGGGGCCAAAGGACGGGGCAAATTTGTCATATGAGCAAAATGAAACTGCAGAGCCCGACTCAAAAACCTGTGACAGACGAGGTCCGCACCAGCACAAATACGGTGAGTTGATGGGTCTTCCCTGAGCAGGATTACGCATCAACCACACGAGAGTGCGTGAGCGCCAAGCTCGCCATGGCAATCAGCCTTGTTCTCTGGATTTTCCCAAGAGTTGAGGCTGTGCTTTTATCGCAAGATAGGTGCTCGCTGAGTACGACAGCTGTGAACCGACCGCTTTTTAAAAAAAGGTAATTGATAACTTTAAACCTAGTGTTGGTTCGGCAAAGACGGAATTGGTGGGCATCATGCCGAGATAAATTGCAATCCGCCCCCAACCCCGACTCCGCTCTGGACACCGCCAACGGATGTCACGGCCCGGAGCCGGCTATGAAATTCGCGGTCCCCAAGACAGAATAGTGGTTCCATCCTTTGAGGCTACCCTTCAAGTCAGTCATGGTCTCTTGAAGACTATACTTGTAGCTTAATTCCATCAGTAGCGCGAATCATTAGCTGCTTCATTTCATTTTCGAGACGATACATTTCATTTTGGCCCTTGAGTACAAACTATAGGTAATGTGACTGTGAGGTAGCGAGATCTGCTAGAACCAGTGATACTGCGAAACAGGTCTAAATTAGTTCGGCGAAGACTTCCTCAGAAAATCTCACCATCGGATCTTTTCATGCGTTGATTCTCACAGCTGCGTCTTCCGCGGGGGGCTTCACTCGGAGTCTCGGCGCTGGGCAATATATGTGTAACTGAGCACGGCCTATATCATCGCCTGCTATCGGCTATGGACCCCGGATTGGGATCGGCCTCATGGCCAGACTTTTCGGAGCCATAACAGACGACTTGGGTTGTCATTAACAACCGTCTTAATAGAATAAAGAGACATGGCCAACCAAGTCTGAAGCGAAGACAATTGCTTGCACGGCTTATCGGAGGCTGTCCACACTCCGGATTTTCACATCGGCATGAGTCAGTCGCGCAGTTTCCGACAACGACCGAGTTCGATATTCCTTTGATCCACAATCGGTTCTGACCCGGCCATTTCGATAAACCAACCGGCATTCTACACGAGAGCAAACCTGCCTTGACCGTTTTATTTCGTGGTAGAGTCATCATGTGATTGATCGACAACACCGTCGGCATTTAGATACTTTCTTAAGCATGGGTTAACAGAGGAATTAATCTGAATGCTCCTGTCCACTACAGAGCATATGTTGCCTCGATGTTATTTAACAAAGTAGAACACTACAACAAGTCGTAGTACTGAAATACCCAGCAACAACCAGCGCCTTGATTCTAATTCTACAATCTTGATGAGTGCGGCAGAAACTTGGGAGACATTTGCTTAAAGTTCAGGCGGCAAATACTCAGCTGCCAAGTCGGAACTAGCCCAAGTTTGCTGAGGCATATAGTGTGAGACAATGGCACGAGAAATAAGCGTCTTAGGTGCTCGTGTTGGTGACTCTCACGAGGGGATGTGTCACTTGGCTAAGGGTTGGTACTTGTCTCAAGGTTACCTATGAAAACAGGAGGCGTTCAGATTCCTTCGCATGTTGTCATATGTGACAGATAGTTCCACATTTGTGAAAATAGTATAGCATCCAAGCCTACAAATGCTACTGGTGATGGAGGGGCTGCTATCAGCGGCGCCCTGTTGCTAAGACGTAAATACGTTGATCTACATGTCTCAGTTAACTCTGCTGAAAGGTTTATACTCCTTACATAGTGGCAGGTTTGTGGGAGATGGTCTATTTTTAGGGGTCCTATCTTTTTCCGCGCTGTCCGATATATGAAAGACTTTGCGGGGTAGTTGCCGACGAGGAATTGAGAGCACAGTTAAAAGTGCGACAACTGACACCAAATAGGGTGGTTTTGTGAAGATCCTCGGGAGGGAGGCTGGGAAATACCGCAAACGGGCTCGAACCAAGGGAGCGAAAACCTTGCGGTTTCGATCTGCTGACCCGTTTGCAGTTGATATCGGCCTAATTCCGCGCCGGATGATGTTAGTCCAGCAGCGAGAGCACTAAAGTCTGACCTCCACAACTCGGTTCTCAACGAAGGGAAGGTTTTAGGCGCGACTCAATGAGATTGATTTATTAGCGACTGGTGCATGTGCTCACCATGATGTGGTGGCAGGTTACAAAGACACAGATTATGGCCGACAACGCCACGTATTTGGTGGGAAAAAAGTGAACCTCCTGCGTATAAAATATAGGACTACAGGCCCCGAATCCTATCGCGGCCTCAGTTAGCGCTCAACTCACAATATTGAACTCCTTTTTGAAGCTGATAGTCATATCCGATCCGCCCACCATGAAATTTTTAATGAACATCGCAGCCCTGGCTGCGGCTTTGTAAGACTTGTACACATCACCATCGTACACTTCGCTTCTAACAGTACATCTAGTTATGCCACAGCACATGCATACAAACCTGGTCCATGCCCAGTTGTCACAACTACCGCGTTTATCTGTCCCACATTCCCTCAGCGTGCCTGTGCCATGCTATCAACCATTTCTAACCGCTGTGGATGCCCTACACCTGTCCCAACGGTTACCGTCAAGTATCCTTGCGACGGTCCAATCCCAGGAGGTTGCCAGTTGACCGAGTACATCTACGCAACTGAAACGCACAAATGCGGCGGACTCAGTCTTACTACGCGCATAATTCCAACCATCCCCCCTATTCCAACTTTTACGGCGTGTCCCACAGTCTACAAGACCAAGACGATCTGCAGCACCTGCGTCCGGCCTATGTGCTTGGCCCGATCCACGATTAGCAGTATGTGCCATTGCCCACGCAGAGTGCCAACCCGTGTTGTGGGGTGGCCATGTGGGGGGCCTTGTCCAGGGGGCTGCGGGGGCACGGAATACATCTACGCAACGAACAAACCGACTTGTACGAGGCGACTACTTGAGCCAGTGGTGACTAAGGCTTAACGCAAATGGAAGTGTTTAGGATGGAAAGATTGTCATCAAACATGCTACTTTAGCTCGGCCCAAAATTTGGGGCTTTTTCTTTATTTATTTTTCTCTTTCGTTCGCTATTTATCTAGCCTTCTATCACTGCATATCTTTTCGAATGCCGTGCCGATTGAATAATTGATTACTACTACTGAGCTATCGTATTTTTCGATTTATGAACAATGATACAGACACCGTGACTTTTCTTCTCATCACAAGCCATCAAAGACGCATCACCCGAGACCGCCGTTGGATCTGCTTCGGAACGGTCTGCGCCTTGACGCTTGTCAGAGTTGGCACAACAGGCTTAATAAGACCAGTTTCCGAGTCAAAGTAGACGTGATCGATAGTAGTCTCACGTCTATAACCACCTCCACCGGGGATGGCAAAGCGATGGTAGACAATGTACCAATCATCCGTGCCAGGAACATTGAACATGGAGTTGTGACCGGGTCCAAGGATGCCTTGAGAAGTATCCTTCACTAAAATGTCCCCGTGGTAACTCCATGGACCAGCGAATGATTCAGAGGTCGCGTAGCCGACACGGTAGTTCTCAGAGCCGGTATCATCGATCGAGTAGGTAAGGTGGTAGAGCCCCTTACGGTACACTACAAATAGACCTTCCCTAAAGCTGACCAAACCAGTCATGGCCTGGAGAGTGTCCCACTTGATCGAAACCATGTCGTCGTTCAGTTCTGCCACGAGCGGACGTCCATTTCCCCAGTACAAATAGTACTTGCCAGAGATAGGGTCGTGGAAGGCCGCCGGATCGATAGCTTGAGAAGCGGTGATGGCCTCGTTGTTGAGGATCATAGCTTCGGGCTGCGCGGTGAAGGGTCCTTCTGGCGCATCGGCTACGGCAACGCCAATGGTCTTGGTGTTGAGAGCCGCATTATGTCCACTGAAGTAGAAGTAGTACTTGCCGTTTCTTTCGGCGATTGTCGGTGCCCAGGCGTTTCCGGTAGCCCAGTGAACGTTGCCGTTCGCTCCGTCCAGGACGAGAAATGGTTCTTCGCCTCGAGTCCAGTCGACAAGATCATTTGACTTCCAGACGTAGAACCTGTTGCCTCCCCAGCCTGGAACGCCATCAGTGGTCACATAGATGTAGTAGGTTCCATTAAATACGGCGACGTTGGGGTCGGCATAAAGACCGGGCAGCACAGGACTACCCATTTCAACAGCCTTGATCTTCCACTCTGCAATAACTTCCTCGCCCTTGGTCAAAACATAAGTGACATCAGAGCTGAGATCAACAACAGTTCCAGATGCCGGAGAAGAAACTACGCCTTCCGTTGTTGTGAAGACTGGGGCGAGGGCGGTGATGTCGGTGCCCGGCTTGACAGGGAACAGAACCCGAGTGGCTGTCGTGTTGATGATCGGAGGCACCTTTTGGGCAGAAGCATCGGCAAGAGACACCTCCGTAATAGCTCCGATGTTTCCAGAGCGAGAGAGGACTTCAGCTGCGCTCAATGATCTGTTGAAAATGGCAAATTCACGGATCTGGCCCTTGAAAAGCTTGTCACCGCTGTAGACTGACCGACCAATGTAGTTTGCGGATGTGGAACCGCTACCAATGCTGCTCGGCCTGATGTTGACGTCTTCGTTTCTTGCCACTTCGTAGCCATCGAGGTAAATAGCGGTAGTGCGCCCTTGTTGCACAAAAACCAGGTGTAGCCAGGTACCTTGAGGTAGTTGAGACCCAGACGATGCAGTCTTCTCAGTAGTCCAGTTTCCAGTAGTAATGCTTGCCCGGTAGGGGCTGCCAGTGGTGAAGAGATAACCGTTTCCGTTGCCATTAAGTGTGTTACCGAGCCCATAGATGAAGTAAGGGGTCTGCTGAGAAGCATCGAGAAGAACCCTAGCCTCAATGGCAATGTTCTCAACGCCAGAGATAACGTTGTCAGGAAGCTTGATGAAGTCATCAACGCCATCAAAAGTAAGAACACCGTCTTTCACAGCCGCGCTTCCATAAATCACACCATTGTTACCATTGCCCGAAGCGTCATTCACGGTGGTACCTTCAACCGATGTGAAGTTATAACGGAGAATCTCACCGTCGGCATTGACGGTTCCCGAGGCGGGATCGGAGGCGGACTTGGTCAGAGCAGCGAGCTCAGCAGCTGTAACAGAAATAACGGTGCCGTGGCGTGGGCTCGTTGGAAGATTGAAAGATTGTGTCATTGTCCAGTTGGGGTTTCCGACATCGGCGGTCTCAAGGGGAATGTAGCCACCGCCGGTGTATTCGTCAACGAAAAGGTAGAACTTTTCGCCATTAGCATCGCCGGGGTTCGACTTGAATACAGTCGGGCCCTCGATCGAGCTAGTGCCAGCTTTACGGCCAATGCAAGAGGCATCGATGGTCCAGGATTCTAACGTTGCACGAAGAGATTTTGAGCTCTCCTGGATGATATCACTACATCCAGTGCCATTGTATCCTTCGTCCTTGGTGAAACGGTAGTACGTATCACCCGATTTGATAACCGTCGAATCAATGCGGGACAATCCATTACCGTCCTGCCAGATCTGCGCGTCGCTGAATGTGACAAAATCACGAGTAGTTGCGTAGAACATCCGCTGGTAGGTAGCACCCGTCCGATCCACGTCAGTAGGCTCGTAAAGAGTAGAGGCCCAGAAAACCACGTAGGCTCCAATCTCCTCGTCATAGTAGGCCTCTGGCGCCCAGGTATTACCGGCTTCAGGCGGGGAAACAAGGACATGACGTTGCTCAGACCAGGTCTTGAGGTCATGCGACTCCCAAACCTCAAGGTATCTGCTGCCGATTCGGATGGCGTTGGACCAAGATGTACCCGAGCCTATAGAGAGATCGGTCGCGATGAGGTAAAACGTATCGCCCTCTGGGGACCGAATGAGGAATGGGTCGCGAAGACCCTTGGTGCCGTAGGAAGAGGTCAGAAAAGGCTGGCCAGCGTTCAGCTCCGTCCACTTGAGAGCATTATTTCCTTGGCTGGCAGCAAAGAAAATATTCTCGCCACTTTTCGAGCTTGATGTGAAGTACGAGAATGCGTAACCCGCAAAAGGTTCCAGCTTCACAGCCTTTCGTACAGAAGCGATGAGTGTGCGTTCTTGGGAGACGCCTTCGTGATCGATCGATGCTGTAAGAGCCACCTGAGTGTTCTCATCCTGTCTCTTAACAACGCCATCGTCCGAGATAACAGAGGACGCGTTGCTCGACCACTTAACAGTAAAACCGTCCAGAGTGGCGGGTAGGTGCAGGTTGCCACGAACGTCGGCAATGTTTGTGATGGTCAGGGCTGCAAGTGCTGCCTCAATCCGCTCTGTGGCATCTTGGCCAAGAGCAGTTCCAGCTAAGGAGACCGCGAGGGAAAGCCAAAGTCGAATGGGCTGCATCGTATCGTCGAGCCGGGGAGTCGCCTAAAGCCTCATCCATACTAGAACATCTATGATAAGATTCCGTGCGCTCTTTATATACCAGCCTACCTTCAGCGGCATACCAGGGATGATCAGCCGTATGACTTGTAGAGACCAGATGAACCGCCCCAGACTTAGACTGGGGGCTGACCGTCTTGGGTGGTAAAGAACTGAAAAAAGTGGCACCTCCATAATCCAAAAATGATACTTTACGCTTGACATGGCACGAATCTGAGTAAAATGACAGAAGAATCATAGGTTGGAATCGGAACTAAGCGAATAAAGGAAGGTAAAGATACCAGCCGTTATACCGATGTCTACGTGAGCGGTCATGGTAACCCAAGCTACCCCGAACTCCCATGCTTCTCCGCACTTTAACTACCCCACAGTCCCCAAGAAAAGACGTAAATGATGCACATCCTGGGTATTCCAAGGTGTCATTGCGGGGAAATCGCAGCCGGTTGAGAGTAGAAGCTGTGTCCGAGTCTAGTTAGAGGAGGTTAAGTCATCGGTTTAATTCGTGCGACAAACTTAAGGCTGGATGAGGAGCAGGCATTGGGACATTCATTTGAAAAGGCCGGTTAATCGTGAATAGCCCGGCAACAAAAGGCTACTTAGAATGCCGCGTATGACGTTGAACGAGGTTGGCACCCTGCTAGAGATTTGATGGCGACGCCAGCAATGCCCTGTACTAGGTCGTAGTTGATGTGGGGAATACGATGAATGTGGTCTAACTCGGGTTGCAGCTGACCTCGTCGTCGTTGTGGATTCGGGCAAAAGAGGAGGCATGATGTTGTATTTCGCGGAAATGTAATTATACCATCGCAGAAATGATAGGCCGAGGCAAAATCTACATGCGCTCGAATGAAACTGCGCAGAGCCAGAAAGAGAGAACTCTGACCCCGCAAACCGTTCGATCAATTAAGATCCAAACCTTGTTTTTACCCATTTTCCCCCACATTCTACCCTGCTAAAAACAATTCTCTACTACCTATGAACCTGTAGATAATGTATACTCTCACGTGATACGTTGCCGCTGTCGCTAGAGAGCGGCACTGTCTGAACACCGCTATTGAGTTTGCATTATTGCTTAGTTGCTTCTGTACTCCTATGGGATGATTTCACTGAGTGACTTAAATACCTGTTGAATAGTTGTAGAATGCCACATTTTCAGAAACTAGTTGTAGAGTGAGACGCTCTAATTATGTTGTAGCTGCAGCGATTCCTTGCCGGAAACTTCCTGAGTAAGCCGAATAGGTAATTAGGTCAGGCAGTATCACCAGCATCAAGACAAATATGTACCCTACTCTGACGAATGAATGGGGGCAAATACTTTGGCAGCATTCTCACTCTTCCCTCTCAAAACTTGGGATACCCTGTTGTTTCATTTTGATCTAAAGAGGGATGCAGTGCTATGCATGCTCAACCCGAAGGTGAAATTATTTGGTCACAACCTTTGGCGAAGTGCGATAACAATAATGCTGACTAAAAAAAGAAGAAGTGGATATCCGCATTGTAAGTGGCGTCATGGTGTTCTTTAAGTGTCGTTATTGGTACTTCTTTTTGATTTGGGTGGGTTCTAAGGCTACTTGAATATGTTGGTGCCGTCCTTCGTCAATGGAGTCGAAGTTGAAATCACTTGATTGCTGGCAACTGCAAGGCTGCCCATATGACCTGGGTAGGTCTCATAGTAGATTCCTTCTTGACCTGAGGGACCTTATAACAAAGAACCACAAACCAATTGATTCGGCAAGACAAACAAGCTCAGTCTAGAGTTCAAGCCGCTGAAAGTGGGAAAACGGGTAGATGATGAATCTCCAACTTCCCCGTGCGAGTGCCGGAATAGGTTTGTAGGTTTGGGCAAAGATGGATCTTTCATGCAACTTATAGAAGCTGACGATGTCCAGAAGGATTGCGTTTTTAGAGTCTAAGGGTGCTCACATACTCGACTAACGATTTCAGTATTTTGCTCTCCCGTTTGAAACGGCGACCCAGACAGGCAAAGAGCTACAAAATACGGTTCAATTTGGCTTACGTGCTGTGGGTATCTTCTTGGACTTGGTAAAATCGAGTCATGATGACGGGAGAAGAGACCTTGAGTCGCTGTTAATATTGAGATAACCATAAGGTGAAAGCATAATGAAACTATTTCTACTTTGCCATACTACTTTGTCTTGTGATAGCTTTAGGGCTGTCGGTAAAAACCCCGGATTGCAATAGTGTCACTGCTCGGATCGACATTTTGAACATGGGTCTTTGCGAATCCGAGCTTATTTTCCGTTGTCAACCCAGCTGCGGGTTGTCCTGTGTAGAGGGATCGACAGTAACATCATAGTGGGTCGACAAATCGTTTCTCGCATTAAGGAAATAATGTCTAAACATGTGGCCTTTAGATCTGAAAATCAAGGAATTTCAAGTTCACTGAAGCGACGTCAAATGAATCTAAATCATGTATGAATGATGTCTTACCAAAAGAAAACCGCCCATGTTTGACAAAATGTATATAAAGTCATCACTAAAATAGAGCAAAAATGCTCCAATCTGAAAAGGAAAATCGACTTAGTTGAAATAAACGGGTTCATCCGGTGAACTTCAATCCTGTTCATACACCTAGCCGGACACTCAAAACCCAATTCTTTCGGTATACAAAGATCAATTCATTGTGCTGAAAAAAACAAGCTATGTCCATCAAACTTATGATTCGAAAGTCAATAAGTCTTTGAAATGTCGTATGTACATAGTTTCGACCAAGACTTCCCAGTCTCTGAAAGTAATACACGCCGAAGTTAGTAACTCTCCTTTCCATCCAGGCAATCAGCTGATCGAAGTGGAAAAATTTGTTGTATCCTTTTGCAGCAAGCAATTTATCCAGAGCAGACACCAGACTTGGAAGGCTCACAGCCACCAGCGCAGCCGTTGTACATCTGGCACTTGACCTTGGCATTAGTGCAGACGTTCTTAAGAGTAGCAGTATCGCCGTAGTTGGAGTTGATGCCGACGATCTCGCCGCCGTTGTATGCGGTGACACCCTCGACATACACGTTTCGCTTGCACTGGCTGCTGCACTGTAAAGAGAAAACACATGTCAGTAGTGAGAATTGGTGAATGTATGGCCACTGGCAAACTTACGTTGCCACAGGAACGGTAAACTTTGCCATAGTCGTTGGCGTAAAAGTTGATGATCTATATTTCAAAGTTAAAATGAATCAGACACAACGAACTGGCTGAAAAGGACTTACGTTTACGGTACCGCAGCCGTTGTGTTGGATGATCTTGTCCGACGCCTTGTAGGCACCTCCGCCAATAATCCAGGTGTGGTCGCCTGCCTTGTCATTTTTCTGCATTGGATGTCAGTAACTGAGCCAGCAGATACAGGTACCCGAGGTGTTTCTAGTGGAGAACTTACTACGGTGATGGCATCCTCACAGACGTCCTCGAACCACACAAATTCGAGAGTACACGGGCCGTCACAGTGAACACCCTCGGCTTGGTTCTTGCCAATGATGGCATTCTTCAGGGTTGCACCTCTGCGGAGCAAGAAGACAGCATCGGCGTCGCCTATGCCCAGGTTAACGGGGCTATTCGTCGCTTCAGCCTAAAACGGGCTTTCTTACCTCCTTCAGCTTGATCATTGCAAGCGCCAGAGCCACGGTCGAACCTGGCCCACCCACCATCGTAAACCTGACCGGCCTTGACTTCAATCACCTTGCTGTTGGTCTTGGTGGTTGTAGGGGTGGGAACGCCGCCCTCATAACCGAGACATGCCAGTGCAGTTGGCAAAACTGCAAAGAGGCCGACAATACCCGTCTTGGAAAAGTACATGGTTAAAGTGTCTCCCTTGAAGTTAAGTTTGGGAGTCGAGTTAGGTCTAGACGAATGTGCTTAGTGGTTATATGGCTGTGTTAATGCCTTTTGTTTTGGAAACGGTCGTTCACAACCCTTATATAATAAACACCACATCAAACAAATATCGCCCATTGAATTTGCCGGTTATTGCTCCTTTTCCGTGAATTCACTATTGGTGGACTTATCTCAAAGGATCCTTAATACTTGGAAACTCATAGACGACACATGCTGAATTTCCGGATCCTACGTCGACAGCACACTGGTAGTCAGAGTATTGCCAGCTCAGAACAGGCTGTCTAGGCGGCCCAATCACATCAATACAAGTTCTGTGAAGGCGCGGTATGTCTGGAGTCAGAGGCTTAAGGAATGTTAGCATTCCGGGGGCTTAGTCTGAAACGTTTGGCGATGATTCCCTTCAATAGCAAGTTGCGGGCAACAAGCCTCCTTCTGCCTACATCTCCATATGTGACCCCAGATGCCAAGATCTAATCGGGACTCGAAGAAGGCATTGAGAAAGAGGTCACATTATCTGATTGATAGTGCCAAGGATGCCCATGTGGACGGAGAAATTCTTCAGTGCCGTTGGGCCCCCCGGTCCGCATCCCGGCCCCACAGATTTCCCCCAGTAGGATGGCCCCAGAGCGTATCCCGGCCGGTCCCCGCGACTGGGGCCGAGGCACGGCTTATCACTCCAAATTACCGGGGTGCTGGCAGCCCCGCCATTCAAGCGGATTTAAGCACATTTAAGCACCAGTCGATCACAGGGCCGGTGGAAATCAGCAATCCTTCGTTCGCTTGGACTACCATTATCGTCCTGTGGCGCCCGAGCACTTGCATATCGTACCATTTTCAATGCTCCGCTGCAGACCCTTGGCCATGGAGTTGGCTGCAAGGCATTGGGGTAATATCTTGTTTCCGCGCAGTCCGGCAGGGGCGTGAACTCACCTTACCTGGTTATCACCGTCACGGGCGCGTCCAAGGTTGAGAAGCGTTAGGGTTGGTTGGGGATTTTGATGCCCGCAATAGTGGGATTTTAGCAAAAGTTGATATCCGAAGTTGTCATAGCTCCCCATTAAATTGTCATTTTGCATGTTCCATAACGCCCAGTCATCGAGTTACTGATTGAAGCGTCTCATAGGCACAATATCTTCCTGCAACTGGAGGTGGACAAACTAGAGCTTGGCTGTCTTCTTACACCTATTCGGTACAGTGTCTGATGGTCATATACATTCGACTTGGGCATCCGCCGGAGGCATCGCAAGCCATGATGGCCTTCGTTTCAACACACGTTAAGTGACTAACACAGAAGCAAGGCATGGAAGACCACTTTCAGCTTGACAAGAGAACAAATAGTAGGATAGGGTTGGTGACCCACACAGTAACCACAATGGAAATGAAAACATTTAGGGTCTGAGTTTGGAGTGACTACACCGAAATTTTGACCTCGCATTTTTCAGATGTCCTGTGAACCACGGCTACGTATTATCAAGTGTGGCTCCTAATGATTGGGTTCTCACTACATCTCAGAATGGTCTGACGAATTGTTAAGCTCCTCGCAGGTAAGTAAAAAGTTGGACCAAGAACCGACTCTGCTTACTTTGGATGGACACTGATGCGACGGCTACCCAAGCCTGATTCGACTGGTTTAAATGAATACTTTAAGTATGGTGGTCGAGTTCAGCTTATACCTCTGCCCAACAGTGTGCTTAAAAATCAACATCAAACTAGAGACCAACCGTAATAGAGAGGTGGTGCGAGACTCATCTATCGTCGATGAACATAAATGGAATCGCAACGTACCGAAGAAAGTGACTGGAAGCGGAAACTATAGCCTGCCCAACGCAATACAAGTCTGTGAATACATCTGCTTATTTGTGGGATTACTTGGACGGCGTCCTAGAAAAGGGGTGCCGTATGCTCTCAAGAGATTGAGAAATGGGCTAGCCGAGTTAGGCCTAGTAGAGCGTTGGTCAGCCGGGCGGCTGATATCAGATAGCTCTTCTTGTGGGTGACAGAGTCTCAATCACGAGGTAGCGTGGGCTATTCTGTCGCGTGCTGAATGGGTGCAGTTACAATCCATGAGGTGCTTGTTGAAATAGCACGTTGATCATTACTAGCATGGGTTAAGTGAAATGGTAAGTTTGCGCCGTCATCTTGGCGCCCCATTTCTCAATTTCTCGGGTGAGCTTCTACTAAGTCGACTTTTGCTGTTACCACCAGACAGTCCGATATGGCGACTACTTCTCACTTGACTTAGGCAAGTCTGACAAAACTCGAATTGCCTGAATAGATTGATGCTTAAGGGTTTTCATTAACTAGAGCAATACGCCCTACTTTTGAGATCAAGCAAAAATTAAAACCATTTTAGTACTATTTCTGCATGTGGTACCTTACCAAATTCTCGACTTTGCAGGTCAATGACCAATATTTCTCACAAATTTCCAACAGGCTGATACATCACAAAACCGGCGCGGATCTGCATACATATTCAGCCAACAACGATGTTGCAACAGTCATGGAAGAGCTCACAAGGTTCATCAGCCCTACAAGGCTGTTTTGCCGCATCATTTCAAGAATGTTTGAACTCCATGTTCAGGTGTTTCGAAATACTTTATGACGATCAAACTTTGTTGGTGAGTGTGAACGACACAGAGAATCTCCTACCTTGCATCCTAGTAACTGAAGCAAAAATAACAATGCTGACATGATTTGGGAACAGGATTAGCATTGACTCTAGCAAGCGAATATAGATCTAACTCCAAATCAGACCTGAGCTCCAGGTGGAGGATGCCCATTCAGGCTTCATACTACTGTCTCTCCTAACTCTCTTGCCCCTTTCTCCATAAACCATATCCAATGTCGTAAAGTTCTTTGTGAAAGGTTTATAAACTTTGTCATCGACCCTTACCAAGTTGGCATAACACAATTCTTATCAAGGAGAGACAAGGTTTAAGTGTGCTTTATCGCATAGTCTTTTCTGGCAGGTTTGGGTGTATTGCGTACACTACTTCATTCCGATTTCTTAGGCGCGCTGCAGACTTGCTGTCATCCTAATAAAAACCGGCTTCTCTCAATAGCTAAATAACGGCCTTAATGAACAACGTATTGTGGACGACTGTCACACCCTGCGTCATGCGGCGACAGGTGTCGACGAACAATTGCTGAACCATTAAATTGATCTTTTATCATTGCAACATGGAAAAAGAACCTTGGCACTACTTTACCTTAGTACTAGTAGCGCATGTTCTGCAACGGGCAAAGTCAGCTGCGATTCATTCACGAAGCTTTTTGAAACAGGGGACCCAAAGCTTATAAACAACACTCAGAACATGACAGAAAACCGCCAATGCGGCATATCGGCTCGCACGGCATATTGTGGGAAACGGGCGTCCATTCAGTGTTAGCCACTACTTGAAACGTACGCTGGTTATTATCACACCTCCATAAGCCAGTTTCGGTTATAACCGCAACGCTTGAAAGCTATGCCGACTCTCGCCACCTTTGTCATCCTTTAAATCTATCCGAAGCAGACGACAGTGCCCCATTAAGTGGGGAGCGCATCACATACAACAACCTCTTCAGGAATAGCAGCAATAATTCTTACTTTTTGAAAAAGGAGACATATAATTGCGGCAAGTGGGGGATTGGAACCTAAATACAATGTGCCCGAAAGCGATGCTGTCTTTAGCCTTGGATTTTCTATTGAAACTTCCACGCTGCACATCATCTGGGTATCGTGCAAATGGCTTTCAGCCTACCTGTGTAGAAGTCTCACTGCCTTTGGTAGCTCCCTTCGCTCGCTTCGGAGCACCTCGCTCGGTGTTTGTGCAAGACATCGCTTAGTACTTGCGGAAAGATACAGGCTCAACGACCAATGGCTGCCGCGTGGGATAGCGACTCGGAAGCGTCCATTGAGAAGGAAACACAATACCCGCCGCCTGCGGTCGTAGCTAAACGACAATCAACAGGCAGCTACAGTGATGGCGCGCAAAAGGATGCCAGGATATCCGGATTCTCATGGTTCCGTCTCAGCGTGGATGGGCCACCGCCTGGGCCCGTCCACGAGTTGAGCCTCTATATGGGCGCCGCGTTCAGTAGCATCCCCGACGACAGCGATTCGGTACGATCACCATATTTCGCAGCATCAACAAATGGTGCTTCTGTTGCAACATGGAAGGATAGTGGTGATAGGGCGGCGTCAAACCGAGTGGTCGACTGGGACAGACCTCACGATGCGGAGAATCCTAGGAATTGGGCAATGAAATTCAGGTGGATTCAAATTGTGCTTGTGAGTATCTTGACGCTACAAGCGTGAGTAGCCTGTTCAATGGTATCTTCTCGCTTGTTGTCTTGCCTTCTCTGACGTTTCGTCTGTCTGTATAGTGCGGTTGCTTCTTCGATGCCAGCGCCCGCAGTGAGTGAAATCCTAGCCGAGTTCAAAGCGCCCGAAGGCGTTCTATCCTCTTTCGTTATATCCATCTTCAATTTGGGCTTCGTCTTTGGTCCTGTGTAAGTTCTTATCAGAGGGATTCGAATAGCATGCGGATGGAACCTTTGCCCCCTGGTTGCCAGGAGAGAAGCTTACAACGAGCAGTTTAGCAGCACCCATGTCGGAGCTCTACGGACGATACCCTGCGTACAGTCTCTCGAACATACTCTTCTTCGCATGTAACATCGGATGCGCCTTCTCTCCCAATCTTGGCGTTCTGCTGTTGTTTCGATTCCTGAGCGGATGTGCCGGCGCGGCCCCGCTGTCCATCGGCGGCGGTACCATTGCGGATGTTGCACCAACGGCATTGCGGGGCAGAGCGGTGTCGATCTACTCCATTGCTCCTCTCCTGGGTCCTGTTATCGGGCCTGCAGTGGGTGGTTTCATAGCCGAGTATGGGGGTTGGAGGTGGATATTTTGGACATTATGCATCATGGTAAGCTACCCCCGGGCTCCCGAATTCGCATCGTTCACGGAAGGACTGACACGAAAAAATTTCATAGGCCGGCGTCCTAGGCATCATCATGCTTATAGTCCTCCGAGAAACGTCAGGCAAGGCCTTGCTTGAAAAACGAACTAAAAAAATCCGAAAGCGCACCGGAGACTCGAGATACAGGTCAGCTCTTGATGACGGGGTCTCGCCGGGGGAGGCATTCTCAAGAGCCATTAATCGTCCCCTTCGGCTTTTGTTCCTTCATCCCGTTGTTCTCGTTCTATCCTTGTATTTTGCCGTCATCTATGGATACCTGGTGAGTATGACCTACCTATTTACTTCCATGCTGCCGGCTAACATTGAATATCAGTACTTGTTCTTTACCACACTCGCAACGGTCTTCAGAGGGAAATACGGCTTTTCGACCGGCTCCTCCGGGCTCACGTTCATAGGCGTCGGTCTCGGTACTGTCTCGGGTACGATTCTCGTCTCGTTCTGGAGTGACAGGTTAGCCACTACCCTGGCAGAAAAGGCGGGCGCTCGCAAACCCGAGTTTCGACTTCCGTTGATGGCGTACTCGACACCTCTCATACCAGGAGGGCTGCTTTTGTACGGATGGACAGCAGAGAAGTCTGTCTTCTGGTTCATACCGATGATCGGGACTGCCATAGTCGGCGTGGGCATTATGTTTGTGTTTGTAAGTGAAGTTTTTCCTGCAGCTCCTTCAATGTTTTAGGTTGCTTGGCCGAGTGAGCACCAAAACTGACCTCACCTTGCAGACGCCATTGGCATCCTACCTCGTTGACGCGTTTACGACGCACGCCGCTTCCGCCCTCGCTGCCTCGACAATTCTACGTAGCATCTTCGGCGCATTCTTGCCCCTCGCGGGTCTTCCCCTTTTCGATGGATTGGGTTTAGGGTGGGGAAACACGATTCTTGCAGCGGTTGCTTTGCTTATGGCGCCGATACCATGGGTCGTGATGAGAAAGGGGGAAGCCATCAGGGGAAGGTATGGACATTGTGTATACTAGCTGCATAAAAAACCGTTATGGCTTGAAACAGATTTGGTAAACCGCTCTGGATTATCGCGAGCTTGCTGCGTGAAAATTTGGTGATTGTAAAATCGTATTGCCGGCTCTCTTGATATCGATGGCAAATACCTTCAGAGTGCTGCCAGACCTCGTACAGCGTTTTGGCTCCATGGGTGACCTAACACCCCAAGGAACACTGACCTCTTAATAGGTATTTCAACTGATAGAACCTCAGATGAGCTTTATGAATGAAAGATGTTCCGTCGTATGATGTAGACAGTAATGCTTTCGCTAGTCCTTTTTGTTCCAATAGTGAACTCTAGCAATCATTTAAAGGGCTCAATGTGTTGGAAAAAGGTATTCAATAATCAACCGAAGCACTGTCAAGTAAGCTGATTCTTGATCTACAGTACAGAACATTTCACTGGCTTATTGCCATGGTAATTCGAGTTTGAAAGAAGATTGGAAAGGAGAAGTGGCCATGTCCCATGCTACATTCCGGCATGTTCATGGATGAATCCACTGCCAAAGGATCTAATACTGTTAACTTGATAAATTCTCAAATATCCCCTATACTTAGAAACAGGCCTGTTTGCCTCGGAAGGGTCATAATCCCCCTGTGAGTGGCTCTATTTGGAGAAATAATCAACACGTCGCCAGTTCCCACCAGTTGACAAGACCCGTCAACAGTCAGATTCTAGTCGAGAAAGGCAACATGATAAGGAGAAGCGAAAATCAAAGTGGGAATCCCCTTTGTCCCCATTCCCCGCTCTGGCAGCAAGTTCTGATCTAAACTTGCTGATAATGTGTCAAAACCCAGGAGATCTTTCTCCGAGCCCGCCGCCCAACAGGATTCTTCCTGCATTCATTCATCATGCCCCTCGCCATCTCGGCAACGGCCAGTACTGTACCTCACGAGAATACCCCCATGTATTCCCCCGTAAGGTTCGCACATCGCCAAACAATCTTTGATGGGTGGGCAATGTCCACATCGAACGACACCAAGCTGAGACTGTCCTACCTCACCGACGATGCCAATGTCCAGCTGATCAAAACACGCAAAACAAACAGAACGAACAAATCAGCATCTTGCATGTCGCGATGACCGGTGTAATACCCAGTCCCGACTGGGTCTTCAAAGGTATATCTGTAGTTTAGACCGGCCCTTGTCGCCAGACTAGCGGGCCACACTCGAGTTGCATCGGGATTAGTCGTGCCGGCGCCTTCCTTGCTTTTCTGTGCATTACTTTCACGTAGAACCTGAACGAGGTGGACCACTGCTCGACCAGACAGCCTGCAAGCGAAGGGCAGCTTCCAGGCTTATCTGTGGATGTTTACGAAGCTGCAGCGGCTCATCAGAGACGGAGAAAGATGCGTCTCCGCACTTTTTTTTCTTTCAGCAAAATAGCAGAGGTATCTGAGACACCCATCCACACCGCTTGGCGGCAGGTCTGAGTCACATGGCAAGTCACCAAACCCCGGGCTGCTAGGCCAACGGGCGTACCGTCCGTGACCGCCTAGCCGCCGTCCCAAGCCCATCTGGAATCCCAGAGCTTTGGGGAAAGTGGCTTGATCTGATGTCGGGCAGCCGGCAGCGTGATTGGGCGGTCCCGGGCAATTTACTCGCCTGAGAACAGGCTTCGCACTGATCCAATGGACACCCTTTGGATGAACGTCGAGACCGAGTGACTGCTCAGCGGCCCCCCCCCTCCCTTCTTTTCTCATCGCACGCCCGAAATTCGAGATGGATTATGGAATAAACGGGGAAGCGTGGGCAATATATCAGTTTCATAGTGATGTAAAGATGACGGGAACAAATGCTCCTGAGAATTTGGAGGCGTGGCGTAGGCTTGCGAAGCACCCTCATGATGGCACGAGGACTCTCCCCCTGCGACCTCGCACTTTGTGTTGGCCCAAGAGCTTTTGTGTCCTCATCAGCAGACTGGTTAGGCCCAGTCAAAACCGCCACGATCTTCAGGGTACTTCTATTCCCGAGAACCTTCTGGAGGGGCGGTCCCTTGGGTCTAGGCTGGGATTGCCGTGTGGGAAAGCCACCGTCGGCGTTACATCTCAGGGTGTGTATTGTTCTGAAGGCCGGGAGGCGAGAACAACATCTATCGAGCTTCGCGTGCAACGCGTTTGCAAGGTCACAGATCCGAGACTACCGATAGCTATCAAAACGGAGAAGGGGACTACGCGGTGCGCCTGGCAAAGGCGGAGTGGAACGTGCCGGGAGAGGATGGATGGGTGGGGATCATGGGGTTCGAAGGATGATGTGCTCAAGATATCTAGAGCAAGACGATCTCGCAGAAGAGGGTGTGCGAGATGGTGCATGCTAATGAGACACAGCGTCCTGCTTAGCTGCTCGTTCCCTGTTTGGAGGACAACCTTACCCACCCTTACCCTGCGGCAGCAGGGTCAGTGCCACAACGTCGACTTGGCTGGACATCGATTCGGGATGTCTGTTAAGCATAAGACAACGGCAAACGTGCTCTCTCTCTCTCTGTGTCTCTGTGCTTTGCTTCGAGTGAGGGAATCGGAAGTCGGAATGGCAGTTGCGGGAGGACAAGGGGGGGCTCCAACGCCCCCTCCAGGTGATCGTATCTCGCGGCTGGCAGCCAGAACGAAGGGGACGAGCGAGGCCTCATGTATCGGAAACAAGCAGTAGGAAACCAACGTCATACCAGAGCTGAGAGCTGGGACGGTGCACGCACGCCGAAAAGAACAAGTAAACTATAGGTCTGACATGGCGCCGTTGTCGTAGGGCTACGGCCCAAACTCTGTCCAGTGGCTGGGCGTGGCTTATCCGTCAGCATGGCATGAATATGGGGTATCGACGTTGATTGCAGGCAGAGAAGGCTCCGCGGAACGGGGCACGTAACGAAGGTCGGCTTAGCTAAGGGGCAAGTCATGCGGAGGGTGATTTTGGTACAGGGGGACCAAGACAATACGAGAAACATTGGGTGATGTCCCCTCCCTTTGAGTGAGAGAAGATCGAGTGTGGGGTTCTGGGAGGGCAAAAAAAGGTGGTGTGGAGGGGATCGGGAAGGGTGTACGCGGAGGCTAGGCGTGATTTGTCTGACATGTTCCTCATGCGGCCGCTCTGGTGACCGCCACTCAGTACCGAATGGGCAAACGGTGGACCGTAAGCGCTTCAGTCGAAGGGGAAGCAGATGCGTTGACACCGCGTTGACTTCTTTGGTCGCAGATTTTCTCTTTCGAATGGGGGACTTTGGCCGAAATCAAGCGGACGGCAGAGCAAGGTATCGGGGAAGTGCCGTGCTGCTATTTAGCATGGGCACATATAGACCGGGAGGCGGCTGCGAACTGCTGCGAGTGACATTGGGCCGCATACGCAGCCACCTCTTTCACATGAGATATAGTTCCAGTCAGCCACTCGACACGACGCCACAGTTTAGGCAGGGCAACAATGATAGTTTTGCCATACACTGAACATGAGCCAGAGATTGGTAGGAGAGGAAAGGTGTGGGACAAGGCGACATGGGACTTTTCGAGATGGAGTGGACGGAGGAGACGGAAGATTGGAGAGAACGACCTGTTTGCTGAAAAGAGGGGGGTCGTGGTCGTCATGGAGGGTGGGGGTTGAAGCCATGAGCAAAATCGTAGAGAGAGAGCCATCGAGAGCAGACGCCGGGGAGGCTGAGGAGGGATCGGCGTAGGGAACGGGAACCCTTGCACCCTTGTTTCGCTGAGAGAGTGACAGTCTTGCCGTATCGAGTGTTTAACAAGGTCTGGAGGAGGCCTGGGCTAAGGCGAATTAGGACCTGCTGGTCTAGACCAGGATTCAGCGTGACTTGATCGGGGAATGTTGATGTAAAGTTGATGCAGACATGGTGCGACCGCTGGTGGTGTCGAGCAAGACCTTGGCGTACTTGGACAAATGGACAGCATGGAGCATGAAGCGGTGAGCTGGAGACAGTGATAGGCTTAATCAACGGGGAGACGGCGCGTCGTTCAAGGCGAGTGTGTTGTCTCGACGAGTGTGTTCATTTGGTGATCCATGAATCATGACGCGAGGCATTTGCAACTGATTTGGAATACGGGACTGGATCTGGGTGGTGTTGCGAGGACTCGAAAACCTGACTGGGGCGAGGAGGAGGAGGAGGATGAATGATGATGATGAATCCGGTCTACTGCGTAATGCTGCTTGTCAGTTCGCAGATGGATTTTTGGCGCAGACGCGAGATGCGCTTTTTGCTGCTGTCAACCGGTAATCTGCCCCACAGGTGCTCCAAATGTCCATGCTATGGTTCAGATGGAATCTCACCAGTAGCCAGAGCTCGCGGCGTTCTTTTTCGGGGTGTTTTACCCTGGGTCTTGAGCTGGGGTGGATGCGGTTGGTGTGTGAAGAAGGGCAAAGGACGAGCGGGCAACCCTGGTCGTTGCAGGGATCAGCGCTGCGAAGACCAGCTGGGGTCTTCGGGAGGGTAGAAGCAAGTCAACCATAAAGCCCAGCTACCTCGACAACATCCTAGTTTGATGCTGGCCATAGTAAGGTAGGCGATTGTTGTTGTTGAACGACGTTGGCGCAGTAGCTTCTTGGAGCATCGGACCTTTTCCGGTCTTCTATCTTTGTGTAATGCCATGACACACCCTTAACTGGCAAGGGGGAAGCGTGTGACTAGAGAAGTAGGAGACACAACAGCTACGATTTCGTCTTGGCTGGCAAATCAACGGAATGGAAGACTCGTCATATCGAGGACTCTGTAGCATATAGGGGTCTGGGCTTGGTCAACTGGTTGCCTTATCAAAGGCATCTGCAACCCCACAACGAGGGAGCCAGTTACTCTTCACCGACTAGGCATCTGTCGTCGGATAGCTGCTTTACATTGCCTATGTGCCCAAAATGACTTGGTGAGACGGGTACTCGCGTTGGCCGAGGCTGCAAAGCCATCTCAATGGGGAGGCCAAATGCAAGTTTGACTACGGCATGAATTGCGGACGAAAGAAGCAGGTGCCGGTGATCTGTACAACCAACA